CTCTCTCTGCCCCCCTTTCCTGTCTGTCTTCAGCTGTCACTATCATAAAGGCAATAAAAGCACCAAAAACTATACTTAAAAAAATTGAATATCATAGTCCAATCAACGTTGGTTGTCATTTGTAGCGTTTACTATCTCTCCACCTCACAGCCCTCGACTCCTGTGCTTATGGCCATTCAGTGTCTGAATTGCAAGGACATAATACCATTATTTCTGATTGCATTTCATATAAACAACTGAATAATTCATTAATTCATCGGTGAACAGAAAATTAACATTTGCCTTATAATTTAATCGTCCGAAAATACCAAACAGTATCTAGTTTCTGTTTCTCAGATATGACCATCATCTGTTTTTATTAATTTGTAATGATTCAAAATTATTATCTTTTTAGACTGTTGGTTGCGATATGAACAATCACTTTGGACTGCTGATGGACACAAGAATAAACCAAATCCTTCATCTGTTGCAGCACTTTGAGTTTTTATCGATGCATCAGCAGTTAACGAACATTGACTGATGATGGACAGAGAACGGATGTGTTCTCCCCTGATTTTAGAATCATAAACAGTTATTTTAAATTATAGTGGGACTTTCTGCTGTGATGTGCAAACACACATATTTGTACACACACAACGTGCACCTGGTAGAAATGAAATGAATCCAGGGCAGGAACCGAGGCAGTGTACCGGTGTGTAATTACCCCCCCATAACCACTCATTACCACTCATCCCCTCACTTCAAACCACCCCCCCCCCCCCATCTGTATGCGAACAGGAACACCACTTAATTTTACAGTCTCAATTTTTTTTTCGTCAACATTTTTGTCAAATGTTGACGAGCAACCAGGCGGCCATTATCCCGGCGCAGAGGGGATTAGTGGTGTTTGGCTACAAGTGAAGAAACAGTGAAGGAGACAAAACAGGCAGAGAAGGCAGAGCGTGACAAGAGCTCTGAGCGGCTTGTATGTGTTTTTTTCTTTCTGTCTTTATTTCCTCTCGTGTTAAAGTCTTAATCTTGGTGGCTGGAACTGTGCCTGCGTCTCCGATCTGTCATGCTGCTTTGTCCCCTCGTCAGAACGAGAGAAAAGAGAGGTAAATGATTGAGCCTAAGCCTTAAGGGGATGGAAGGGGGAGAATTGATGTCTCAAGTGACAACAAGGCAAGTAATATGTTGTCAGTGACACACACACGCAGTCGTGAATGTTGTAGTACAGATTTTTCGCTAGTTGATCTTAGTCATTCTGTTTTGACACTCAGCACACTACCTGGCAACAATACCAGTGTATGGACACCCGAACATTATGCCCATATGTGATAGTTGAACATGTGAGAGTGTGTATAACACGTGTAACAAGATAAAACCAGTCTATCAGACTATCCTTCATCATTGCTAATGCTGTTTGCAATGTTGCTGCAGACTTCTGTTTCAGTGTGGTTGGAAAACTTTCTGCAAATAATTGAAACACAGTAGGTGTGGGCAGAAAACTTCTGACGTGCATTGAAATGTGTCAGCATTAATGTGAACATGACCTGGAAGTGTCTGCTGGAACAAATCAGAGACAACATGACATGACAACATGAAGTACTGTAACACACCCAGTAAGACACACGTGGTTCATTGTCGTCAAGATTTCTAATCGTCATTCAACAGCGATCCTCGATCTGCCAGACTCTCACTTCTCCACTCACTCCAGAGGATTATGGGTATTCTGACAGGCCTGTCAATCACTGGGCCGGACCCCTCCTCTCTCACACTACCTCTCCTTTTCACACACACACACACACACACACACACACACACACACACACACACACACACACACCAGATCCCTTGCAGCCATGTGACCCCACTTTAACCCCTGGTATCTGTCCAGCGGTCTGTCTGAATTACAGCTGAGCGTCTCTGACTGATCTCAGTCTGTCTCTCGCTGTTTGACGCCTGTGAAACAGCTACTGGGACTGTTTTTATCAGAAAACATTTGACTTTCAACTATCAGAGAGGTTTCACCATCTACTGTTCTCTCTCTTCTCAACAGTTTGTGAGATAATAACCTAACCTGTTCCCACACCACTTTTTTACTGCAGTTTTTACCCAGTCTGATAGCTTGTTCTGTGAAGTCTGAAGTTTATTTTTGATTGCTTTTGGAATGCCATCATATTAAGCACAACAGGCATAGTCAAGGTGACAGTGAATTAGAGCACCTGCCAGTATTTTCGAAGTCCAAAAATGTATTCTGTGGTTAACCTTAACAACCTTAGTACCTTTGTGCTAAATCCATCACAAGATGTCACATCTGTTGTGGTGAAACAGCACTGAGAGCAGGAGCTGCCTGTTAACTACCTGGCTGGTACACTTTCCCACAGCCGCCTCTTTGCTTGTCAAATCACAAACTCAAATTTAGGAACTTGATGTTGTCTGTGATGGAGGTGACATTAAACCATGGAGTTGAAAGTCAAAAGGCAGTTATTTTTTCCTCCAACATTAGCATGTGACAGTTTTTGTTTCTTTCGTTTTTTTTTTTTTTTTTTTTTTGATGAGCAAAAGGTCGTAATCCCAAATTTATAATCAGTCTCCAACCTGCCTTTTGCCTTTAAGTGAAGCCAAAAGGTTTCTGGGCTTCTTGAGGCTCCATTTCCTTGTTTTTCCATGGGGGACCTGATGTGCCATGCTCAGCAGCGCTGTAGCAGAACAACAATCCCCCGGGGCTGACGCATGCCGGCTCACAGAAAACGGGTGTGAAAGATGTCAAAGCAATTACAATAAGCATTACAGTTGTAATCTCCCCTGACAACAGGGAGTGTGAATGAAAAGGGCTTTACCCACTTCTTCTTTCTGTGGCCTCTCCCCGCCAAACAAACTGCTGGCTTCCACAGCAGTTAATGTTTCCTCCGGTGTAACAGCTTCGTCAGCTTCTTGTTACTACCAACACGGAGAAGGTAGATTATTATTTTTCCTCTTTTCACCCAGGAAGCAGCAGGTGTTCCCTGTGTTGTTGGAATGATTGTGTGTTATCCTTAACAGAAAGTCTGGAAGGTCTCTGTAAGGAAAATGCTTTTAATAAATCACATTATTGATTATGTGCTAAATATATGTATTTTGTTTATCGTAATTTTGTCATTTACACCCTGTAATTTACTAAATGTGTTCCCTCGAGGTATGTGTTTTTACAGTGAAATCAGTGCCCACACCAGTGCTTTGGAACGACGGGTTATGTTCAAAATGAAGTAGTTTGTATGGTAGGTGTGTCATCTGACATCCGAAGACTAAAGTGTTGGAAAAGTGAGATGAAAAAGCCATCCATCATGGAGAGAGGGGAGATGTTAGGCTAAGCTCAGAAAACCACGAGATGACGCGATAATCCATCTTGGCAAGCTTCAAGACGCACTTCAGTCATCCGACAACCGCTAAATTTTAAGCAAACTGACGTATGTAAGTCTCTGACTAAAATCTTAACAAGAATGCCAAAAATGTTCTTTTGACAATAGATTGACTGTGGTCGATTTATCAGTTGATCAAATAAATTAATTCAAAACGTGCAGTGTCTGGGCGCCCAGTTAGCTCACCTGGTAGAGCTGGCGACCATGTACGGAGTCCTTGCTGCAGCCTTTGCTATGTGTTATCCTCTCTCTCTACCCCCCTTTCCTGTCTATCTTCAGCTGTCACTATCAATTAAAAAAGGCAATAAATGACCAAAAAATAAATAAATGTGCAGTGTCTGCCCAACTTCAATCAACCGACAAAAAATAAACTAACTACAAAACTTCTTGCATGTTTTCTGGTTTTGTCCCAGGCTGATGAATTTTTGGGCTGAAGAATCTGTTGATCTGTTGTGTGTCATTGTAGATTGACGCTCATGGTTACATAAGGATACTGTATGATTTCTTCATCAACATCAACACACCTTAATTTTTTTCATTCACTCCCTGGATCAGCTGATCCCCTCTAATGTGCCGTCATTGCTTCCTACAGCATTTTTGGTGTGTGGTACAGATGGAAATCAAAAGCAGAGTGCTGCTGATGTGAAGCTGCAACTTAAATCTCCTTGCTGCACAACTTTACAGCAAAAATAAACATACAGCCTCGTAAAAAAAACACAGTTTTGGTCTCTATAGCTAATTTCTTTGTTTATTTTGTAAGGGGGGTTGATTTTTATATAACTTCCGCGTTGGAATCAAATTAAGTAGGGTTGGTTTGTTTTAAAAAGGTAACGGTGCCTAAACAATGCCTGAACTGTAAATAACGGTCGGACAAAATATTAACTGTTTGAAATAAACTTCAATATATTAATATCAATAAATACAAAACACATAAGATAACATACAGCATAACAAATGCATGTAATAAATGAGTTACAGTTCAAAAAATTATTTTACAGCAATATTATCAGATTTTCTAACCTGAGGAAAGGCTGCTGTCGTCATCATCAATGGTCCCCCCATCAGTGACCGTCACAGATGGTGTGGATTTGATCTTTAATTCCGCCTACAAAGCTCAGGTCTATGTGATATGGGCAGCAATTCAGAGATCTGGAAACTAGGATAGGAATACGTCTCTCTTCCGGAAAATAGATGAAAGAACCCTTATTGAGAGACTAGTGGAACAGAGGCCCAAGCTAATGGAAGAGATGTCAGGACTTCAGCTTTCTATGCATTGTTGTATTTCTTTCCTGTTGACATTATTTTTTGGGGGTCTGTTCCATCTCACTGTAATGAAAAACTCTGCTGCTAAATTTCCAGCTTCACTGTTGTTCTGTATGTGTGCAGAGGTCATCATGTACAGCCAGCAGGCTGTCTTCCAACTGGCTATACTGTAGTGTAATATTAGCTTATGAACAGCATGGATGGAGTGAATTGTGCCCCATGAATACCAACCATGTTCACATCTTCAACGCCAGCTTCAACAAACTACTTGCAGTGAATATGTGACATTGTTCTCCATATTCAGTCTCTTCCCTCTTGGAGTTGTCTTCAGGACTGTCTGTGTCCCCTCTCCTGCAGAAACCAGGGATGGATCTGGCCGACACTTACATCACCTTCGTACGGCAGAACCAGGACATCCTCCGAGACCGTGTTAACGATGAGCTGTACATCGAGAAGGTGTTTGATGTGAGTGCTGTTTCTCCTTTTAAAAGAGAATTCCAGTTTATTATGGATATGTTTTTGGTAGCGTGTGTGTGTGGGTGTCTGTCCACAGCTAGTCTCACATACTAATGGACCGATCACTCTCATATTTTCAGTGCAGATTTATGACCGTATGCTCAAGAACTTCTCATTCCAGTGATTCATAATGTTTGAAAAACTTTAAAAAAAACAGATTTTATTGACTGGTCAGTTTTATACAGACTGCTGACTACTCTGAACAGTAGGGGGCGCAAACAGCTGCTTGGCTAAAAACAAGGCTTACCTAGTCTGTTGCTGGACACATTTTGGTCTTTGTTGTGGCTTGAAAACTGACATCCATAGAAAAGTTTGGTACTATCTTGAACTGGAGCATCTGCAGATTAATTTCACTCCTGATGTTATGATTCACTAGAGATGAATAAATCCCGCCGCCATCTTGACTGTGCTAGCTGTCTTCACTTCATGACTTATAGGTCTAATAAACAATATGATTATTAAACAGAACCACCACTAGTCTACCTATGTCCCTCCCACCCCAAAAAATAATAGATTAAGAAGCACTCTTCTCTCTTGATGAAAGTAACACCAGTGAATGTCAACCAATGAGATTATGGTTAGACAAGAGCATATCAACCAACCAATTGACCGAACGACCAGAAGGTGTCAGTCATAATAAATAACAATGTTTAAATTTGGCCTTTATTCCAGTTTGTTTCCTTGTTGAGTTTATACAGTTAGGCGAACCCAGAACACTCGTTTACAATACCATTACCCTATTCTCTACATATTAAAGAAAACTGACTATACTATGTAAAAGTATTGCTGTTGTATTGCAGTAGGTGCTTCAACATCTGTTTCCTTGCAGAGATCTGCGCTCTACTGAGTGCACTCTTCTATTGGCAACATGGGTCTTATTGTTGTAGTTTCTTATCAGTAATAACAACATTGTATAAATGAGATATTATTTTATGAAATATTCCGAACTGAGCTGTTTGTTACAAAAAGTAAAGGTTAATGAATGGAAATGGTTGCGGTCATGGCTGTACGTTTCCCTTCCATCAGAAAACTTGTATACTTTTTTTATGCACTATGAAAAAGTGTCACCAGTTCTGTGGAACGTTTTCAGTCAACTTTCAAGTCTACAGAGTGTGCTCGATACTTAAAGGATAGATTTGGGTGGAGTATCACTTCAAGTAGAATATGTAACACACTCACTGTCTTCTGCAAAAATGATTGTATGAATGATTTAAATGTAAACGTATGTAATCTACCCGGTGCAGGTATCCACATAAAACACTCTGAGAAGACTTAGTTGCCTCATTTCAACCCTGAATGTAAATTGTTTTTAAGTGCCAGTGATTTAGGAGAATCTATTGATTTTCATTAGTGTATTAGTAAGTGAGCAGGTCCTCTTCCATGGAGTCCACCATGTAGAACTGCCATGTTTCTACAGTAGGCCAGACCAAACGCTGGCTTTAGATAGGGCCTTTTGCGGTTTTCACGAGTTTCACAGCCTGCATGCTTGGTTGAGATGTGGGGGTTTCGGTTGGTTGCAGTCTGCACCGTCACTGCAAGATGAGGCTAAAATCTAAACACTAGACCTCTTAAAGCATGACATAATTAAAAAAGCGACAGTCAGACCTTGTACGATGTTAAAAGCATCTAAAAAACATGATGGACATATGACATTTCTGTTTGTTTCATGTATAAATGTGAGGAAGGTCACAGTCTCCTCATCGCTCCACACAGATCTGATGTTTTTGTCAGATTTTTATGTTTGGTCAAAATTTCGCTCAGTTTTTTTCTACATAAATTGAACAGTTGGAAATGCGCTTCATTTAGAAATTTTACAATAAGTCTTTATTGTATGTGATCTTTTCATAAGATCCACAGTAAATTCTTGTTTGAAAGCACGGTGGGCTAATACAAATCTTTACAAATCGAGCTCACAGTCAGTTGTTTATATTGTTGGTGTGAGGTTTGATTCTCCAGTTTCAGAGCAGCAGCAGGTCGCTTTGAGGCTGAAAACACAGACTGCTTCTGTTGACCTGTTTATCACTTAGGAAACACCGAGAGCTGTCGGCTCGCTCTGCAGGAGTTGCAAACACCCCTCCACACCTCCACCCATCCATCCATTCCTCCATCCCACGCTGACCGTTTTCTTCACCGACCGCCCCCCTCCAGGATTCAGATTTATAAGAATATTTTAGCGCCGACATGCCCAACACGCCTCAGTTCGCCGCCGTGAGTCAATGCAGCGGACATGGTGGCTCAGACCTTCGTACACATTAGCAGCACGAAGCAGAGCGATAGATTTCTGCCACCTGCTGCCTCCTCTGAGGGTTGCGCGTATTGTGGCTGAGGCTGTGCTGATCTGTGTGTGTGTGTGTGTGTGTGTGTGTGTGTGTGTGTGTGTTGTTAAAAGAGTGCGCGTGGGGGGTTGAGGAGAATGAGTCTAATGGAGCTCAGAAGCGCCCAGTCATGCACCAAGGAGGAGGTGACGACGGGGTCTCAAAGTGTCTCCGTTCAGCCCTTCAACATGCATCACACACACACGGACACACACCAACATACACTGGGTGTGTAACAAAGAAAGTAAACCCTGTGTTCATACAGCAGCATCAGGCCTCTTGCCAGGAGCATTATGGGTATGCAATTGTCTTGTTTATGTGCATCTGAGCGAATCGATGTCAAATTCAGGCGCCTTTTCTTTAAACAGAAGGTTTGTTGACACTGATGGATGTAAAGAAGAAAAAGAGATTTGTTAAAGCAAGCGATGTGATGAGACGCAGGGCGAAGGTGTGGGGCATCAGCTCGCAGCCGCAAACCTGTCCACAAATTTTTGTTCTGCGTGTGCATGCTCACATGTGCTTTCCGTCTATTTGTCTACAAGTGCTCACCAGGGAACCTCTTTGTGTGGATGAGGAGTGTAATACATGCCCTCACACACATGCACACACAGCGCCATCCTCTTCACATTAGTAGCCAAATCACCTTGATGAAGCAGCTGACAAAGATTGCTTTAAAAAAAAAAAAAGAAAGAAACTCTAATTTAACCTCGGATTCAATTCAGTTTTTCTCATTGCAGTTTTGTTTACATTGAGGAATGTTTTATAAAGACAATAATATAGCACATCATTGCACAAGAAATGACAGAATTTCATCCTGGTATTCCTTTTGAGAAAATAAAGTTTTCTGAGCTCAAAGAGGAAACACACTAAGGTTAAAGGACAAAACACATTATTTTAGTTTAAGTACAGTGCATCATTTTTTCTGTTTCCGTCTATATTCAAGAATTTTGTGTGAATGAAGCAGATCGGTACTACAATCAAGGAAATGACCCCTAATGAAAGCACAAATACAAATAAAGAAAAGAGATTTTGGGACTTGATATTTAAAGTAACTTTTAATTTGAACAAAATTACTGGCAAAACCAGAATGTGTGTCAAATGTTGAAATTACATAATTACTGTGACACCATCAGGGAAGTACCCTCCATTCATCACGTTGATATTGTATCTGACAAGACTAATGCAGACCCACAGTGCTGTGCAGGCCATCCTCCTTCCCCCCCCCCACATATTCCCTCCATCTGTTTTCACTCTCGTCCTCTAATCAGCTCAATTAAGGAGCGTCTTCGTACTCAATTTCCACGTCAGTTAACGCGGCTCGCGAGGCGACCGTCAGGCAGCTGATTAGCCGCTCTGAAGAAACTCGCCTCCCTCAGTCTCAAATAAACGTTTCACTAAGCGGGGGGAGAGAGGGAGGAAGTCATCACAGGAGCTGCACATATCATCCAGTAATTTCAACAACCTCCAGCAGCTGTTAACACAGCAAGCTGATTAACATACAGCTCGAATTCCTGCATAAGAATATTTAGCGTGGAGAGTGAAAGGGGGAGACAATAATGAAGGAGGGAGGAAGGATGAGGAAAAAGAACAATAACATAGCCAGAATGGCTCCAACAGAATAATACATGTCACACAGCACATAAGGCAAGTTTATTTTTCTATCGGAGTTCACTTTAAAGGGTGATCCAAAGTGCTTTTTATAATGCATTCAAAACATAAAACTGTGCATTAAAACTGTGAGCAAACAAACAAAATAATCATATACTTCATCACAGTATTTTATTGGAAAGTAGTGTTAATGGTCCTTTACAGTAGTCTAGTCTATTAGATATGTTTAAACAGAGCACAAAGCACGTTTTAAACAAGGTATGATTACTGAGTGAATGGAAAGACACGAGTGGATGCAGATTTGCTCTGTGGCACAACTTTCATTGAAGATGAAGCACAGATTGTAAATGTCTCAAACTTGAGCTCATCCACCTCATCAGTGTGTACAGAGAGGAGACCCCACCTTCAAGTGACGCCATATGGCCTGTGTGTGTTCCACTTCAGCATTTCCAAAAAAAAGATTGAAGAGATTTCATAAGACTTTTGGAAAATACACAAATCCCATGAAACTTTGAGATGGAACACTGAGAGCAGAGGTCAACATGAGTAAATTTAGATGTTAAATGTTTTGGTCCATATTACACCACACAGTGCAGAATGGTGTCTGCCCTGGTCTTGTGAGCTACAATTACCGCAAGTTTATTTACATCGTGTCTCCGCCCCCCTTTTGGCTCAGCTGTCAATCAAACACCAACCCACCCACTCCAAGGCTTAAGGTGCGTTAGATTTTACTTCAAAGACACTGAGTTTGTGACCGTCGGGTGACTTTTCAGATCATAAGGTAAGACTTTTTCCGAGAGCACACATTCTGTGTTTATTCTCTCTGAACAGAAAAGAAATATAATCAGGACCCGTGATTAAACTTGAATCCTCATTTGTAAGTTAAAACTAGTCGACACTTAACAAGTTGGATTGGGTAAAAAAACTGCTTTATTACTTTGACATTATTACAAGGAGCCAGTGTGAAGGGGGTCAGAGGTTGTTCCCACAATAGATGGAATAAAATATTTGCGTGACCCCAGAATGATCACAGACGTGTTTTGGCTTTTGTCAAGTGTATGAAATACCCTTTGGACTGTTTTTCTCTCTTAAATTGGAAGGTAATTACAGTTCTTGTCAGTGTGAAATTAAGTCTGCCAGCGGCTCTTAAAGCAGATCTGAATATTACGGGTCATTACTGTGTCAGAGCAATTTTCCCTAGCATTCTTGTTTGACTGGTAACTGAATAAAGCCCCCAATGTGTGCATTTTACCAGCTGAGTGTTGAATATTGCTGTAAGTGAGGATCGCTCCTCTAGTGAGAAAAGGTGCATTTGATTTCCCTGCAGCTGTGGCCTGGTGGTTGAAGGTGTGAAGGAAGAGCGTTTAATGAAAATTACAAAGACAGAATCAGATTTTTTTTTTTTTCTTCTTCTTTGAAGGTCAAAGCAGAGCTGTGAACTCTTCCCTTGGTGTGCAGCATTCAGGAGTTTTCCAGTAAATTGGTGCCTTTGAATAAGTAAATGTTTTACCCTCTTTGAGTTTTGCCATTTTGATGCCGCACATCTTTTGACCTTGTGTTATAGTGTCGTCTGTGTGACTGAAGCGAGGCATTTCAGAGGCTGTTAGCAAGCAAACGGCGATCATCTGAACTCCTCTGAATCCGAGCACAGAGGAATGACAAGCAGAAACTGTCCTTGCGCAGAGAGCAGCTGCATCGGCATTAACATAATGTCATTTTTATTTGTGTGCTTTCTGAGGATATTCCAGCCTGTGGAAGAGGGAAAAAAACAACAACAACTCAGCACTGGGTCTGAAGATGCTCCTCAGGGTTCTGGTCTTGGTTTTCTGACTTGAAAAACATCTTAATGTTGCTTTCAGGAGGATGAATGAAGCTGCTTTCAGCTGGGTTGTGGTGGTCTGAGGTCACATCTTCCATACTAGAAAAGTGTTTTTCACTCTGTATGATTCAATAGGCCACGTTTTATCATTTTTAGTGCTACACTTTAAAGTGTAAGTTTGTATCTTTGAGATTTTGGCTTAATTCCTATCATAGTGAAACACGTCATTAATAATCAGTTGCTTCCACAGCTGAGCGTTGAAACCAAAGCTTAAGCATGTTAGACAGTAATTCCTCTAATGTCCAATAGATGTATTGACATGAATAGGAAAATAACAACTTCTCTCTACAAATACAAGTTCAAAAGTGTTTTTGTGAGTGTTTATGGCCTCAGTAGATCACTTCACTTCTCCCATCTTTCCAATTTAAGAATTATTTTACCTTTACAGGGCCATTTAGTTAAAGGAAAGCCAGGAAGGGAAATGTTTATCACAACTTGGGGTTTATTTTCATAGCTTGGGTCATTTGTTCTCTATCAGTCACCATTGTACTTGTGATCTGGGAACACAGTGACATCCCCAAAAAAGGCCAGTGGCTCAAGAAACACAAGCAGTCAGACAAACCAACAGTTTATCCGTATTATCTTAACAACAACTGACTGTTTGGGCAATCATTTTACAGTTTTCACTTCCAAATAAGTCTGTCTATTCTTTTTTGTTTGTTTTTGTTATTTACAGCAATGGTACACCGGCTCCACGAAGGCTGTGTGTGTTTGGCTGACAGACAGACTGGACCTGCAGCTCCACATGTACCAGCTGAAAACACTCATCAAGATTGTGAAGGTAAACAAATGTAACAACATTACGAGAGACCAGGGTGCTGAATAAACAAAGCCTTTAAGGCGGATTAAACAGGGATTTTCCAGTTATCATAGAATTTAGCCATGACTCTGTTTCATGAAAGCAGCAACACGTATGTTACCATGGAGATTTAGTCTGTGTTAGCCTGCTCCAGACCAGGCTAACAGCCAGGCTTGATTAATCCTGGTGCCTTACCTGTTCAGTCAGCAGTCACTCCGACCGTTATGTTCTTATGTATGTATTTATCTTCTATTTGTTATTAAAACACTACAGGTTCATATCACCATTACTATTTTAACATGAAAATAGCAGAGGTAGGTCTACATATTGCCATCCAGTTAAGTGTTATTATTTGAACACTTTGAAACTATTTATGGGATATTGTTACTGTTGTGTTTATGAAGACTATATGACTTCAAAAGACACGCACGTGGTCAGTTCCAACCGACTTTCTTCATTTCAAAAATCTAATTTGTTTATTCAGCACACTCAAAAAATGTTCCAAACATTGAAGAATGTATTTCATAAAGCATCAAAAAGAAAAATCCATTCATACCACAGAAAGTGCTCAAATAGTGGTTGAAAGACTGGATCTCAACAGTTGCCAACATTTACTGACTATCCACCCACATTACCTGCACCCAAATAGCAAGTAGTGTGGTGGACTGCTGTTCATATTCATATTGTCCTATTTTAATTCTAGCATTGTGGATTAGTGGTTATAATGAATCTCCATTGTAAATTACCTGAGTTAACTTCCACAGCTACTTTTCAGACCGTGAACAATTTGTGAAAATATACATTTAGGCTACTCACACACGTTTCCGGATTTTCCCACTCTGGGACCCGTTTCCAAAAAATACTGTTTTCACACCCCTAAAACGCCGTATCCGTGTGGACGCGAGGCCAATACGATAAAGTATTTATTCGGATTCGAGAAAAACGTATTCATGAGGACAGGCCCCTAGTCGCACCTCCTCAGTCTGGCTCGGCCTGTGTGAACGTATAAAGCCAGGGTGTACTCACTAAACTAGCTCAAGCCTCGCTTTATCAGTTATCCTGGATTTCTTCATTCTGCTTTAATGATATAGGTGGTTATCAACTCAATAAGTCATCCCCTGTTTTCCCAGTGTAGCCATGAGCGTGTTCACATGAAAGGGCTGGTGTTTGCAGCATGTGACCAGTTGCGAACGTGGACAAATCTACTGGCAGGAGAGCAGCATATTTTACAAATGAAGAGCAAACTATAATACTAGACAAAGAAATACGAAGAAGTTAATCCAGCTACGGAGCAACACAGTTGCAGGGACGACCGCTGGCAACAAATGGCAGACTGTATCATTAGCACACAAGGAGGTCTGTAATACATTTGTGAATTCCATTAAATGAATGTGTTCCTTACATGTATTCTTATGGCGTGTATGACAATGACAACGGGGGGTGTGGCCCGGCTGTAAGAGACTCTCTTGATCCTCATACTGGGCTCCACGGGATCTTCTACAAATGGTGATGCCATTTTCCAAGAGAATTCATTTGTCAGTAGGCAGTGCTTTTAATCATCAATCTGTAATCTCCAACATAATGCTCCAACATCCAACATGCTCCAGAGCAGGGAAAGTGTGCAGCAGCAGTTAACCACCATCGTAAACCTAAAAACCCAGGGTTAAATCTGAAGGTACCACGCTAACCCCAAATCCTTGTCACACAGCCGTCTGAACTTCTGTCAAAAGCAAACTACAAATAAGTGTTCTGATTCCAGAAAAAGGACTGTGTTTGTCATTCTGAGTGAGGGGTTGCTTCATTTTTCAATTCAAATGCTCCTTTTCTGTGCTGTTTGAAAAGAGCTGCAGTGAATGAGCCTGAGACTGGCTAAACAGCATTTTAAAAAGCATCTCAAATTGTAGCTTATTCATGTAAAAACAGTCAGAAGTGACACTGAAGGAAAACAAGAAAAAGTAAAGACAAACCAAACCTTGGTGAAGTGTCCTTGAAAGCAGCAACAGCAGCGGTGTGAAGAGGCGGCGAGACACGAAAGAGAAAACTGCTCAACTGTGCGCTGCTGCTCACTGCTTTTGTCTTACCATTGTTTGCTAATGTACAGAGACGTGCGAGTTTAACTTGAAAGCAACGAGACAAGGAATTATAATGGCTTCTGACTGAAGGTAAAAACCCCTCAGATGCCTCAGTCTGCCTTTCCAGTCCGACACATAAAAGACTCGTCCTTGAGCTTCAATCTGCACGCTTTTGTCCGAACAGCAGCCGCCTCCTACCGTTCACTGCATTCCTAAGATGCTCTCTGTTTTTCTCTCTCTTCTCTTTTTACCTATCTCCACCCCTCCCACCTCAACAGAAGACCTACCGTGACTTCAGGCTGCAGGGCGTCCTGGATGGCACGCTGAACAACAAGAGCTACGAGACCATCTACAACCGGCTTACAGTGGAGGAAGCCACAGCGGCTGTCAAAGCGGGAGACGGCCTGCAGGGTATCAGCATGAGAGACAGCGATGAGGAGGACGATTAAACACACACATTTCATACTTTCACACACTGTGTTACTGCTTGATTATCATCCTCTCTTACAGATCAGGACCTTATATTACAGTTAATGATATGCGTCCTCTATAGTGAACTCTACTGAAACTACAGTAACAAATGTAATATTATAATAAGGCCCTGAAAATGAAAAAGAAACATCAAAACAAAATGTCATGCTAACTTTAGCTAGCTGTTCTCCACTGAACTCCACTTCATTCAGTCTAAATCAATATAAACTAAAACTAATCAGAAATGTATATCTGGCCGCTGAGCAAAACACTTGCTGTGTGATTAACTGCAGGGATAGGTAATGTTAGATAGCGAGCCAACCCCTTTTAGCTCACTCATCATCTCCTGATGGAAAATATAAACAAAAACATATCTGACACTGTAGGTGACTAATATAATTTCATCATAATGTACACAAAGGGATACCTGTCACCTGGTATCAGGACAAGTCACACTCACAATAGATTAGCTAGCAGACCATGTTGTTAATGCATGTTCTCTGTTCAACACTTACAACCGCAGTAAACCTCTTTAAAGGTGCAGTGTCCAAGTTTAGGAGGATCTATTGGTAAAAATGGAATATAATATGCATAACTTTGTTATCATTAGTATACAATCACCTGCATATAGGAACCATTGTGTTTTTGTGACCTCAGAAGGAGCCATTTTATACCATTTTATCCTTTCGCACTTGGAAGGGGAGGGTGAAGCGAGGGGGTTTCAATCTGCAACTACACTGCTAGATGCCACTAAACCCTACAGGAAAACGATAGAAAGAAGAAATGGTTATCAGGCACAATGTGCTTCTTAACAGCAAAGCAAGCTACACTAATGTTAGCTAGTAAGTTATTTTCTAATAAAGTTTGCTTCACTCAGTCACACTCAAGAACAAAAATTTGAAATCTGAACTCTTTAAAAAGGTAAAAATTTGATAAAGATACATCGTGACCAGACCTGAATTAAAGTTATACCCCTGATTTGAATTTAACGTTACGTAAGCTGGCTGACGTTAATTTAATAGCTATCATATTTCTAAATAACAGGACACATTCATTCAGACAGCTGTTGTTAGGTGATGATGGACACATTTAGAACAGTTACAGTCATAATAGATAATGGAGTCCAGCAGTTACATAGCTTTCTTGGCCTACCATAAAAATAACTCCACAGAAATTCTGCATCAGCTTTTTGATTTAAATACAAATTTATCATGAGGAGAACTAAATAAAGAAATCTTCACAAATTAAAGGATAGGGCTGGCATTGTTGTATATTTTTCTTTAACAAATCCAAAGAAAAGACCAAAACCAACAATGTTGTTGTCAATTTCTCAATACTTTCCAACTTCTCTACCCTGTGTGATTCATCATGGAGGTGAAAAGGTGAACCCTTTTTATGCTTTACAGCCACATACCTTATTTTCTCTTTAGACTGAAAACTTTGATGCTCAAAAAAATCTTTTGAAAAAAACTACAACGTCATGCTTCACACTGTTTCTCTCCGACTCCTCCGTGCAGAGTGCAGTTGCACATGTGCAGTAGAGGTAACATATCATGCATTATGACTGAATGTCCTGATCAGGTAAGGATGAATGCTCAGGTAGTGACACCCTCCGCCCCCTGAGCGCTGCTGTTCATACGTGTTGAAACGTACGTACATGAGTGAGAATGTACGATAGTGTCAAGGTGAGGCAAGGCATCTGAAGGACACTCTGGATGGTGCTGAGACAAACGTGGTCCTCCCTCTCTCACCTGCAGGACAGGAAGCCCCGCCCTCCACATGCAGCCATACTCTACTCTCTGATGTCACTTTGTACAGTAGAGCTCAGCGATCACCACCAGTGCAGCTCCTTCCTGTTTGGTTTTCATCCAGTTATAGCTTATTGTTGAAAGCGTGAAAGGCTCCGGCAGCTCAGAAACCCCAGCGTCGGAGTGACCTTGCCACAATTTATGGCATTTTACTGAAAGCAACAGCAGCTAAATTAACTAACGAGATTTCTTTTTATTTGACAGGAGGCTTGGAATTGTAAGGGTTTATTTGACTGTTTTAATCAAAGTTACATCAGCATGACTGCCTGAACAATATCACCATTCTTTTCACTGGAATAGTGGGAAAATCTGCATAACACAACTTACAATGCCAACGTTTCTGCACTAGTGTGTCTTTTATGTAGTGAAACAGAAAGTAAAGTCGGGGTGGTATATAGATTTAAGCAAGTGTTTTAGTTGCCTAAGAGTACCCAGACCTTAAAGGATTATTATGGTTTTTATCACCGTTTGGATCTTTGTTCATAGATAGACAATAATATTTTTACTGTTCCCCTTCATTTTCCGTTTGTCTGACTGCCCGTGCTTTTTGGACTATTGCACTTCCAATAACTTTGAATGTTATTGTAAATTGACGGTCGATAGACCCAATTTGTAATAAACAAGGAGTATCATTTACCTTGAGCTTAACCACACGTTCCACAATAATCTTTCTGTAACACAAAATAAGTATTGAACATTAGCGTTTCATGCTCAGAAGCTTTGTCACAAAATCAAGGGTTTTCTGGAGCCGTCTGTCAAGGTTTTTTGTGGCAATAGTTTTGAACTTTCAGAACAAAAAACCAAATGACTTTATAGCTTCATGTTTGATGTTCAGTGTCTCTGCAGTAGAACTCTTATAACTCCAAGCTAATAAAACGTTGCTGCTGTAGTTTCTGAATCTGAACCTTTGGTAGCTCAAAATGTCAGATCGGTGGCCTCAGGTGGAAGAAAAGATGCAAATACACAAAATATTTCTACTCTGGTTGTCCACTGTAAAATGAAATATCACTAAAACAGGTTTCTGGGTTCTGTGAAACAGATCTACACAAAAGTTTCATTACTCGAAGGTCTTAAAAAGTGCTGAAACGGCATCCGAACTCTCTGATTGGAGAATAATTGTTCAGAATCATGACTACATGTCGATGTAGTTGTAGATCTGCTGTCATCTCTGTTCATTGTGATAGTTACTGTTGTGAAGAATAATATTGAGCTGTAGAGTGATATGGTCTTACTGCCTGATGTGCATCATATCCAACATCGATCAAAGTCTTAGAAATGTGCCAACAAACTGGAAAAGTTTGGACTTTTTTTCAACATGAACTTCTTCAGAGAATGTGGATCTGTTTTAATCTGATTGATGTGTTTAATCTGATCAACTGTGAGCAGACAAAGCATCTCATCTTTGCTGTGCGTTCACTGCTGTCTGTTTGCGTGTTGTCGTTGACAATATTCAGTGTAAGCCTCTGATGGACTGTGTGCAACAACCTGCTGTTTGTTTTAACTGTCCGATCCAGTTTGTGTCAGTGCAGTTCAAAGGACAAAAACTAAAGGACAAAAATCTATATGAAGAAGTATATTTATATTGTCTTATTGTGCACCTGTTTTGTTCAGGTGTCTTATCTAAGTGTCACTATTAAAAGTGTTTTTAAAGCACCTGTGTTTTCACCTCGTGGGTTATTATTTTCTTATTAAAAGATGAGCTTCTTGGCATCAGCCACCAACACAGCTACTGGTGCTCTAACCATGTTCTCCTATTTAGCATTTAAACAGCGCATCCTTTTCCCCCCTACACAAAGCAGCAACATAAAGAAAAGTTTTCCCAGTTTGGTGTGGAGGAACTTGACTGGGCTACACAGAGCCCTGACCCCAACCCCATCAACACTTTGTGGATGAACTGGAACACCTACTGTGAGTCAGACCTGATCCCCCAACATCTGGTGGAAAGCCTGAAACCTGAAGAGTGGAGGCTGCAGCAGAAAATGAATGCCATGGTTTTGGAATGACACTGGGCTTAACTTAAATACACAGAACCAGGTGAACATACTGTATAAGAAAAAAATGTGTCAGCAATTTGTTTCTAAGTCAAGTTGTCCAAACTTCCTTCAAACTCACAGAACTTTATTTTACTGTGAAGATCATAAAATTCCCAGTTGTTACAAAATAAGTACGGCTGAAATTTGTGTAAATGTGAATAAAACAGAATATTTCCATCTGAAGGAACGGTGCAACCTTAGAGGGCCTTAAGGCCAAACGCATTACACATTCTTTTTATTATTATTATTTAATAAGAATAATATGGCCATAATGCATCTAAAGGTTCTACAACATTAAAATTGACTTCCAGCAAAGACACCAATAAATAAAGAGAGCAGAAGTATCAAATTCAAATGTACAAGGTAATTTGAAAAAATACGTGTTATTAATAACCAGCATCCGATTTCCTCATTTTCCACCTTGATATTATGAACAGCAAGATATTGTTTATCAATTCAAATAAAGAACTGACAGCGTTCCCACAGGCCTGGAAAACCTGGAAAAATAGCGGGTAATTTCCCATGGAAACACCTGGAAATTGATTAAAATGATCAAATGGAAACTGGAAAGTGTTTTAATGAGTTTAAGCCTCATTACTCAGAGGGCCTGTGTGCAACCTGGGTGCATATTGAGTTTGACAGTGGGCAGTTGGTAGGAGGGCTGTGCGCTATGACGGTTTACGCAGCAGGACGCACTCGAGGCAACAGCGTCAGTTTATTTTCCGAAGCCAGAGAAACTCAATAGACCACCGACCCGTACTGGACACTGCATCAGGAGCCCTGCGTCCTTAAAATACTGGAGTTCAGTGTGTCAGTAGGCGGGGAATGATATGACTGTCTGTGAGCTAGTGCTGTATAAACTCCTGTAAAAGTCAACTGCAGTCCGCCCTGCTGGGAGATTCTGTTTTTATTACAGAAGTCAATAAAAATAAAAGATGAGGAACCACAAATATCTGAATGGGTTTATACGCTCACATTAATACACAGGCTGATAATGAGCACTGAACGGGATGAAATCAAAGGAGTCAGGAGTTAATATCACTGTCACAAAATGAAAGAATTAGGTGTGAATAATTCATAAAACTGGTTGTGCCTGTAGACAAAAACAGGGCAGATTATCATTGACTGTGTTACAGATACTAATAATAATATTTAGCACTTCCTATGATTAACATACAACTCATATTTACATATTTATTTTTTGCATAATTGCTTCTTTCCTCACAGAACATACAACTCGCTCCTTAATTATATTGAACACAACACATTCCACTCATTCTATTTATTTCTTCCATAGCTGCACTTACTGTAGGCCTGTTTATGGCTCATATTGTACATAGCATCCCCTCACACTGTACGTTACCCTATACAGAGGGTCATTCTGTTTTTTTTAATTTTATTTACATGTTGCTACTACTTGCACTTTGTAGTAAACTGCATTTCGGATAATGCATAATACACATAATACATGATAAAACATAGGATTATTATAATAATAATAATAATTATAGTTATTATTATTATTATTATTATTATTATTATATTAGTAGTAGTAGTAGTAGTAGTAGTAGTATAACACTTTGATGTCCTTAAGCATTAATAACAAGTAATATACAAACATTTGATAAATGCTTTCTGACATTATAATTCAGTTGTAAGCAGCTAAAGAACATTATTTGTGTTTACCAATGTACAATATGTGTTAATAATTGTAACTTCTGTAATATTTTGTATTATTTCAGCTGTGTTTTACCATATTGTCATTCACTATTTGTTTATCAGAATCAGAAATACTTTAATACTTTAATACAATACAATTTTATTTTAAGCCTCCAACTCTGCTGCTCTCAGAGTTATATGAATCAACACTATTATCTGCTTACATTATATTTCGTTATAAATCGTTTATTATTGCTTAGAAATGCTAAACAAGAGGGTTTTAAAACAAGAGAGTATTTCCATTAATATTATTATTGTTATAAAACAAAAAGTTTCAAAAACATAAAATATGACAAGGCCAAAACAATGCATAATAAAAATAAAAACATAACATGGAGCAGATAAATAATAAAATGCAGTAAACAAACATTAACGGAATAAAATGAAATGGGACAGGCCGGACAGCACAGGAGCGGGGTGCAGTCTATTACACAATATTACTGACTGGTCTATAGTAAAGTGTGCGACTTGTAATAGTAGGCCTAATGATTTTTACAGCCTTGTACTAATAATGTGATTTTGTTTTCTTTGCGACCTTAAATATCCAACAACCCTTAAAAACACTGGAAATCCCACACTTCATTAAAACTATAAGGCTTCGTTATTCGTTCATTCCCCACAGGTTCTGAGTGGCATCACTTTACAGTTTGTAAAAATAATATATATAGTATAATAAATATTACCATTTCCACATATGAGATTGTTTCTATATGTATTATTTCTTCTCATTATTCAGCTCTTTGAGTTTTTGAGCCTTTGTGAGTGGCTGAGGACGTGAATGATCCGATTTTCATGTTGAAGATAAAAACCTTCCTTTTCTCTGCGGCTGTCTTTGACTTCTTCCTCACAGCGAATCAATTATTTAATGTCACGACTCAGGAAACAAAAGGATTGGACTCAGGCAAAGGAGGAAGTGGTTTATTAGATGGAAATAGCTTACTGGCAGGGACAGGTACAGGCAGGCATGTAGACAGATTATGGGCGGAGTAAACCAGGTGAGAGTGGAAACGGGGGGGGGTTATTGAAGGGCAGGAGGCAGTGGCTGGGTCAGAGGGCATCTGCTGCACAGGAAGAGAATGGCAATGACCGAAGGAGTGGGAATGTGGCTGGAGGAAGGGGAGAGAGGCAGAATGTGATCATTATCCAAAGAAATGTTCCAACTAATCAAACACTGTCTGACTGTAAAACGCTTTCTGTAAAACTTTTTGCAGCGCTCACAAAGTTCTTCCAAATAAAACCATGAACATATTTTGTGTAATGCACCAATAAAAGAACATCAGCGTGAGTCCACCAACACAAACAGATCATATGTCTTTGCTGTGCTGCGGTATGTATTTGCTGAGTGTGTTCGTGTCGCTCTTCAGGCCCTCAGCGGTCACTTTTATTTATCTCCATATTTTCTTCAAACCCTAAAAGGCTAAATCAGCATCAAACCCACTCCCTTTCCGCTTTCATCCCTGACAAGATGAAGGTATTGTTGTACACTGTCAGTCTCATTGATTCATCCAGTGGAATTTGCGTTTCTGCTCGCTGAGTTTTTTTTTTTTTTCTTCCTTTTTTTTTTTACAGCGTGCTCTCTGTGCGTAAAAGAGCCGTTTGCATTCGATAGAAATACAGGACGCAGTGAGAGGAGAGCGCAGGTTATTTCTCATGTTGCTTCTTTAGCAGACATCTATCAGAGTCTAGCTAGAAGAGTGTTTTCTGCCGCGCGTGGATTTTGGCATCCAAAAATCTGCTGCGTAAAAGAAAAGGGAAAAAAAGCGCTCGAGTCAAAGTTTGTGATTCTAAGACCCAAAGCCCACCCAAGCTGAGATCGATGACACGAAATCCATTTTCTGTTCAATACCTCGATCCGTTTCCTGTCTCAAGTTCACCCACATGACAGCTCTGTGTCCTCTCTGAGGCGTGCGTAAAAGGGCTGGGTTTCAGGAGCCAAGGATGCGTCCAAATCTGATGTAAAACTCTGACAGCTCCTGACCCCGCGGCCGCTGCGCGTCTGGTGTACTGCGATTAGAAGAAAGAAAGTGATGTCACGCGAAGCCACAAGGGGACCTGGGATTTACCAAATACCTTCCAGTTGAGCAGGAGTCCTGCCAAGTAAGGGACAACCTCCTCCTCCTCTCTTCCTCCTCTTCCAGCGGCGACAAGTGCAGACAATCGACGGAGGAGAATTGAACAAATTATCTACCTTTCCGCTCTCCTTCCTGGACGGTAACGATCGACGAGGTCTCGGCTCTCTGCACGCCGTTATCGAGCGAGCTGCGGCCGCCCTGATTGTTGTCAATAACAGAGAGAACAGCGCCGGCGATTAGGAGGGGGGGTTCCCCGGCAGATGATGCCCTTTCCTGCGGGCCGGTGAGGAGCAGCACCGACCTCCGGCTTCCCTCCAGCAGCTTGTTGTTGTTGTTGTTGTTGTTGCGGCGCGGTTGATGTGGAGGTGATGGACGGTCCTCTCCGCCGCCCAGCGGGGATCCTCGGCTCCCCCTCGGCTTCTGGGAGCCAGCCCGCGGGCTCCGACATGCTCACCTCCGGCAGCAGCAGCAAGCCTCTCGCTTTCTCCATCGACCGGATTATGGCCAGGACGCCCGAGCCCAAGTCGATACCGCTTCCCAGCTGGTTCCAGTCCGCTCCCGTGGGGAAACCCGACGCCTGTCCGTCCTCGCTGCATTGTATGATCCCGCTGGTCCCACTCGGGTACGAGCCGGGCCACCGGCTCAGCGTCACCGGGCTGGATCCGGGCCACTTCGACGCTTCTTCTCTCGCCGCTCCCGCAGACTTTTTGGGCTTTGGGTTGAACTATAAGAACCAGCAGGAGGACTCCGCTGTGAGCCAAAGCACCGGCCAGTACAAACTCTTCAGACCCCGCGTGGTGAACCAGTCCTCCTTCCCCACCATGGGCACCGTGTGCTACCTGAACTGCAGCGGGGACAGCGGTGCGTGTCCCCCGCCGGCCGGCCTGGTCAACCTGCACCCGATGGCCTCCTACCTGCTCACCGCCCGGCACAAAGCCTTCATGGCGGAGAAAAGCAAGCCGGGCCTGCAGCAGGCCGGAGAGCGGTACCCGGTGTCCGGCGTGCAGGCCTTCAAGGAGCTGTCTCAGAGCCAGATCCAGCACTACATGAAGGAGCGGGACCAAATCCTAACCGACAAGATCTTCAAGGGCTCCGCGGCGGCGGCGGCGGCGGCAGCGGCTCGGCTCAGCGGGTCCTGTCCCGGCAACAAGCCCAAAGTTTTCACCTGCGAGGTCTGCGGCAAGGTGAGAGTCCTGGACGGAACATTCATTAGATTACATGCGAGGAAACTAAACCACAGGAACTCCCCCAAACCTGCAGTGTGATTCATTTGTTAATTAAACAATCGATTGCGAGGCTTTAATTCCTGATTCTTTTTCTTTCTTTTTTAAATTCTGGATGGATTTGAAAAAATAAAATAAAATCCGATCTACTCAGGCTGTTTGGGGAAAATATTTCTTACAATAAATAGAAATAAACTCCAGAAAAGTAGACTATTAGATTTGATCAGGGTGATAGATTATTAGGTAGTGACTTTAATTCCCTCTCATTTAGAGGTAGGCTATAGCTATTAAATATGCTCTAACTTTGTAACATGTTTGTTTCATAAAGAAACTAAATTACGACAGGATTACAAACGAACTACTGTTTTAATTTAAGTTTATTAACATTTTTATGTTTGCTGACTAAATATAGAAACAAAACTGTATTTATTTAGACTTTCTTTCAGGGTAAATTCAGATTGTTTCCTCTTTGATTTCATTTTGGCCCCTTTTCCAGAACATGTGATTTTCCAAAATTAGCATTTTTATCTATCATAACCAGAAAAGTATCATTTAGTCATTAAATTGTTTGTTTTTATTTTTTTCTTCGTCGCGCTTTGTTTTGTTTTGTTTACCCGTGCTGTGTACGGTCTGATCCTCTTTTAAACCGGATACTGAGCTCCACATGAGATGCTGGATGTGCAAAGGTTTCTCTCACCGTGTCAGTATGTTTACCGTGAACCCGCAGACAGAGGAGAACAGAAAATGAATGAAACCTCATTAATTCCTCTGTTAAATCAAGATTAGTTACTTATTAAAAAAGCCAAATATTCTTAAGGATGACATGTGCTGTTTAGGAATGTTTGTTTCTTTGTAACGCGGGTTTATGTCGTTATTATTGTGTTTTAAACGGTCCATTACATTTACTTCAAGTCCATTAAATTACCCCTGAGAGATTACCTTTAATTGCCTTTAATTACACTCAATCTGATAATTAAAGGGCACGCGATCCTTTTTTTTACTGTCTTTTTGGCTTTAATGGAAAGAATCCACGAGCCACTTGATAAATCCTTAAACCAGGACAGGAGGGGGTTAAATGTAGCCTATAGTATTATTATTATTATTATTATTATTATTATTGTTATTATTATTATTATTATTATTATTAAATATTATTTAACATACATTTTACATTTTCTCTTCCAGGTGTTTAACGCGCACTACAACCTGACTCGCCACATGCCCGTGCACACCGGCGCGCGACCTTTCGTGTGTAAAGTTTGCGGGAAAGGATTCCGACAGGCGAGCACACTGTGCCGACACAAAATCATCCACACTCAGGTAGGACGGGGGGTCATAATTCAGTCCGTGTTTTTGGATTGTTTTTGTTTGTTTTTTTGTTCTTTACTTTGAATTTAAATTATTATTATCAGTGTTTTAAAATCAGTCGTACTGGCACGAGACAAGTTAATTAATAAAAGTAATAAAAAAATAGCCTAGGCCAATTTATTTCCCCCGGATATCTGTGACGCATCAAAACCCTGATAACAAAATAAAATGTGGTCCTCCTTACAGGCCTGTTGTTAACAGAGCGCATTCATAACTTTGAAGAACACCTGTCAGTCACTTTTAAAGCGACAGCAGGTACCAATCATATACATTTATCTGTATTTTTATTTGTGGGCGGGACTTTTAAAATACATTTAAAGACCAAACCCACTTTAAGGTTTAAAGATAAATCTATGTGTCCTCATTAATCCTGTAATCCATTTAGTAAAAGTATCCCTTTATTATAAAGAGGAAGATGGTGATTTCACAGACGCATTCAAGTCCAACTGAAATTTCAACATTTTGTGTAAATAAATAGAAATGATAATGACAGCTATTGAACGGTTTTCCTTTTTCCTGAGACGGTGCTGGTGGAGACAGCTGTTTGTTGTGTTTGAGCTCCTCCTGTGGCATCACTGTGACACTCCATCCATACAGAAATATCTCTACAGTATTCTCAGACTAATGTTCCCACTGAAAATGTGCAGAACGTGAGCCATATTCAAATCCTGAAGCGAACAAATGAAAAATAAAAAACAAATCCTGTGTAATACCCTAACGGAGTGAGGTCAAACGGGCATTAAAGTATCGACCTGCTTCACTGTGGATCCTCTCGTGGTGCATCACAGAAACATTCCTAATTTAAATTATATTAATGATAATACTCAGTAATATTATTTCATTTTTTTCCACCGTGATGGGCTCATTTTATTTCTTTTTTTTATGTTTCCAGGAAAAACCGCACAAGTGTAACCAGTGCGGGAAAGCCTTCAACCGCAGCTCCACCCTCAACACGCACACACGCATCCACGCGGGATACAAACCGTTCGTGTGCGAGTTTTGCGGGAAAGGATTTCATCAGAAAGGTGAGGATGACCTGCCCAAAGAGTCCCTATTTAATCCTTTAGTAAAAGAACCGGAGCTCAAAATGACAAACTGATCACAGTCGCTGCTTTTCAATTTGAAGGATCATAATCTTCAATCAATAATAATAGTAAAAATAATAATAATAATAATAATAATAATAATAATAATAATAATAATAATAATAATAATAACAATAATGAAATATTTGTGTAGTTATTGTATTCTTGTAATAGGCCAATGTAAAATTCAGCACATCTACCGGAACACTTGAATTACATCGATAACAGAACAGGACTACGCAGAACTACCGAAGTAAAAGTATTAGCATTAGAAATATTACAGAATATTAGTGTCTACTTCAACAGTAGAAGTACTCATGATGCATAACAGCCCATCTCTGAGTACTATGTGTTTTATTATTATGTTTTATCATTTTAATGTTGCTGTAAAAGTGGAGCTAATTTTACATTTCTGGGCAGCTTGATTGCTCATAAAATGGAAGCCAGTAAAGTACCAGAACTTTAACACTGAGTAAATGTATTAGTTTCTTTCCAGCACTGAGGCCATTTTCAGTGCCTCATTAATAAGACACTGCTCATAGATCATCAGGAGAGTTGGAAGCACAGTTTGGAGGCCAATTCAGATATGTTGTTGGACTAAATATCTTTAAATTTGACTCTCAGGCAAAGTGTCCTCAAATCATTTTTTTCAAGATACTAATTTTTATTTTCAATATAGTACTTTTGTTCCCTTAAATTACTGAATTAGTCACCTTTATTCAGTAAATTGTCCTGTCAGATTACTCCATTTGGCCCCCCTGCATCTCCCTTCTGCAGAAAAGTTAAAACAACATTTTTATGAACTGAATTCTGCTATTTATCTATTTAAGTTTTCTAAGCAAAATCAAGGCTGTTCCCACCACTGAAGACACTGAGGTCTGTGTTTGATGATTTCAACAGCCATAATTTTAATTGTCAAATCTAGCAGTAAAAATGTCAACTTCAGAATCGTAACATTTCAGGCTTTTCTTTAGATTTATACCTATTTTATTGTTACATAAATAATCCAACGGAACAACCAAAGCCAAAAAGTTTCATAAGTATTTATTATTTTGCTTTGAAAGTGAACAAACTGTGAAAGTACAAAGTTTTTTCTTGTTTTTTCTTGTGCTCATCTGACACCCCGTCCTCTGTCTCCGAGCAGGAAACTACAAGAACCACAAGCTGACGCACAGCGGGGAGAAGCAGTTCAAGTGTTCCATCTGCAGCAAGGCGTTCCACCAGGTGTATAACCTCACCTTCCACATGCACACGCACAATGACAAGAAGCCCTTCACCTGCCCCACCTGCGGCAAGGGCTTCTGCAGGAACTTTGATCTGAAGAAACACATCAGGAAGCTGCATGACCCGGCAGGCCCGCAGTCGCCACCGCAGGCCTGAACATTGCCTCTGTACCCGTCATCCCAATTCACCAAAAAAATACATCAGGTCCGCCGTGACCTCCCCCGTCAGGCCTGGAACTAAACTTACAGAATATGCCAGATGTACGGATGCACCCTGTAGGTGTTAGGGATTTTTTTTTCATAAATTAGGAACTTGTGCCCTCGCTTGACCAATTTTTGTATTTTGTTACCCCGAATTAGTAACTCAGAAACCTCCTGACTTAATTAATTTCTTTTAATCAATAATTAATTAGAATTTACTTCAAATCACTAAATCCTGCATTCAGATATCTTCATATGGCCACTTTTGTCTTTCCTGTACAGCCATGAAATATCTTTAATTTGGACTCTTTTGAGACCTTAAAAATAATGGTCTAAATCAAAGCAGCAGAGGCCAAGACTGGATTCTGTCTTTGGATTAGAATCTCCCAGCCTTGTAAACACCTGCATTTTTCAAACTCCACATGTCCAGTTTGTAACGCAAATTTTGTCTCAGACAAAAGTTGACAATCATGATCAATCATGAAGAAATATGGTGAACCTCATTTCCAAAATCTGGGCAGTGGCCTGGCTGAAAAGGGACACATTTTTGCATTAAATTATGAAATCCAACAGTATTTTGTCACATTATGATGAAATGTGATCTCTATTTACTAAAGTTTGGGGTCAGTAAAACTTATGTAAAACATTTTTGATGAGGTTAGTGTATGTTTTAAAGAAAGGGTCATTTCTTAAATACAAATGCCTACAAATAACAGACATTTTTCATTTGTACAAATTTCTCTGATGCGCCGCCCTAAATGTCACCCAGAAGAAACACACAAGGAAACCCTGTCCTTGACTCCTCCAGTCACCTCTCAGGCCTGTTGACCCCCAGCCTCACCTAACCCCCCGAACTTGACCCTGAAAAAGCCATCAGGACACTTCCTAACCCCTCCAGGACCCACAGTGGCAGTGGCTCAGACCTAATATGACCAAAACCTTGACCCCTGACCTCTGAACCCTCTGGCCCTGACACAGGCCTGGAAACTGGCGGGAGAAAAGCTTGCGACTAGCCACGATGCTTCTGTTGCTCTCAGCTCATGCTGGACTGAGGAGACTGTACAGAGGACACACTGAACTTTAACTTTCCTGCCCTGATTATTAGTTGATTATTACGGTGGCTAATTATTATATCATTAGTCATCAGTGATTATTAGTTTTCATTATTTTTCAGTTGCATCTCAGGATGTGAGATTGATGAACCCTAATACCAGAGATGCTGCAAAAAAAGGAGGTGAAAAAACCCCGAAACAACACAGATCAAGTCATATTTGACCCCATTTTATTGTCAAAAACAGGATTTACTGCCATACCAACAAATGTATTGGTATTTTTTATGATGTCAACAAATCCATGAAAAAACAACGATGATTTGATCCCACTAACAAGTACTGTGTGTATCAAACCCTGATATATCTTATTCCTCTGTGTGATAGAGCTCCAGTGTTGTCCAACAACTACTGAAAGCCACACTGTTGTAAATAGTCCCCAACAAATTCCATATTTCCTCCTGTTTGAGTAACGTTGGATAAAAGCTACAGTGAGGAGTTGTTGAAAGTACTGAAAGAAGGACTGACACATTATTGTTTTTCATCTTTTTATTGGATTTGTTGACAAAAATGCAGAATAACACCAGACTTATAGTTGTCATCACATGACCCCGATATGGAACTTGGGTCACATGATAGCAGGTGTTTGTTCTGTACTGACTCGAGACTGTTTGGATGTGCTTACGTCCACACAACGGTGAAGAATGTCTGACCTTCATTACAACTTGGGTTTTATCATCGGTGATTACATTTTACTCACAGAGCTGAGATCTGAGGACACAGTGACATCGCTAAAAAGATGTCTGCAAACACGAGCAAACGATGTTGTGTGTACACAGTTTTCCTCTTCAATTCAGGATTTTTACCCAAATTGTCACTTTTAGTACAACGTTATTATTAATGATAGAAATGATGGTCAAAGCTATGAAAATAAGGCCCAAGTTGTAATAAACCAGAACGTTACCACTATAAGACTGACTATTCTTCTACACGGTTGATGTGATCTGGATATAAACACCCTCAAATTAAAGCTGACAGTAACAAATTCAACTTCTGTTTCAAGTAAAAAAACTAAAAAAAAACTGTCGGGCTGTACTCAGATTCTCACCTCTGCATCTCTGGTCCTGACTGGCGGAGGAAGACGAGCTGAGGCCTTTCAGTCAGTTGTTATTTTTGATTTCAATCTCAGGATTATTGTAAAAAGAAGTGTTTTATGATATTTATTTTAAATTCTACCACTGTTATAAAAGATTCTTGTCAAGGTGAAGGTTCATTTCTTTCGGCCTCATGCTGCAGACGCTTAACAAGGAAAATAAATGATATCAACTGTGTGTGATCACTTCCTCTAAACATTATTTCACTATGAATATTAAACAAAATATGCTGACTGCATATTAGCTTAACAAAAGTAAAAACATAACAAAATAAAGAGAATATTCATACGCTGGAGACTGAAGAGTTTGGATTCATCATCAGCATAAAAAGGCTGCAGTACAAATGTAGACTACATTTAAAAACTATACTTCATAAATACAGACATACTGAAGTCATTGCTTTAAAACACACACACACACACACACACACACACACACACACACACTCTAAAGTAACAACATGTAAGTAAATACACACAGAGCAGGCGAGCTCAGCAAGGCTTCACTTCATGGTTCTGAAGTTGAATTCATGGCTATAATATATGGTCGAACACACACTTTAATAGAGGTATATATGATGGGTGGGTGTCACTCAGCTCTTCATCAGCTCTTCATCAGCTCTTCCTCACACTTCAGCCTGTTGCTTCGGTCATCACAGTGCGACGGGCTGAGCAGGAGGCCGCTCCTCAGCTCTGGATGCTGATTGGTGGAGAGACTTCAGCTTGCAGATCCTGCAGAGACAGCGCGTGCTCTGAAGACGCTCTACGGAGGAACGCCGCACGTCCGGGTAGCGAGCGTTTTTAGTCTGTGGGCAGCTTGTACGGGCGGTCACATCCACGTAGCACCGCCCCGCCTGGGAGTTCATCAAAATATCCTGAACTTTCTTTCTCTTGAGTAAAAGTAAATCCAGACATGCGTGTGTTTTTTCTAAACTATTGCTCCGAAAATGCGCGTTTGTACTGTACTGAACCGTCCACACGGGGTGCGCTGTACACAAAAACAAAGGGACCCTTGTGTTGGCTCTACGGAGCCCTTGGTTTCAGACAGTCATCCTCACACAGAGGGAGCACACAGGTACATTTACACCATCGATGTGTTTGATCCCTCAGGCAGCAGGGACAACTATCCAGCATTAAACCGGAAATGTTGTGGTTTGACCTTCAAAATAAAATACAAACGTGTACAATTGAGACTAGTTTGACCATGTATCAGGACTGTCTGTACTGTACATTGGTAAAGGGGCTGCACTTTGTTGTGCTTTCAGCAGTCTCTACTACTGTTTTAATCGTCTCCTTATTAAAAATACTGATATATTTTGCAGTTGATATTCTTACATTTTAGGTCTAATTTGTTGTGAGTAATATGTAGCACCGGGTTAAAATCAGTTTTCCATATTTGTCTTTTTCTTTGCTATGTTTGCACATTACGGAGGACAACTCATTTTCTACAATGTTTTATATCTGAAACTATTGTCGGTCTAATTCAGCTTTTTGTCAAAGGAAATTTAGTTTTGCATGACCTAATTTTATTTTCTAGCTGTGTTTATATGAATCAAAGCAACCGTATTATTTTCATAACCAAGAGATATTCAAGTTTATTATGAACTGCTCTCTGGTTCATAATAAACTTGAACACACAAGCCATAAGAAAGCCAATGCTATCTTTTTGTACAGCACCTGGGAAGTTTATTTTCTGTCTGTGAGAAACAGAGAAGATGTTCTTTCCCAAGAACTATATCTTATTTAGCCGGAACCTCCTTTCTGCGTTAGTTTATTTTATTACGATAGGAGGGACAGAGAGTTTATTTTCTCAAAAACAGCTTTATCCTTATCTGTATTCAAGGACAATGTCCTCTGTGGTAGACGGTTTAAGTGACAATGTTTTCATGTCTCTAACACAGACTGTATAATAAATAGTGGATGGAGCTGGTTTGTGAAATGAGGCCAATGCGGAAGCAAAAAGAAGCCCAGTTGCATGTAATGTAATAAAAAACAGTTTCGTAGTGAGTGTCAATCACTAGTTTCGAGTCTTCTTCCATACAGCATGATGTTCATTTTGTCCTCTTCAGAGTAAAGATTTATTTTGAAATTCTGCCCGGAACCGGAACAGTTGAACCTGTAGCATGAACTGGAGTTGTGTGGACTTGCGGCTGCTCTCACCCCGGCTCACCTCTGAGTGACTCCGGATTTGTCGGTGAACGGTTTCGCCACATTTCCTCGTGAGGAGCCGGTCAGAAAGGTGAGTGCTTCACGTGCAGTTGATTATCGAGACTTTAATGAATGCGCGAGACTAATACGACTGAGCAGATCCCGGAACTCATGTGTTTGCTTTGTAGGTTAAAACAACCCAGAAGCTCCATTAATGTGTGTGTGTGTGTGTGTGTGTGTGTGTGTGTGTGTGTGTGTGTGTGTGTGTGTGTGTGTGTGTGTGTGTGTGTGTGTGTGTGTGTGTGTGCGCTGACTCTATAGTGACTGCTGTTAGTTCACTGAGAGGTATCGAACTGTTGCATATTACTGTTCACTGTCAGTCCTGAGGACACACTGTGTGTGAAACACTGCCTGTACTGATGTGTGAGTCAGTGTTTCATCGGGTTGTGGGAATATTTCAAACACAGTGGGTTCAGGTTTACTGTATACAGTAAGTACAGTGGGTGTACCCAGGGATCGAGACCCCTCAGGGGCCTGTAAGATACATGTGAGTGGTGGGAGAGGCTTACAGGGGTCTGTTTCTGCACTTCACACGGCTTAGCTTAGCTTAGCATGGAAACTAAAGGTGGGCAAACAGGGTGGTGTGTGGTAGCTTTATTGCGGTTGTGTCTGAGTGAGTTCTGACCGACAAAACCACCTGTTTCTCAGCAGCTCTCTCCCAGCAGCAAACCCAACTTGACCTCTGACCTCTACTGCCCATTGTTTGTCAAGTGGTAGATCTGTGCTGTTTTGATGGTCATTTTATTTTCCAATATTAGTCAGCTTTGCAATTCACGTCTTCATCGTGAGCGTTCAGCAGTATGTGGCTCCGTGTGTTTGTCCTGAGCAGGGGGGTGAAGTCATGTTCAGACTCCTCAGTCACCAAGGGAAGAGGACGCAGAGCTGCCTCGCAGGCCAGCGGCGCTATGAGCACCACAGGGCCGTCATGGCCATCCGCAGAGAGGATATCAACCCCTGGGAGAGGAGGGCGCCTCTGGCCCCGCGCCACGTCAAAGAGCTCACCAACGCCGGCGTCAAAGTTCTGGTGCAGCCATCCAACCGCAGAGCCATCCACGAGAAGGTGAGGCGCTAAACAATGTCTGATTGTAAAAAGAGAAGAAAACAGTGCACATCCCGAGTTTTAGATGTTAAACAATAACAAGGTACGATCATCAATCGGTAATCTTCAGTCTATCATCACTTTCTGTCGGTGTTTGTTCAGGTTTCTACCGGGAGCCCCATAATCCTCAGAGGTCTCCTCCTCTCTAAAATAAACACACCCAGTGATTAAAAGCCATAACAAACAAACAGAATAAAGCAGTTTCACCTTCAAAATCAGTGTTTCTCTGACACTGGTTGGGGGACAAACAACACCCCGGGCAGCCTGCCTGCTACTCTGGTGGGGGTTAAAACTGCATAAAAAGTCAATTTATGACAGCTTCTGGTGGACGACCACAATCCTGACACATCCAGGAATGAGCCATTAATAGGCAACCAGTGAAACTAACTAATACCTGAATAAAATGACAGATTTCTCTGAGTTTCTTTTGCACAAATACTCGGAAGTTTGTATTCATTTCATTCAAATAGTTCTTTATCTGTCTTTTCTTCCTCCTATCTCCTCCTTTCTACCTCCACATCTCTTGTGCTGCTGTAACATGTTAATGTCTCCCAGGGGCTCAATGAAGTTAGATCTTACTTTTTAGAAGTGTTGAATGCTTCTGCCAGCCGTCAAATTCAGCCTTTCTTGTTTTCAGTACTACATGAGGGCTGGGGCCATCGTTCAGGAGGACATTTCGGAGGCGTCTCTGATAATCGGGGTGAAGAGGCCACCGGAGGAGAAGGTCTTTCCCAGGAAGACATATGCTTTCTTCTCCCACACCATCAAGGCTCAGGAGGCCAACATGGGGCTTCTGGACGACCTGCTGACGAAGGTGAGAGCGCTCAAAAGATTTCTAAAATATTCCTGCATATCCCTACAATATGACACTTTTGTTCCAGTTATATGGTATATGTTGGACTGTGGGACATGGAGTTGTCATTGTAATCTGCTTCCATTTGGGATGTCCTACATGGTCAAAACACTGTGGAACCAGTACATACCAAGTGGGTTGGATACAACTCTTAATAGAACTGCTTCTACACACACACACACACACACACACACACACACACACACACACACACAGAGTGCACTGAATGAAAGTCAAGTTGATTCATGTAGCCCAAACTACAAATTTGTGTCTCAACTTTACAATTTGTACAATATACAAACTTTTCTACCCTTAAGTACATTTACTTACACTTAAGCAACCAGGATATGCAGGTAATTGGAGAACATGTTTACATGCACTGTACTAGCCTGGTTATTGTAAACCCATACATGCAGCAGGTCAGTGTGTATGTTAACGCACTGCTTGTGCAATCACACATACAGCAACAAAAGGTCAAGAAGCAGCAGGGCGTCTGTCAAAGCAGCAATAAGGGTGAACTGAGTACTGACTTATTCAGATGTGCTGTGGAGCAATGGTTGACACCTGAAACAGGAACACTTGTGTTGATTCCCGCAGTGAACAAACACAAATGGGATACAGATTCAATGAGAGACAAAACATCTGCCTGATATTTTCAGCACATTTAGCCTTATTAATGCTGTGGTAAAAAAACCCAAAATAAAATAAACTAAAATCTGTTGGTATGATGTATGAGAGCAGTTTTGTCTTCTGTACTGGAGATATTTAGATACTCTTTTATCTTTTGTCTCTTCCTTGTTGTATTACATGTGTATTTGTCTTACTTTAAAACTATAATGAAATATATTTTGTCTTCTCAGGAGGTTCGTCTGATCGACTACGAGAAGATGGTTGATCCTAACGGCTACCGCATCGTAGCGTTTGGTCAGTGGGCCGGTGTCGCAGGTACGGAAATGACGAAATGATGTGAAAGTGTTTGGCAGCAGCAGCTGTTGTGAAACTAATGGTAATGGTGAAGTACCTGGTTGTATTCAAACAACAGAGACATGTTTTTTTTTTTGTCAATAAAAAAATGGAAGCTGGTAGGTTTTGGAATCCACCAGCCACAACGGTAAGTGGGCAAAAGATTATTTCGAACGCGCTCTATCGTTTTGAGCAGCACGGTGACTCAGTGGTTAGCACTGTTGCTTTCAATTACCGGTGAGGTTTGCGTCTTCTCCCTGTGTTGGCTTGGCTTTCCTGTATCAAAAATGTATTTTGGGTTAATTCTCCAGTCAGTGCTCTTAACCAAGACACTGGCTTACATCTAAAGTTGGTCCCTGAGGTGTCGCACAGTGGCTGCCCACTGCTCCTTGTAGTTTGGATGGGTTAAATGCAGAAGACAAATTTCACTATGCGATTGACTGTGTATGATTGTATATGTGAGAATAATGTCGGAGTAGTCTGTAATCAGAATTAATTTTGTTTTTTGTAGGAATGATTAACATTTTGCATGGATTGGGACTGCGCTTTCTGGCTCTTGGGCACCACACTCCCTTCATGGTAAGAAAACATTGTTCATAAATTTGATCCAAAAACAAAATAACTGTAACTTAATATCTGTCATGAAAACAGCTTTCGGTGCCATCATGTGATTCTTATCCATCACTTCCTGACTCTCTGCTGTTCACAGCACATTGGTATGGCTCATAACTACAGGAACGTCAGCCAGGCCATCCAGGCAGTGAGGGATTGTGGGTATGAGATCTCCATGGGGCTCATGCCCAAATCAATTGGCCCCCTCACGTTTTGTTTCACCGGTACTGGCAACGTATCCAAGGTACAACAAGGTTTTAGAAAAAAAAACAACCACTAACACTAATACTCAGTATCCAGTAGAACTGTTTGAAATTGAAGTTCATCATGCTCCTCTCTTCATCCTGCAGGGAGCACAAGACATCCTTAATGAGCTTCCTGTTGAATATGTTGAACCACATGAGTTGAAGGATGTCTCTGAAACAGGAGGTATGAAGTTACTATGCTCATCTTTCTGGTTAAGTGTTGTATTACTGTGATGTAATGTGCATCATGTTCAATGTACAACAAAAGACCGTGCTGTACACAGTATGCTGTGTTACCATGGCAACTGCAAAAAACGAAACAAACCCTACACAGAGGGATACCATGCAGGAGTTATTTTAACTGATAGTTATGTTAGAATGCTAACTGGTGTAACATTAAGCGTATAGAGTGCTGCTGGGATGAAGTATTTTTGTAGTCCAACCTGAAAGTCAGCATCAGCATGAGCAGATTCCTTTGATTAATTGCCAGTGCAGTTTTTACATTGGAGTTTGGATATAAGCTCTGTGGTGATCAAAGTTTGATAATACTTAGACCTTTTTGTTCAGCGAGTTGATGTTTCCGATTTTTGAAGTGTTAATGTGATCGCCAGAAGTAAAAAGCTAGCGTTACAATAGGCTATAAACAAACCACACCACGGTCACAAGAACTCAACGTCATCACCACTAAACTTCCAACTCGTAATTAAATGTTGGAAATAAAATCTACAAGTTGGAAAAGAGAGTTTGCAAGAGTGTGAGTATAGACGACAGGGCTGTAAAGGTGGACTAGTGAGTAGATAAGTCACTGTGTTTGCTGTGCTGATGTTTGATGTCACCCACAGGCTTTTTAAAGACATGTAAAAGCTTTAAAATTCATGGGTGGAGTATTTACTTTTTGTCAAAGAACAAAATGTGAAAAATCTCTCAAACTCATTTGAACTGCAGACCTTATTTCAGACGTGTCACGTGACGTCAAACCCATTCAAAACATCCACTGACTTTGAGGCAAGGATACCGGTCAGAAATGCTAACTCATCTCTATAGTGTGAATTACTAATTGTGCCGACATGTGGACTTTAAAAGTCAACAGCAGTTAGGGAGGATCTGTTTATGTTTGTAGGAGCTCTGTAGTGAAGTTCATAAATGATCATTTACTGTATGTTGGTATTTATTGTTTTCCTGTAAGATATGACCAAAGTGTACGCCACCGTTCTGAGCCGACATCACCACCTGATGAGGAAGAGCGATGGAATTTATGACCCCATGGAGTACGAGAACCACCCGGAACTGTATACTTCACACTTCAGGACCAGCGTGAGTCTACTTCGATCCCCCCACCCCTTCGCTAGCCCCCAGTTACAACACCCCTTGTACAAACTCCCACCTGCTCCTGTCGGTCACTCAGAGGTCTCGTCCTCTATTTCAGTCATCACTGCTAAACCGCTACTGGTCGGTAGCAGCTGTGTTGACTGTCATCACAGTATGGCTCAAAGGACCTCACAGAGAATGAACCAGTACATTTGTCTTCTCATCCATGTAACAAGAACATATAAAGATTTTTTATGAAAAAAGGAATTTTTTTTTATGTAGAAAAATATGTTTACTGAGTTTTTGCAACAAACAATCATTTTGGTTTTGGATTAATCGTTTGGCCTTTAAATTGAAATTTGAACAGAAGGGACCGGCGGAAGGCCTCATCCAAAAAGAAACCCTAGGATAATTGTACCTTTCTTTTGGCTGGTGGGCATTTTGCATTTTGCTTTATTTGACAGTAGAGCGAGACAGGAAAGGGGAGAGAGAAAGGGGGGATGACATACAGAAATTAAAAACTCAGTCTTAATATGTGGTACGTGTATACCAGGTGAGCTACTTGGGCACCTTCAGTGATCCTTGACTTGGTCCCTGGGGTCAGGCAAGCAGGTAAGGAGTTGCTTGCCAAGATGTAGTACCAGTTCATTGGTCAATAAATTACCGTTGCACCAAATTTCCCTCAAATCTGTCAGATTTTTATTCTGCAGAGAAACGGGGAAACAGAACCTCCTTGAGATTTGTGGCGAATCTCTGCCATCTAAAGAGTGCTCCGAGTGCCTCCCCGCAATAAAACTGTCACATCATCTTAACCACAGGTGGCGCCCTACACGACCTGTTTGATCAATGGTATTTACTGGGACCCCCACACCCCCCGACTGCTCAGACGACTGGATGCCCAGAAGCTGATGAGACCGCCCAAGGTCTCGCGTACAGCCACCGAGGGATCACCAGTGCTGCCACACAAGTAAGTAATTGTGTTGGAATATCATCAACCACTACATCGCTAGATGTCAATAAATCCCTGGCAAGTGTGTAACAAATCAAACACACATTAACCAAGCCAGATAAATTAGCAGTGCCCAAATGAACGTGGTTTTGTGCACGGAGGCATATTGAAACAGGAAAAGGAAAAACTCCAACTGTTGACACAAAGATAGAAGAACAGAGATAGTGTAAAATATAGTTGTGTATACTGTCGCATTAAGAGATCAAACCAGGACAACATGTTTGTGTTTTGGTCATGTAGTCTAAGAACAGCACAGGGCAACAGATTTATTTTTTCATGAGTACAAGATGAAAAGAATCAGTCCCCTGCTCTGACTGAGACCTGTCAGTCAAACACAGTGACACACTGATGGCTGACTGCCAGCTTTAGCGAACAGATAGAAGTGCAGTGGGTTGCTTGCTGTATTTACCACAGAGGTCAAAAGTCACATCTTTATCTTCAGTCGTGTTTACAGAGTGACAGTTCAGCCTGTCTCTCTGACCTCTTGAACACGGCCTCTTCTCTCTTTCTACAGACTGCTGGCCATCTGTGACATATCTGCTGACACTGGAGGCTCTATAGAGTTCATGAACGAGTGCACCACCATTGATAAGCCTTTCTGTATGTACGACGCGGACCAGCACATAGATCACGACAGGTATGACACCAACTTTTGTGACCTTTGTCTTCTTACCAACATCACGTGCACGTTTCTGTTTGGTTCTTCTTCTGTTAAAGATTTTGACTTTTACTCATCTGATCTGTAGGCTGCTGGAGTCCGATGTTCAAGATTTCAGGTTATTATTATTCTTTCTGCCTGGAACAGATTTCAAATCTGTATATGTGAATTTAAATTATTGCTGTAGAAATATTCTCTTCCGATAAAATGGAATCTAGATGCATTAGTCTCCATTTATTGTTTAATGGTTTCAGACTGGTCTTTTTTTTAGAATATGGTCTTCCTTTTTTTCTTTCCGGTCCTGTGACATAATTTGAGTAATTTGTTTTATGTTGTTAGTCTGTAACAGTTTTTTTTTTTTTTTTTTTTTAAGGACTTATTTTTAATTGTAACATTAGATACTGCTAACACAGGATGAAATAATTTGACTCTCTATACGTTTACTTTAGAATTGGAGCAGCAGAACAACAAAACAAACAAAACCAAAGTGGCACAAAAGAACTTGTAGAATCCTGTTCTACAAGTTGCAGTACTCCGCTTTTATAGAAACATGAAATCACCTTTCTTCATGTAAAACATTCTTTGTGTGAACGCAGCCTAACTGTTCTTCTATAGTGCTGACACAATGGAAAATTCAGCTTCAAGGGTGCAATATATAAGAACTGGCCACCTGTCAAGTTCATAGAGCTCAACAGTGACCCAAATTGAATTTCCCATTCATTTACTTAACTGACATTTTCAGAAAATAAAACAGTTTAATCGTGGCATCAAGCCAACCAACTACGAGATGAATTTTAACCATAAGAAATTTGATTCGAAGCAGTGATGAATGAAATGAAAACTTGGAAAATGGAAAAAAATGCCAAGACTTAGAATACATACTTAAAATATTGTTTCAAAAGTGAAGGAACTACTTATCCCATAAACCATTGCGCATGATGACGATAGTAGCACACTTCTAATTGAATTTAACCATTGTCATTATTACAGTGTTTATGTAATATATATTGTAGTTTGTGTTAGTGCAGCTTATGTAGACCCTTGCTAGCTAATGTTAGCTACCTAACTAGCCAGCCTGCTAACTCACCAGTATGTGCTGTGTTTCATATTGGCCCCGACAGAAACTGGCTGACTCCACAGCATGACAGAAAGAGAAATCATGGTTGCTCTGTGGTAAACTTAACAAACGATGGTAGGGTTCAGTGGTTGGAGTAACTCACTCGTTAGTCTGTTAATAAAGTTTTTAGTGAAGTAACTTGTTCCCGGGTTTGCATTTGGAGGACTCTGACATCGGGGACGACCTGTCAACGGGGACAACAAAGGTTACATCACAAGTCTCGGTCCTTCCTTGAACCTGAAGCTGTTCTGGTCCGCCATCTCGCAGGAACGTCCCAAAGTGCTTGTGTCTGCACCGAGGAGCAAAGATACAAGAGGGCAGCATCCTCGGAAGTCTTTCACCGACTGACGCGCCCCTTTATTGGATATCAGTTATTGATTGGATGCTGCAGTTGCGCCGTTTAATATGATCATATTACAGTCCGACACAGAAGAGAGTCTGTCAGCAAGAAACATGTTTTATGTGTTTTATCTCTATCATTTCCATTCACTCCCATGAGGCTGATTATTCCTGAGTCGGGTTTGATATGAGTTACATCATTTCAATTTTGTCTGTGGCTCTTCTGTCGAGCAGTCTGAGCTTTCAGGGGATTTCTTCATTCTGTGTTGTATTGATGCAGTCTGAGCGTTTTCTTAATTTACTGTAATGATTAGAGAAGATGTTTCAGTCATTTTAAACGTCTCCACAGGCACAGTAATGTCACTGCAGGATTTATCAGGAGGAGGACTGCTGCTTTACTCTGAACAATTCCCCTGTATGAACCTGGACTGTGTGTGGGAACTCCTGGAGGTGTAAAATAACAACAAATAACACTGATTAACATTAGATCCTGTCGGTGTGCCGGAGATTTAATCAATTAATGAAGCTGCTGTCCCTCATGCGTAAATGCGCACCCTCTCTTAATGGGGAGACACTTCACGCTAATCCCAACCGCCATCAATCACAATGCTGTCATACTTTTTATAACCCGGCTGTGAGATCGATCTCAGTGCTGCAGTTTTAACTTTAACGGTTTCCTTCTTTCCTTCTTATAGTTTCATTGTGTCTTAGTCCCTCCCACCAGGGATTCATGGAGAGATGCTAGAGTCTCGCCTGCGTCTCCCAGCTAAAGAGCCCAGTGAAAGGATCTGTTGGTGGTCATATCCACATATCTCACTACAGTTTAAACTTTGGCAGTACAGTTTTACTTTCAAAGTAAAGGCACTGCAGTAATATTTTATTTAACACGACTTCCACTGTTCTCTCACTGGTATAAAAAAAACTACACGTGACTGCTTTCTGGTTACCACTTCACATTTACGTTTTAACTACATATATATGGCATTGTAAATGAAATTACATGAAAATGTTGCTTTTTCCTGGACATTATACAAAGGAAAGTGTATGAGAAGTATAGGGCTGGCCTGGGCTAGCTGGTTAGCATGCTAACTTTAGCAGATCTCTCTGCAACACAATGTCAAAACTGCTGTTTCTTAACGTTATTTTAATACATTTTACATTTGGATGTTTTAAACTAAAATTCTTACATATTGCACCTTTTTTTTTTAAAGCAAACATATTTAACATTAACTGATTGCAGTTTCATATTTATTCTGCTCTGATGGCTTTTCACATTAAATGATTCAGTTTAGTTTTTTCTTTCTAATATTATTTCTTTCAATAATACATTTGTTAATCATACTGTGTATGATTAATGTGGATCCCAAGACGAGGTAACAACTATTTGTGTTCCAGTCAGTAAACAATACTTTGTTTCTGGTCCTGGCAGTGTGGAGGGAAACGGGATTCTGATGTGCTCCATTGACAACCTTCCCGCTCAGCTCCCCATCGAAGCCACAGAGTATTTTGGAGACCGACTCTTCCCCTACATCTGGGAGATGGTAAGATGGTTGAGGGTTGTTGGTGAGGTGAGAACATCTGGTGTTATCATCGGGTTTCTGTCTTGCTCTGGGCTGCTTTCTGCTTCTGTCTGACTTCTGGTTGAGTTTGCTGCTGTGGGAGAGCGCTGCAGCAAGTTTTTCATGGTGAACTGACTAAATAAAAACCCTGACAGACGGGACTTGTTTCTTTTTTTTAAAAATTTAAATTTAATGTTCTGTTATCGTCAGCTGCCTTCAGACGCCACCAGACTGCTGGAGGAAGAGGACTTCAGCCCACAAGTCAGAGACGTAAGTAATGCAATATTAGAAGTAGTTAAATATTTCACTGTATTGGCTACAGAAACATGTTGCTGTTTTTTTTTTAGATTTCTTATTTCTGTAACATGATTGCGAACATTTTTAGACAAAGAATTTAAGATAAGATGTTCCTTTATTGATCCCCCGTCAAGATTGACACAGCAGCATAGGTCAAAGTAGTGCAAAAGAGAGTACAAAAAATATCACAAAATAAAATATTACCAAATATAATAGAAAATATAAGACTATAAATGAAAGTATAAACACTATGCAATATTCAAGTAGGAATGGTGTGCAAATATATGAGCAGCTTGACTAAAACTAAACTGTACATGTGGAAATTAAATATAAATAGTGCAAAAAGTTTGTGCGTTGTAGGTTGGAGTTTAAACCAGTCTGCTGGGGTTGGAGGAACTGGGTGCTGTGGCGTTGTGAGTCTGATGGCAGATGGTACAAATGAGCCTCCAAACCGCTTTGAGGCTCGGGGCTGGGTCAGTCTGTAGCTGAAAGTGCTCCTGAGCTGCCTCAGTTCAGTGTAGAGAGGATGAGAGGGGTTGTCCATGATGGCTTTCAGCTTCCCTCTCATCCTCTTCTCTGTCACAGCCTCCACACGGTCCAGCTCCATCCCCACCACAGAGCTGGCCTTCCTCACCAGCTTTCTAAGCTTATTGGCACCCCCAGTGCCGATGCCTCCTCCCCAACAGACCACAACAAACAAGTGGACACTTGCCACTACACACTGGTAGAACATCTGTAGTAGTCGAGTGCACACGTTGAAGGACCTGAGCCTCCTCAGAAAGAACAGCCTGCTCTGACCTTTCCTGTAGAGGGTCTCAGTGTGATCCGTACAGTCCAGTTTATTGGTGAGCTGCACCCCAGGAACTTGTAGGTGTCCACCATCTCTACCTTCTCCCCCCTTATCGCAAATTGGGAGGGGGTCCTCTTGCCAGCTCTTTGGTTTTCCCTGTGTTGAGCTGTAGGTGGTTCCTATCGCACCATCCAATGATCCAATGATGATCCAATGGGAGAGTGGGTGTAGTGGAGAGAGGGTGGGGGGAGGGAGTGGATGGGGGTTGGGGGGGAGGAGGGCAGATGAGGGGGGTGGTGTTACTGTCGTCAAGGGGGAGACGGGCTGTGGAGGAGGAGGGTGGGGTAGCCAAGATGTGAATGGGGGTACCTGAGAAGTACCTTTTGTTATTTTGTATTTTTAACTTTTTTCATTTCTTTGTCCCTAAAGGCTGTCATCACTTCAAACGGAGCACTCACCCCAAAGTTTGAATACATTGAGAAGCTTCGAGAAAGAAGGTAAGACTTATTTCAGTCTGGAACTGTTAATGGACCGCACTGTGATGTATTTGGTGTTCGTTTTTGTACAATGTGTAGCATATGTTTGTGTGATCGGGGATAATTCTGTAGATTTCTTATTTTATTCCTAAAAAATGTAAAAAAAAAAAAAAAATTACTTAGGCACGCACCTGTTCCATCTGTGAGTTAATGCACCCAATCTATGGATGAAATGTCTAAAGATTACGAGACAGGTAATGTTTAAATTGTGCTTATCATGTTCCTATGTAGCTCACCTGTACTGTCTTAACTGTAGGGTTCTAACATTATAGCTAATAGCTGCCTACTAAAGTAACATTTGTGCTTTATAGTCTCCTGTTGTTGCTGTTTTCCCTCCTTAACTTAAACTTTTTTAGATTTGCAGTTTGTGACGTTTTAGTGTCCTCAAGCCATCAGCGCGTAAAGCGGGACTTCTAGCGACTAACGAGTCACCTATGGTTATTCCTGCACAGTGCTGCCCTCTGCTGTCTGCTGTGCCAACCTGCCTCTGCATTAACACCTTGCATGGCTAGTGTGCTTGTCAGTCACACCTGCGTCGGACACTGGACCCTTCGGTGTCGAGGGGTAGAAACATGTTTTCTTCTCACTTTACACAAAAACTGTCGTCACCCTTTCTGTCGCATCTGCCTTTTTCTGGCTTCCTCTGGTTTGACATGTAGTTTTTAAGTTTGGACGGCCATCTTCACCAGAGTCGGATGAGGAAATGAATCACTTTCATTTCTGTGAATTAGGCCCCTGATTGGTCTCAGATGTGTTTAGCCTAGCATAACACATATACAGGAGGTGGAGGGAAACTGCTAGCCTCTCTCCATTAAAAGAGAAGAAAAATCTGACTTTTCATTTGGCGCCATTATCAGGTCAACAAACAACAACAAACAACAAAAACCATCTCAATCTGTCTCGGCTGTACTTTTGCTAATTAGCAACTGTTAGCTTGCTAACATGCAATACTAATGACGTTACCTGCATTCAGCATATTAATGGTGTCATGTTAGCATAATGATATTAGCATCTACCTAGTTTTCCAAAGTTAAACCTCACGCAGCCGTTAGCCTGGCTGTACACTGTTTATGTTGTTTCTCTCGCTAACATGTTAGCCATTTAATGCTAGCTTATTAGCTTTCAAATGTTAAGTCTCATTAGGAACCCAAGTTAGCGTTGTGGGGTTTGGGGAATCGATTAGAAACAGAAACCCTTACCGTTACAGTTACCCTTAAAGCTTAGAAACCTTATGTAAAGACGACCTGTCACCTAATGGACACAGTCGAGGATCCTTTTATTGTTAGAATTACCTCTTTCTAGATGGATCCCATTCTTGTTACTGCCACCATTTTGGGCTAGCAGTCCCCCCAGTTTTTAACCGAAGCTAGGCTAACACGTCTTGGATCTCACTGGTAGGCCGATAGTGGACTCACAGAGAGAAAAGCTGATCTTTTCCTCTGACTTTGTATAACACAGCAAGCAAATTGCTCATCTCCATGTACATCATTCACTTGCAATCTGTGAAATCAGCATTTTGTTCCTTATTTTTAAGAATCTTTTTAATCTGCTTTGATTAATTTCTCAAGCTACAATGTCAACTGATTACACGTTTCTATTTCTTTTACAGCCCTCGCCGCTTATCTGCTGCTTCAGTCAGTGTCGCTTTTGTTGCAATTTAATGAGCTTTTCTGTCTTCATAACTCTTATGGGTACAGTAATAATGTTTGTGTCTTGAGTTTATTAATATTCCAGCTCAGTGCAGATTTGCTCTCGAATGGCTCTATAAACAACATGATTGAAGATATTTCAGCCTCTTCTTGAGACTTCAGTGTTTTTTACACTGAAGAGTCCTGCTCACTCATATTTAGGCCACCTCTAAGACTTGATGAGTTTTCTTCCTAATTGTATCATTTTTCCAGACAAGCTATGCCACCAAATCTTAATCCTTTTAAATCGGTTTGGCTCCTTAAGATATGTAAACTCAGGGAGAAATCCTCCTGAGGGAACGTCTCTTTTCTTTTTTTAATTAAGAAGATGATGCTTGGCGGCGGGCGGACTGCCGGTCAGACCTCTAGTCAGTCCCGCTGCGACTCGTGCATGTGTGCGATGTCGCATCCAATTAGGCCAAAGGTAACGAGTCCAGGGGTCTGACTGCTGGGGGATTTGCGGCGGGTGGCGGCGGTGGTGGTGGTTGGTTGTGGTATATTAATGACACAGGTCACTCGGGTTGATGCCTCTTAGGGTGTTATTGTTGTTATGATAATCCATCAAAATCACAGACTTTTTAACTGAATCCAGTTGTTTGGAGAAGGTCTCTCAGTTTAATTAAAAGGCTTGAGAGCTGATGCTTCCTAGTGCAGCGGACTCACATGGCTTTCATTCTCACTGTGGGTTGCATATGTGATCGGGGCTGGAGATCAAATCATAGTACTTTCTAAGTCCAGGATGAACTGAAAACTGAAATTGGCTAATGCTCAATTATTAATGAATTAAGTAGATGGCAATTAATGACAATAAGAATGTATTACTAAAATATCCCAACCACAATTTAAAAAAATAAAAAACAGTAAAAATCTACAGATTTTTTTTTTTTTTTTATGATTTTTTTTTTTTTTTTTTGGATAACCCCCTCCCTATGATCATCATCCTAATCATCCTCATCCTCCCACCCCAGCTCGCCTTTTTCTTCCTCTCCTCCTGGTCCAGGCCAGATCCTCATCAGTCACGATACTGTTTAATTGATCAGAGAAGTCTCACTACCACTTTGACTTTATACTCATTGCATTCTTACAACAAAGATGTTATACAGTGATCTGAGATGTACACAGGCAAATGTTTGCTCATTTATAAAAATAACAGGCATATGTATGAAATTTAAACAGTTAAGGAAAACACACCACCGATACTTAACTGATTCTTTCACGAAACTTGAATTAGACAAATGAACTAAAGCACTGTAGAGTTAAAACGGTATTAAAACAAACTGATGCCAGAGAAATTGATTTTAATAATTTATTTTTAATGTTTGTAGAAAACAATTGGACATGTTTGCTATTCACGGTAGCCTTACTTTCTTTTTCTCTGACTCAATTGAATTTCAGGGATTCTCTACCAGTTTTGACCATTCATATTTTCTGAAATTCGACAACGCACATAAATGTTGTGTATTTGTTTGTTACCCAAAGTGGTACATTCAGAAAAACTGCAGTGGAAATGCCAAACAACCAAACAAGGCAGTTTTGGAAGCTTTCTGTTGTAAAACGAAATGTGTAAAGAGTCAAAGTTGTGTGCATGGTTTTCTTTCTGCTCAGCCAGAAAAACTAACACCTATGGGTGACTAGACTGGTTTCCATTCAATCATCCATTGTTCAGTTCTGTTTAGTATTGTAAAGAAAATCTGAAGGACAGTTCAGCAGATGGATAAATTTAAGGTCCATTGTGTACCTGAAAATAAGAATAATTGTTTTTATTACCTTTAAAATATCTACAGACGCTGCCAGTTGCCTTCCATCTGTCTGTAGATCGAGGCGTTTGTCCTTGGAAGGGCAGGGTGAAGTGAGGGAGTTGCAGTCTGCTAGATGCCATTAAATCCTACACACTGGACCTTTTTAAAATCATGACTTTCTTTGTTGTGGTTCCAACTTTTAAAACTCTTGTTTAACATCTCAGCCTGTTGGATGGAAACACAGTAACTTAAACCCACTGGTGTATGTGTTGAAGTTTTTATGATGTGGCTCTAAGTCAGGGTGTCTGATTTGCTTCAGGGAGAAGGCACAGATCATGAAGAAGACTGGGATGAAGCGCGTTCTGCTGCTGGGTTCAGGATACGTCTCCGGACCCATAGTTGAGTATTTGACTCGTGACGAGGGGACCCAGGTCACTGTGGGTGAGTTTTGAAAAGCCATAACAGTTATTTGTTATTTGAAATATATATAACATAGTCATAGGTCCACTTTACATTTTAAAGTCTTCATTAGCAAATTAAACTTGCTCAAGTGTCCTCACGTGACCAGCGATCACAAGTGGTCGTTAAAGTTGCACATAATAGTTAGCAACTGTAAACATGCTTACAGTCGCTACTACACAGCGTACACATAGCCACTGCATCACTAAGCTTACTGATTCTCTGTTAGCTCAGATGTACGCATGAATTCTTCTCTACATATTTGTTGTGAGCTCAGAATGGTGACGTCATCTGCATTAAAGCAGGGGTGTCAAACTCAATCACAAAAGGGGCCAAAATTTAAAACAAAAAATTGCGGGCCAACTGAGAGATATGAATCTGAACAGACTGCATTTGCTTTATCTCAACAAAATAAATAAATACAATAAAATTCAATTCAGTTTAAATTCAAAATATTCTTTTCTTCAACAATAACATATTGCTGCACATACAAAGTAAGATCTGTCATTAACTCATAATAACAATAAGGGTTGTCTCAGTTACTAAACTAAATTGATCAAGTTTTGGGTTGATAAGTCCCTGATCACACCAAGACACCACATCACACACCATCCTCATCCACTGATCATGCTCTGAAAGAAACAAACGCATAACAAAATGCAAGCACAACCATTAAATTACACACATATTAAACTGTTCTTTTTGGGTGAAATACATTCCATTATATATTTAAGTGAGGTTTTAAAAATGCTCACCTGTTTTTTTTCTGACCGGATGCCTGACACCGTTTTCCCCTGGTCAGTGTATCAATGTCTGGTCTTGTGCTGTAGCAATCCGCAAAACAGCGTGTAGGTTTTCACCGGTGATGCGCGATCTGTGCTTGGTTTTGTTCAGATTCATTATTGAAAACATCTGTTCGCACAGATAGGTGCTGCCAATCATGGACAGAATACGGGCAGCATGAAATTGGCGCTGTGGCATCAAGTCAGACGGTGGCCTGGAACTTTGCTCTCAGGCCACTATGGCTTTGAAGCTCTATTAACTCCATTTGAAGTTGATGGGGTGCACCGTTGACGTCGGCTGAGAAAGGACTGGCAAAGATGGCAAAGCCTGAGTGCTGTGTTCTGAAGTCAGAGAAGCACCGTTCAAAGTCGTTAATTAGCCGGCTTACTTTGGTTGCCAACCGAGCGCAGGAAAAAGCACCTGAGACTGACGCTGAGGTGCTCTGACAAATGGGAAAGTGGGCAAGATTGTCCTGTTCCACTTGGGACTTCCATAGCTGAAGTTTACGCTGGAAAGCTGTGATCATGTCGGACATCTAAGTAAAGTTTAGAAACAAACATCTTTTATGTATTATGATGTAGTCGGTCATAGTACAAAGCTGAGTAAGAAAATAGGTTTTCAGGGCATTAAAAAAAAAAAGTACCATACCTTAGTAGATACCATACAATTAAATGCAGGCAATCAAATAGTTTATTGCAGAAAAAACCTTTTCAGAACCTGGTACATATAGGACCTTCCACTGACTGTGTTTCCTGAGGTTTCTTTTGTCTTTTGTTGTCAGCGTCGGTGCTGCTGAGGCAGGCGGAGGAGCTGGCAGCAAAATATCCCAACACCATCCCCATAATGCTGGACGCCGGCAGCCAGGAAGGACACCTCGACTCTCTGGTCAAAGATCATGACCTGGTCATCAGGTACAGCATGAGCAAAATATTGTTACAGGCAGACATACAGCCTGTGGATGGATAGATTGAAGAAGTCATCCCCCCCCCCAATCAGGGCTTTTATCTTATTTAAATATTTGAGGTCTACGGAGTGTTTCATGCGCCCATGATGATATCAGATCATATATTTGAGGTACAGTAAAAGCAGGTACAAATATGGAATTTTATTGTTGAATTTCTCCAAATTGGTGTGGTAAAAATGCTTGATATTAAGTATGCTTGTAGTCTTAGATGAAGTCAGATATACCATCCATAGCCAGGAATTATTGAGCAAAGTGTTTTTACAGTAGCTCAAATATGGTCAAATATTGAATCTGGAGGTATAAATATGGGACTTTTATTATTGAATTTCTCCACATTTGTGCAGTAGAAATACTTTATATTAAGTATACTTAATATGTTTGTAAGTGCAGTAAAAATGCTTGATATTAAGTAGGTTTTTTAAGTATCATGGGCGCATGAAACACTCTGATGTAAAATATTTTATTTTAAATGTAGGTTTGAATTATAGCTTACTGTTCTTAATACCTTTATTTTGAAAACCGGACGTTTGACCACAGAGATCGGAGTAACGGCTGGCTTGACCGCAGTTATCATAACACAGTCATTATCTCGAGATCTCAAATTAATTATATTGTTATCTCGGGAAAACAAAGTTTCGTGATCTCGAGAAAATTTAGTTGTTATCACAGGAAAACTGAGGAAATAAAATGTATGAATGCATGGCCTTTTAGGGCTTCCGTAGAGGGCAGGATGGGATTTTTTATTTATTTCTGAAATAAAACTGTATCACCAGGTGAATATAATGAAGAGATTTCCTTCCCTTTTATATTTAGGTTCTCTGAAGTCGGGCAGTTATTTTAGACAATCTTCAGTTGGTCACACCCCCTGAAGGAGGTGGGGCCTGAAGAACTCATCTATATTGGGCTTTTGATTGACATCTAGTTTTTAAGCTACATTGCCAGACTACCAACATTTAGTAAATATTTGGCTGCTTTCTCTTCTACATCTTATCTGGAGGTCTTTAATCCTCCTAGTGATGACATTTGGAGTCATTTTAAGTTGAAATACAAGTTTTTGCATAAAAAGTGATGCATATTTTAGCTGAAGAAAGCCTGGCCCCAGTGACTTAAGCAACCCAAGAAGTGTGCACTGTAATGATAATATTGAATGTGTGTAGCCTCCCTAGCAGCTCAGTGAGGCTATTCTTTTCATTGTATGGATGAAAAATGGAGTTGTGTGGACCTCTCAGATTCAGCTTATCGGGCTCACCTCTGGGCTCAATTTGCATTAGTTTGCTATATACCAAATACATTAACTACCTGTCCTGACCTCACTTCTTCCCTATGCTCCTCAGCATGCTGCCGTACTCATTTCACCCACTCATCGCCAAAAGTTGCATCAAAAAGAAGGTAAACATGGTGACAGCCAGCTACCTGAGTCCTGCCATGAAGGAGCTGCAGAGCAGGTGATGACACAACAAAGATGAAATGGGATGTGTTGACATGGGCAATGTTTAACACCAGAGTTCACATTCATCTGCTGAGGGGCAAAAGTTTCTCTTTGCTTAGCTGAAATCTCAGTTTAGCATGTGATCATTTTGTGACATCGCAGTTTGGAAGCCAAAGTGCAGCAAGTGTATAAAATAAAACGACATTAAGCACAGCTTGCATGCAGGCAGCTCTTTTCTCTTAATGCATTGCAGAGCTATTCAACTGTCAATCATATACAACAGATTGATTTTAATAACTTTAATGTACTTGAAATGTGCACACAGGACTAACCTAATGTGTATGCGTGTGCGTGTTTTATTGTGTCAGTGCGGAGGAGGCGGGCATCACCATAGTGAATGAGATGGGACTGGACCCTGGCATCGACCACATGCTGGCTATGGAGTGTATCGACCGGGCCAAAGCTGACGGCTGCACTGTGAGTCAGCGCACACTCTGTGTGTGTGTGTGTGTGTGTGTGTGTGTGTGTGTGTGTGTGTGATTGTGTGTGTGTGATTGTGTGTGTGTGTGTGTGTTTGAGATTGTTTGATCACATACAGGCTTCATGGCAGTCATATTGATCCATTAAACAAACTGACAGTCCACATGTTCACATTGCTGAATTTCACACAGGCTTTAGTCTGAAACAGACGACCTCACACAGTCAGACATGAACTGATGTGGTGTTTTTTTTTTTGTTTGCGATATTTTATTTTGTGATATTATCAATTCTCAAAAACAATCGATTTTTGTGTTTAAACCCTCAACCACTAGATCGCAGTGCTATAAACATGGCTGTGATAAATGCAATGCAGATCCCACTGTTCTAGTTGTATAAATCTGTTTTCCTAAAAAAAAAAAAATATATATATATATATATATATATATATATTTTTTTTTTTTTTTTAATTAATTAATTTATTTTTTTAATCGCAATATATTGAATCATAAACCCAGTATGGTGATACGTATCGTACTGCCAGATTCTTGGCAATACACAGCCCTATTAATGAATTATGAAAGCCTATGAGATGATTCATTATGTGAAATGTCCACAGAATCATATCGCAATTAAACTTTGACAGCTACATTAGCACAGCTATGGTTATCAACTGATATTAGCTTATCACAGATATATACCTTATGTGGATCAGTATCAGTTGTTAAGTTTCCATCCAAATTTTAACCAAATATCCTGAAATTCTGCAGAAAGAAATTGAGAACTAAAGTGCATTTCCATCCACTACTGTTGCCATTGCAGAAGACGATATCAAGATCAGACTTTTTAAACAGATCTCAATATCAGCATTAAAAAACTCTGTTGATTGTGTTCTGTGTGTGTGTGTATGACAAATTTCTCTTGCGGTTCACACACTAAATGATTGACGACAATTTACATTTGACCAAAATCTCTTCCAGTGAGACGTTTTGGAGTTTTTTGTTTTGTTTGTTTTTACCATTCTGTTGAAGTAACAGACACATTTAAACTAATTTCAGCAAATCAGGTAGACGCCTTTTTAAAACTAACACATCACAAATTGGGGTGACTGATTTAAAAAACAAAAAAAACAAAGATGAACATAGTCCTGAAATAAGCCATTGTTTGTCAGTGAGTTGATTGTATAATAATGGTGTCATTCAGGTGGAGTCGTACAGCTCTTTCTGCGGAGGTCTTCCTGCTCCTGAATGTTCGGACAATCCTCTGCGCTATAAGTTCAGCTGGAGTCCATATGGCGTCCTTCTCAACACCATCAGCCCCGCCATCTTCCTCAGAGACAACCAGGTACGGAGGCCTCTAAGGACCATAAGTTATGAATATGCAAAATGTTATATATTTTTTTTCAATAATTACATAGTTTTACATCAGGAGAAGAAACTGTGTGTGTGTGTGTGTGTGTGTGTGTCTGTGGTCCAGGTGGTAAGCATCCCAGCTGGTGGGTCTCTGATGGACTCCACCACGCCTATGGATTTCCTTCCTGGTTTCAACCTGGAGGGATTTCCAAACCGTGACAGCACCAAGTACGCCGAGCCCTATGGCATCCAGTCAGCACACACACTGATCAGAGGAACACTGCGCTTCAAGGTGCAGTACACCCGCACACACAAACACACACACCCCTACAAAATAAAACTATTGGCTGTCAGCTGTGACAACCGGTTTAAAATGAGTTGCTTTCCTTTAAAATCAAAGGACAATGCCACAGATTGACTGACCATTACAGACCATTTTATTATAAAACATTTCAGCTTTACTTAGTTAACCCACTTGTTGCCTGCTATGAGTAGAAATGCGTGGAAATCTGAAAAATGGTGAGTAATGGCCATCACCGGTTATCACAGCTGCAGTCGTTGCCTTGAAATGATTTGTCTGAGAAAAGCAGCAAATTCTTTTACTAAAGTAATGTTTGGTATTTTTGCTTGAAGAATTACTAAATTATCAAAATAGCGGAAGATACATTTTCTGTTAATCAGCTAATCATTAAATTGAGTAATTCTTTCCAGACAGAAAGCGGGTTTATTCCATGTGAGCTGGAGAAAAAAAAGACTGCATTACTTTTTGGATTTGAAATGAAGAATAAATAAGCACCGTACTTACAGGCTCTGTATCTAGACAGAAATAAGGTTTTGGACCTCTCTAATACAAATACATTATGCAGAATAGGAGTTCACAGAGTCAAGATCATGATCAATGTCATATTCAAAAACATTTTCCTCTTCCACAAACCTGATTTCTTAAATGTTATGTAAACCAGAAACCCTTTATCTTCACGTCGGGTTCAGGGATTAACCCTTGGGTTTCTTTATTTTGTGAAAAATGTTATTACATTTCTTATTTTATTTTGTGGAGATCAAACGCATAAAGAAGATCTGAAAGAATTTACCGCCGTGCCCTGTTTCCCATTAATGCACGCTAACTGACGCTGACTAGTGGCTAAGCAGTGACAAGAAATATAAATAAAACAGATTTTAAATTATATTTAACGTTTATCATATTCCATCTCCATTATCTCAGACATGAAAAGAACATGTGAAGGGTTCATTTGCACACTTGCACACACACACACACACACACACACACACACACACACACACACACACACACACACACACACACACACACACACACACACACCGCTTTTTATTTATTTTTCTAAGGGAATATAAATCAAGCTGGTGTTGTGTTGTTCATTTTAAGAATGTAAGAATGTCTTTTATCTATCCATGGGTAAGTACTAAAGATAGGTAATGTAGATTTGTTGTGATCGTAGGTATATCATCTCTCTAACAGGGGTTTTAACCTTTTTATATATACTGTCAATGGTTTTAACAGATGAGCTTGTGCAGGACTGAGATTCAAGACAGTCCCTCTGGCGTGTGGCAGGGGGAAGAAAAAAATCATCAGTGTAAATGTGCCTCCTTGTAATTTCAAAGTCCAAATCAAACCGTAACTACATTATTCTATATAGAGGATTTTCTGTCTCTGAATTGTTGAATAGCTCTGAAATTCAGACAAATGCACAGTAGAAGGAAAAAGTATTTTCCTCCCTGAACTTGATTTCTCCCAGTATCTTTTGTTTCTTGTGTCAATGTGAATGTGTTCACTTGTGACTCAGATAGCTCTTGTTCTGTCCCATAGGGCTTCTCGAAGGCCATGAGTGGGTTTGTCAGACTGGGTCTGATCAATAGCGAGGCCTGTCCGATCCTGCACCACACTTCATCTCATGTTTCCTGGGTAAGAACCTCCACTGAGGGTCCATTCAGTGTAGTGTAAAAAAAAAAAAAAAAAAAAAGAGAGAGCTGAAAACACATGTTGAAAGGCAGCCTCCGAGGAGTGCATCCTGTTTCTTTCTCCAGTCTGTTTTGCAGCTCTTTCAGTTGAAGTGTCTGACTGTGGAAGTGGGATTGCTGAAGAGTGTATTACTGTCAATAGCTGCTTGTCAACATCAAGGCTGCAGTGAGCCAAGGCTTTCTGACACTCATGAGAATTTATAGACAACCTTTGTCTTTATCTTCTTTTATCCTTTTGAGATGAAAGAGAAAAACACAGTATGTTTATCACCAATCAAAGCAAGAAACTCATCAATCCCTCCACTTATATCTGTTTGTTTTTTTTATCTGGAAACAAGATTAAAAAAAAAAATGGATAAATACCTTGGAGCCCCCTCAAATGTTAATGTAGCCATTTCTAAAAGTGTCTAATCTCCATATAAAAAGAGGAGATCGATATCCCCACCCACAATGATGTGTCAAAGGCTGTTTTAGGGTCTAGGAGTACAAGGACTGGGTACATGCCATCAGCAGCAGCCACTGTTAAAAACAGATTCCATTTTTTTAGTGAAACGCACATTCATGTAAATGGTAAATGGACCTGTACTTGTATAGCGCCTTTCTTTTACGCTACGTGCCACATTCGCCCTTTCACACACATTCACTCAGCGATGGCAAAGCCCATTGAACAGAAACTAATGCATTCATACACATTCACACACCGATGCACAGCATTGGGAGCAATTTGGGGTTCAGTATCTTGCTCAAGGATACTTCGACAGGTGGGGAGAGGAGCCGGGGATCGAACAAACAACCTTCCGATTAGTGGACGACCCGCTCTGCCTCTGAGCCACAGCTGCCCTTTGTTCAGCCATGTGTGATACTGTTTCTAAAAGTTCATAAAACCATCATGTTGCTGCTAAAGAACATCAGAGTATGTGACACTGGGAGTAATAGAGGCGCAAATTGACTGCAATTAAGTAATTGATCTAAACATTTAACAATCACCATCACTTTCAGCTGGGGCAAAAAGAGGCGTGGGATTTACTATCAGATCAACAGTCTTAAAAACCATATTGTTATAGTGTGAGTATAACTCCATCAGGATATTATAATGCACTTGAAGTCTGTTTTTTCCCCCTTTGCTCGCTGGAAAATATTGCCAAGCATCCAAGGCTGCTTTCTCTCGGAGGACTTAGATGTAACCCTGAAATGGTTGGCCAGATCATTGGTGTTGGAATATTTAGAAAGTTGTACGCTTTTACTGTTAACCCTTATGCCTTACATTTAGTATACAGAAAATAATTAATTTTTTGTGTTTTTTTTTTATTTCAAATTATTAAAACAAGCTGGTATTTAAAGGAATAATATTCTGACAGTGAATGAATATTTATTATTAAGTCATGATCAAGACTGATGCTGGTTTAAAAAACATTAAATGCTTTAAAATCAATGTTTGTTCTAATCATTGATGTCTCCCAGTCTGTGAAAATCCCAAACAAAAAATTCCTATAGTATAAATTAAATAATATATTTTTTTGTAATTGTGTAAACAAGCTGTCATTTAAAGGGTTAAAATTCTGAATATTATTGAATATTTGTTAGTTATGATCAGGACTGATGTTGGTTAAAAGAGTCTGTCCTGTGCTGAGAGTTGAAGAATTGCTTTAGGAGAAGTTCTCGGATTAAGAATAATAGAAAGTGTTTGAATGTGATAATATTATAGAAGAATGGAGGACCCAAAAAGAGAATCTGTTCTCTCCTCTCTACAGAAAGAGCTTCTCTGCAAGCATTTGGGATTGTCCTCTTCTATCTCCCATGATGCCTTTGAAGAAGCCGTATACGAACGCATCGGAAAGGACGACTTCAGGATGGACAGCCTGAGATGGTGAGAGACTAAAAGACTATTAAGGTTTAAAGTTTCCCGATTGGCCGTCAGACTGTGTAACAGATAGAAAGGGTTCAAAAGGAAAATTCAGTAGCTACATGAGAGGGTGCTCTGCTATTCTGTCCAGTAAGTTTAAAAAACTCACTACCGTTTGTGGTTTTTTTGCTCTATTTTGTAGAAACTGCAATGCTTTTTTTAAATTTATTTTTTATATGGTAAAACCGATTACAAAGTTAGATTCTGGTCTTCACTCCGTTTTGACCACGTATGGAGGTAGTTTTTCTCTATAGCTAAATTTCCAGTTCATGAAAGCTGTACAGGGGATGAATTTTTACATAACTGACCCATTTAAATTACATTAATGCTTAAAGTTGTGCATAATTAAGAGTGTGGCCGCTTTGGGTGACAGGTGGGTGCTGTCCGCAGCCAGGCTTCCTTCAGCCGGCCCCAGCTCCAGCCACGCTCCTTCTATTTGCCCATTTTTAGATTAACCGGGAGCCGGCGGAGTCAGAACTGCCAAGATGGCCGACCGCATTGAGCTTCACAACTGCTCTCCAGAAACCTACTGTATGGGCGTTGTCACGGAGACTGTGTCCATTTTCATTTATACAATCTATGACGTCCTTTTGTTCTGTGCTGCTCGGCTCTGAGCAGATGAGGCAGCTGTTGACATCTGCTGCTCTTTAAAGTTAGTGCTGGTACTGTGGATGATGGGCTGAGAACAAGGCAGAGGCTGCTCCTCTTCTGCACACGTTTTACTTCCCTCCCCAATGAGGACGCCTGAAGTGGTATAGAGTGCACACACTTCAATTTAAATCAGGACCAAGGCTCCACGCTGCCATTGTTCTGCTGCTGCTGGCGGTGAAGCAAAGAGGGCCATGCTGGCATTGAAACGTGAATTCCTCCAACTGTAGAAGTGAACTGTTAGAAACATTCCATCTGTGCCGTTAAGAGTAAAAAGCCAACACACTCGCAGCACAAATTAAATGACTTGTTCATTTATTCAATTCACCAGTAAAACAGTGACAAAAAGCAACTGCTCATCTCTTAAGACTCAGCCAAGGATGTGTGGGCTGCTGCCGCAGCGCTGCCAGAGTGTTAAAGCAGAGTTATTCTCTTCTAAAGCTTTTAAAACAGCTTTGTGAAGGTTATTCTATTGTGGGAGAAAAATCATGTTTTTTTTTTTTGTTTCTCTGCGTGTTCAGGTTTGGGATGTTGAGTGACGAGTTGGTGCCGCACGCCGACAGCATACTGGCTGCTCTGGCAAAACATCTGGAAGCCAAACTCTCCTTCGGTGAGACACAAGCCCAATTTATTACCACAACTCTGAAGAACACAAGTACTGTTTGTAATACTAGTACAAAAACTACTTATGACTTCTCTCTCTCTCTTCGTGGTCAGATAAGGGCGAGCGAGACATGATCATCATGAGGAACGACGTGGGGCTTCGCCACCCAACTGGCGAGCTGGAGACCAAACACATTAGCCTGGTGGTGTACGGCGACCCCAACGGCTTCTCCGCCATGGCCAAGACTGTAGGATACCCAGCAGCCATTGGTGCTCGCATGGTCCTTGATGGTAAGTAAAATCAGTCAGGAAGGCACGGCCCTGATCTTGAGGGAATTCTGATGTGACTGTTCACACGGAGGTCACATAACAGAAAATCAGACCTGTATCTGATTTTGGTACAGGTCTGATTAATGATGCTATCCACATATAAAAGTCGCCCCGAATGAGAATTGAAAAGGTCGGATTTTGTGATTTGTGCTCTTCACACTGTCATGAAAATAACAGATCTGAGTCACATATGAGCAAAAGAAATCCGGTTTGGGTAACTTGTGAACAAAGACCAAGTCTGCGCTGTTTCTCTCTACAGGTGAAATCAGTACAAAGGGACTGGTGGTTCCAATGACGAAAGATGTATATGGGCCGACGCTGGCCCGACTGAAGGAGGAGGGACTTCACTTCATGTCCAAGAGCACCCTGCAGGAGTAGAGCTGACAACAGCAGGAAAAATGTATACAATCCTCATTCTATCAGATGCCTTTTCACCAGCTTTATCGTCTTCTGACTCACCTGCCTGCTTGTAGTCGGTGTTTAAAAGTATATCGCTAACTCACCTCTGCCTGGGGCTGATAAAATAAATATTAGTTATGTTATTTATCTTTCAAATGTGAACAGTTAAAGGGGGTAAAAATAGTTTGAAAGTGGAAAAGGTCAGATGTTGTTTTTATTTTATTGAAATTAAATTTTATGACTATTTGCTTCAAAACCACGTTTGTACGTTTTAGGCCAAAAAGCTGAAAAGGCAGCTGGTGTTAATATTCAGTAAGTTGCAGTTTAATATTTTCTGAGTTTGGCTAAATTTACTCATCTGTGAGAAACTGAAACAGTTTCACGGGCGTCGACTGTTTCAGAGAAAAGTTCTTCTGTGAAGATGTGCAAAAGGTCGACTGATCAAACACTATTTTAGGCATTAGAAATTTGAAGCATTAAAAGCACAAACATGTCTGATTAATCAGGTAAATATAGTGTAGAAACAGCTTTGGCTGGGATTTGAGAATATATTCTTCACACTTAATGGTTCTGACATCATACGACAAAACCACGTCAGCTCTAATCAGTGTTGTTGTAAGTGTTGTCACCATTTTACAACAAAATGAAAAGTGAAGCATTCAGTCAGTTCAGTGGCAGTCAGACTGATGATTTTTTTTAAACTGCTCATGCGATCATATATCTTCAATGTTTTTATTAAAAATGTCCAACTTGCTAAACCTTTCCAAGTTTTAACTGTCTTTTTCCCCATCACCTCAAATAGCATCTTCATTAACAGATGTTTGGATTACTTGAAGGTCCAGTGTGTAACATTTAGGAGGATCTGTTGGCAGAAATTGAATATAATACTTCGTGCTTGGAAGGGGAGGGTGAAGCGAGGGAGTTGCAGTCTGCAACTACACTGCTAGACGCCACTAAATCCTACACACTGGTCCTTTTTAAATATCCAGAAAACCCAGCTCAATACTGCAATGACCTTCAAACTGTGATGCAAGAAAAACCTCAGTTACTAGCCCTCTATTAGTATTTCTTGAAAATCAAAAAGAGCAAAAGTCCAACATCAAAATTGTGAAACTGTTCCAGTTCACAGGATATAAATACTATCACAGTATAGGGATTGTACGTTGTTCAATTTGTATGGCAGACAGCAGTTAGTGGCACTGTTTTTAAAGACTGTACCAGTATTTACCAAGTTTGTCTCATTTTTCCAAAGACAAAAACTTTTTCCTTCTTAATAATTGGAAAATCCAGGACAAAAAGGCTTTAATCTACATCTGATCTCCACAATGTATCTCAACAAACTGAGATAATAATTAATAATGAAGATATGATGACTTTTATCTTGAGATGGGGGCTGAATCATTAACCGCTTTTTAAACAAAATCAATTTGAATTGTGTTTTTTAAGCTTTACAGCTTTAACTCTCTGAATCAGAACCTCCAGGATTTCATTGATTGGCATATCTTGAGAACTGTTCATCCGATCGACCTCACACTTGGCGGGTGTATTGCAGAGGGAGTGCAGTGTTGAGTTTGGTTTGAAGTCGATCAGACTTGCAAGCCATCGCCCTGATCCGAAGGGGCACTGCACTAGTTTTCATGTAAAAACACGAAATTGCCCAATTGCAATTTTATGCTTAACATTTAAAATATATCGGGGTAATATCTAAACTAAAAAGCACTACAAATGTATTACACTCTGGATATTACTTATTAACTCAAGATCTCATTGCAGTCACTGAAACGTGATCAGTAACAGCGGTTCCTGGGTTAGGCCGAGCTGAGAGGTAGAAATATTGATTGGAGATGTTTGAAAGAGTGAATACACAGATGAGTAATTATTGTTGTATTGTACTGATATGTAGTTTAAATATGGGCCTCCAGAGGGTTTTACACCATAGTTTGTTCTTTGATACTTTAGTGAACGGAGATCTGGTCCTGTCAGATTCCAAAAGAAAGAATTCAGATACAGTTCAAAACTACAAATTAAGGTCAAAAGGGACATCAACACTAACATCTGTCAAATAAAATGTTGATATCACTGAAAATCATTTCTCAATATTGATTTGATTTACATATACAAACCGTTTTTATTTTTGTTGGGTTTTTGTTTTTGATTTTTTGTTTTGTCTTTAATGTTTGATTTGAAATGTATGCCATTCATGGTTACCAAACACACAATCATTTATAAAAGCTAGTTTTCTTTGTTTTATCAACATGTAAAAGTGGTTACTTGAATAAACATCCATGTTATTTCTTCTTTCACTATTTAAGGGCAGTTTATTTATTTGCAAATGTATCTTTGCACTATTTTATTCACACTTCAATCTGTAGATGCAACTAATTCATTATTACTATTTTTTGTATCATTTTATTAATCCATTGCAATTTAACACTTAAAAGCCTCCATGACTGTTTATTTATGTAATGAAATTTAAATGAAAAAATTTAAGCTTTGGGCACCACAAAACAAATTTCATTCAGCTCCACAGTATCAGTTTCCTCCAATATCTCCTCCATCCTCCTTCTTACCACTACAGGTAGGTGGAATACTTTTTTACTAACTTAAAGAACATTTTTGAAGCTCCTGTTGGTTGCAGGATTGATGTTCCTTTATTCAAACATTCACTCCTCGCTGAATTGTCCTGTTCCAGATGTCCTTGTTTGTTTCTGCCAGAAGGACCAGGATTAAACCAATGTGTAACTGTAGCCCGGGGAAGGGTGTACCAGAGATATTCAGTTTTATTTAAGTGTTCATTGTTCATGTTTGAGCAGCTTTTTTTCACAGCTGTCATTTTGACATAAAATAGTAGGGTAAACCGATGTTATGAGCCTTTATTTAGCCTTTATAGTGAGCCAACATGGACAATAGCAGAACCCTGACTCTGTTTGACCTGAATGGAACAAAACCTTTATTACTGTCATTGCTAACTCCTGTATTTACCCTACTATTTAATGTCAGAATGGCTGCTGTGATAAAGGTCTATCATCTGGATGATTATTAAAATTAAAAAATTGTTAAATAATTTCTGTCAACAATTAATTCGCTTATCTTTTAACTGTCTTGACTATCTGTCTTTTAAACCATGTTGAAATTTACGTGGTGCAGTGTGTAACATTTTTATTGGCAGAAATAAAGTGTAATATTCATGGGTATGTTCATTAGTGTATAATATCTTGAACAAAGGATTTCTCCTGTTACTAGTTACCTTTCAGTTTATTATTTTACTTGCAAAATATATGTAAACTTTTACTTTTGAGATTTAAATGGCATTTAGCATATCATACTTAAGTACGGCTTTAAGTACATTTTTAAATACAGAACTTTCACTTGTAATTGAGAACACTAGCCCTTACTTCAGTAAAACAACTTAATACTTCCACCACTGTGTTGATCTAAAGTCTGACTTAAGGTATATGACTATGGCTTAAAACTTTGTTTACCAGACCCTGGAGCTTTTTAAACATGTAAATAACCCACGTTTTGTATTTGTGATCCATGATGTCTTCTCAGCCTCCAGCTCAGCTCCTTTTGGAAAAAAAAGACAATCAGCCTGTTTGCGCCCACTTTATTTGGAGGCAGCCATGCAAACTAGGCCACCAAGCAGGGGATAATTGGGTATGTAATTATGAAAAGTCAAAAATGCAAATGAAGGTGTGGATACGGCGGCCAGTCAAGACGACGTCTGGACACTTGACCTATTTCCTGTCCTGAAAAGGCGCATTTCTTGCAGAGTCTTAACCCGGATTAACACATGGGAAATCAATTGGAATAACCAGTTCAGTGCACGGATTAAAGCATGACTCCATAAAGGGAAAATGTATAATCCACAGGTTGGATAGGACACAGTTTTCATCAGACCATGTCTTTATTTTCTCTGTTTCTGTGTTTCTTTCATTAACACCTATCTCATGTAAGACTCACTGGGGTGTTTGCTCCATCTCTCGTCATGCTGTTGTGACCTCTGACCTTTGCCCTCGTTCCTGTTGGTCGTGTGTGAGGCTGGTGATTGAGGAGCTGAGGTCCATTCTGCTGCTGTAAGTCACTGTGGATAAACACGGGAGCTAAAGGCCTACAATGCAAATGTAAACTGCTTTCTCGGCCAGTCTTTTTTTGCCTGCTGGATACGTTTTATTCCAGTAATCAAAATGTCATTAGTAGAACATGGTTGTTTGTGAAAATAACTAACTCAACTATAGGCCACATTATTAAGAAATTTCATTTTAAAAAATACTTTTGTACACAGAAATATCAAAATCTAATGAAGCGGGTGGATCATGTAAGAAGTGCCGCTTCTCAACCTCGTAAATTAGTTTCTCATCATCATGTTGGTTGCTGACTAGTCTCGCATAGCCAGATCTCCACACATACCAGGGTGGAGGTGGAGAAAGGCAATAGAACCAGAGCAGTTTTTCAAACAAGCGACACATCGTTCAGCCTGTTGATGCACGGAGCGGGTTAGGATAGCTTCTTTGAAAAAAAAAAACTGAAACCACATCGCTTCCATTTAGGAGTTGGTGTTAGGCCAACGTTAGGCCATTACATCAAACCAAATATGCCAGATTTTGCACTAAATTAGCTAGTGTAGGAAATGTAATGCCCCAATAAATAACTGTAACTTTGTTTTTTTTTTCCCTTTTATCTTATTGTCTGTAGATGTATATGGCTCATTGTTAGGTAAAGAAAACATAACAGTTCTTATTTTCAGGTGATTATACACTAATGAAAACATACCTATGAATTTTATATTCCATTTTTGCCAAAAGATCATCCTAAATGTTACACACTGGACCTTTAAATGTTTCCCTGTCCCAGGGTTCCTAGGCTGTGCCATACTAAAAAAAGAGATGATGGAGGCAGTTGTTTGCTATGGTAGCATGGTCCTAACTGTGATTCCTTACATCCGTTATCCCTGATCCAGCATTTTCATGCCTCATAATCCATTTGTTATGCATAAAATAAAATTAGTTACAATAAGTATGTTGGAAACTCAAACTCACTGGCTGAAATTTTCTTGGTAATTTTCAAGATAAAGGAAATAATTGCCATACAGGTACAGAGTAAAAGAAAAACATTAATTCTGACAGAGAAAGGTATCTTACCTCCACATAAAATGACCAGTGTGTAGGATTTAGAGGCATGTAGCGCTGAAGTTACAGATTTCAACTAACAGAGCACCATTTGCATCTGTATTTGACGACCTGGGAATGGAGCAGTGAAGTGTGTAGGAGAAACTACGGTGGCTGGACCTCTAAAGGACCAGTGTGTATGATTTAGTTTGTATTTTCAACATCTAGGATATATGTAAGATTATTATAACTGATTTTATGAACATGAGAGCAGGATTTCTAACATTTAGTAACCTAAATCTTTTGTTGGTGAAAATGTGTTACTTAGCTGCTGTGTAGTTATAGTTCTGCACAGTAACAAAACACGCCAACAGGCTCTTTATTTGGTGTTCTGTCACTTATTTAATCCCCTAGCTAATAATCCAGCAGTGTTTTATGTCCAGCTAAAAAACAAACATGCATCACATTTAGTCTGTTACAAAATCCAGAATATAAAAGCATTAATGTTCTCCAACTAAGCAATTAGAATTAAACCATAACATTTGAATGCACTAAAAATGGTAAAATATAAAAATCTAAAAGTATAAATAGAAATTTGGTCCATCAAGTTGATTACTATAATATTATTTACATTAGATTATTATTTTTATTATTCCAGGCCCTTATTTTATATTTGACTGCTGCTACCGTTGCGATGGTATTTACAAAAAGGAGTTCAGTGCAGGAGCTCTATAAAAGACAAGCTAACAAAATATGTCATTTGATGTAAAAAGATGCAGTTTTTCCCTTTTTTCCCCATTTGGCTCAGTGCCAATAAATACAAAGGTCTAGGAAAAGTTTGTTAGTTGAGGGTAGTACAGCGTTAGTCTACAGCTTGTATCAAAGTTAGAAGTACAGGATGAAAAATACAAAAAGGCACACTTTACAAAACCGCAGGGAGTCCAGATCCAGCGTAGAAGAAATTTGTCATGCCAGCCTCAAACTCCAACACAGAGTCCTGAATGACGAGGATTTTTATCTAGTAGTTGTAGCATGAGTCTGGCATCAGGAGAAGTTCTGTTGGTGGTTGAAGAGGAAGGAAAAAATGCTGTTGCTTGTTTGTAAAAGTTAAGCAAGAGTTCTTTGTGTTTTTTGGGGCAGTTACACCAGGGATTCAAGGCTCTCGGCAGTGCTGGCAGTTCCTACCACGATGGTACCATTGTTGTCGGAGGACTGGAGGGTTTTCTCGTCTTCCTGTGTCCCGATGAGACTCAGCATGGCTTTATACAGGAACTGGTACTGCTCCTGTAAATCAACAACGGGTAACAAATTGTTATATTTAGAGTTGTGTGCTTGCTTGTAGACAAATTCACCTAACCTGTGATTTTGAGCAATTCGTTGGGATTTATTAACTGTAGTTGTTGCAACTTAACACATTTTACACAAGTTTTTTTTTTTCAGGGAACTTATTGGAAATTATTACGAAATTACAGACCACTAATATAAAGCATTACTTTCTTTGTTATATACCTTTGTGCAAACACCAATTTGTGTGACCATCATTAACTAGCTACTATTAACGGGGAATATATATGAGTGGGTTTCTGAATTGGTACAATTTTGAATTTTTTATTTTTTTGTAAATGATGTCGCTGTTCCTGGAGCCTAGCTGTTAAGTTAGCGAATACTACAGATGGGTAACAAAGTAAAGGAGAAACCTGACAATTGCAGATGCTTCCATATAAGACCTGAGGGGGTCACTGAATGGTTTGATGAGAAAGAAAATTATGTGAAAACCTATGGGAGAATGGAGAGGGTTCCAGAAACTACGGGGGTTTGTGTTGGTTCTTCCTTTTAATTGTCACCTATCTGTACCTTTTTTTTGGGGGGGGGGCTTTTATTGCCTTTATATGATAGTGACAGCCGAAGATAGACAGGAAAGGGTGGCAGAGAGAGGGGATGGCAGGCAGCAAAGGGCCCCAGGTCAGATTCGAACCCTGGGCCGCTGCAACAAGGACTCAGCCTCGGTACACTCTATCCAAGTGAACTAACCGGGCACCCCATCTGTACCTTTTTATTATTACTGATTAAAGTGATGGACAAAACTATGAAAATAACTCTTGTTGTAGTTGTAAATTGTAATAAGCTGGAATTATCCTTTACCACAAGCAGAGGAACAGATAGAACATTATCATCAGCATATTGTGAGACAGACAACAGCCTTACAATGTCGCTGAAGATTCCTGGTCTCATGAGGTTTGTCAGCTTGGCCACTTGGAAGACATTAACCGAACCTTCAGCCTGCAGCTGGTGAGTCAGAGAAGATAGAGCGCAGAATGTTCCTGCCGTGACTCCACCCACACTGGGGAGGGAAAAAAATTAAAAAATCAAACCTGTCCTGTCAAACCTGGTAAATGTTGACCAGTCAGTGAAGGTCTTACTCATCATGGACCACAGTGGGGCCGTCCTTGGCATCGCTCTCCTCTTTCACCAGGTTGAGGAGCTCAAAGGTGTTGCTGATGGAACTGTCTGGGTTTGGCCATCGAGGGGCACGGTAGTGTTTCACCTCCAGACTGTAGTCATCCTGTCGAGATAAGGAGGAAAGAGCAGATGTCTGTCACAGCAATTATAAGACTGAGTTTTTTTTTTGTTTTTACTTTTTGTCTTTGCCTTAAACACAGGCATGCTTCTTTAGTAGTTCTTCATGCCGAAAACTCCTATACTGGTTTATACTGTGCAATACCCCATTGTGTGACTTTTGTACCTTTAAATAATAGCTTTAAAATTATTTTGATGCTGCACCACTTCAGCCCTGATGTTTGGCTATGTTATCAAAGTTGTCGACTTGCTAGTTTTTGTTCATAAGTAATGTAATCGTAATGTGTACATATTTACGACAGTGGTATTAACTGAATCTGGACAAATTGCAACAAATACCAAATTTTATATAGTGTTGTTTTAATAGTCTGATTAATAATATAAATCTCATAATTTTAATCATAGTTTGGCATTAACATTTGCAAGTGTACATACCACAGGACACTTCAAGACAGTTGTGTGTATGTATAACTGCAGAGTTGGCTGTGTGGGGGTTAAAATAGACAATATAGTATCAATTAAATTTATCATAACACTGTTCACAAGTCAGAAACTGATCATTTTAGTCTCCCACATGACTTGAATGTGGCATAAGGATTAGATGTGTGGAGTGTTGCCACTTCATAACAAAATTCCTGCTGTTGGTATAGAGCTAACAGTGAGGTTGGGAAGTAAAAACCCCAATTACGTTGTGAGGCAAGGATTTTCATTATTAGCCATAATGTCATAATCATCCAAGGAAGTCCTCGATTGGTGGAGCAAGGTTTTACCATGGAAATGTTTACTGCAAACGACTAGTGAGTTACTTTGATAAAAAAAAAGAAAACACTTTATTTACACAGTTACAACCAGTTTAGCCAGTGAGTTACTGTTACATTTAATGGCAACAACGCTTTCTCGTTTACATGCACAAAAAAATAAAAATAAAATAATTCTAAATTGCCATATTTTAAATAAAGGTGTCTCTGAGCAATACACAGGACACAGTGACTATGTTTACATAGACACTAATTTTCCACTGTTTCTGAAAAGAGGTGTTTGTTAACAAAGTAGCTACATAATATACCCCTAAAATGAAACAAGAAATGTGTTTTTACAGCACTTGTGGTAAACTGAATTTTAATTTAGTACAATTACCTGTTTTTCATTTTGTTAAATGTTGTTTTTAATTGTGGTCTAAGTGAAGCTCCAGGTTGCACTTACCTGTGTAGCTTCCAGTACGTAGTCCTGGACCACTACCATGTCCTCGTTAGCCAGACAGATGTTATTCTCACTCCTGTGAGTGACGGTGAACATTTCATAGATGATTGGCTGCCCTTTACGGGGCCAAACGACACACGGCTCCTCTTCCTCTGTCTACCAACACAAGAAGGCAACGGACAGTTACATCACAGTCAGATCCAACAACACTACAGATTGAACTACTGCACATCATTCTGTGACATCAGAATGATACGAGATTTAAGAAATACTTATTTTCTATCTTTCTGGGAGAGAATAGAAGATGGATATCAATCTTATGTCTGGTGGTTGGGAGTGTTGCCTTGTGATCAAACCATTTAAATACCTTAATAGAATATTTTTGTTACGTTAGCTACCCAGACAGTCAGTTTCTCTCAATTATTTTTTAAATATCTTTTTTGAGGAGCTTTTTTCCCCCTTTATTAGACAGGACAGCTTGAAATATGGACAGGAAAGAGGGAGAGGAGATGACCGGCAGCAAGGACTAAGCCCTGATACATGGGGCGCCAACTCCACAAGGCGAGCCATGAGGGGGCCCCAGTTTCTCTCAATTACTAAGATAAGCTTAATAATCTGGGATCCACTTGATCTTCATCATCATCTTTATGGCACAGCAAAAGTCTTCTCCCCTTCAAATGTGTTATTACTTTCATTGTTTTCACACTTTTTTGAAACAGTTCTCATAGAAAGACCCGAAACTCTATTGGATTAAACAAAAAGAAAACATTTATTCCCTGATAATAGAAATTACTTATGTAATTACTGTATGAATCTCTAATGCACCTATGTGAAAATCCTTTGCACAACTCTTCAATTAGTTTGAGTGAAATAATTTTTTCGGCTAATATGTCCATCAGTAAACTCCATAAATCCCTGAGAGGGATGGAGAGAGGGAAGCAGAGAAGCCACAGGACATCACAGGAAAAATATTTGTCTCATATTGTGAATTTCACAACAGAAACACATCGGAGTCAGTGCGGGAGGTCACTATGTGTGACGATTCTTATCGGATGACAGATTAAAGAAACGCATACGAAAAATACGGACTTGGTGTGCAAAGGCCTTTAGTCCGGAGCAGGTTCCTGTACTTTGTGCTCAGCCATCCTCTAACTGGAGCAGATAACATATAAAGAACATATAAAACATTGCATTCAGAGCAGTCTGAACTCTGAGCTTTTTGCTTAAAACGAGAAATGCAACTGCACCACTATATGTCACTAAATCCTACACACTGGTCCTTTAATTTAGTGTGTTTAATTGGTGTGATCACAAGGCTGTCTAGTCAGAATAGTTTTTCCCATTCTTACCATTCTATGGAGATGCTATAAATGCATCATTAACAGACATCGGAGTGATATCAATCTGAACTAACTCACTCTCCTAAAGAACAATAAGGACATTTCCCCCAAATGTTTAACTGGTTGTCAAACAAATGGTTGTTAGACAGCACAAAGAGAACTAATCAGTTAAGTCAATACTGTTATTTAAAAAGAAAAGAAAAAAAAACAACCAGTTCCTCACCTCGGCTGGCAGTGTCCCCTGCAGCGATACAATAACCTGGGCATTGTGGTCCCATATCATCCTCCAGAAGTCCTTTATGGTGCCAGGCAAAGGATTCTGGGTAATGATGAACTCGTTGCTGTGCCTGTAACCCTGCAGGAACAGACCCATGGCTTAGTATCTGTTTGTTTTTTTTCTACTTCCACGTGACTGGGCTGATTTTCAAACTGGATCAAGAGGATGATACATTTCACTCCTGTCTGCTGTTCACTATCAGACGCCTCTGACTGATTACACAATAATGGTGTCAAGCAATATCACTCAAGCGAAGCCTATCAATATGGAACAAATATTATAGCTATATGGGTGTGGAGATAGTGATTCGCTTACAAGGAACATGACTTTGAACACTGATTCAGACTAGTCTAAAAACATCCTGGACCTGTCTCTGCGAAGATTTAAACCTGAACAGAATGAGTTTGTTCTTACTGCGATGTACGATGCATTGATGTAGTCTGACGTTTCCCCTGCTGTCGTAGACAGTCGCACTCGTGACCTCTCAACTGCAAAGACAGAAAAAATATTTCACAGCATTGTCCTTTCTTAGCCTCATCTAACTTTAGAAAACTGTGGCCGATAAGGAAAATTAAACATTGACATCAGGCTAATTGACATCTACTTTTTCCTTGAAATGGTCCAGCTCCCGAGCATGTTGGACTCACCGGGTATCATGGAGCAGTTTCTGTTCTTGCTGCGGTTGCAGTCATGCAGAGCTGTAGAGTAGTCACACTGCTTCACTCCGTAGTCACAAACCAGCTGTGGAGAACAACAAATATCTGAGTGACTGAAGAATCAGCACTGAATCATTCTGCTGTGAAGATGCTTTTTATGTAACATCAGTGCACAGTGACCTGCAATAACCCTTGACTATGTAAACGTTGACATTTTCGAATAAAACTCTGCATTTATTTCAGTGTTTTGCATGTTTATTCTTTTATTTTATATAACAATTACATATGTCTCTTACGACAGATTTATTTTACAACCCTTTTACTTTAAGCTGTAGACATTTTTGAGGTGTGGACTATTTCCTGTTGGTTGTGGCTTAAAGTCACAACAGCAAAAACGAGGAGGAAAGAACCAGAAAAAAACACCTTTGCCAAAGTGGCAATTCAGCAAACTGTCTGTGAAAAATCCAAGTCATAATACAATTAAAATACACAGAGTTAACTGTTTGATGAGCTGCTCACCTTGAACTGTTTGTCCAAGCACATCCTCCCAGCAGGTCCCGGGATAAGCAGCTCGTCCACATACCTGTGCAGGTGAGCCGCCACCACCTCTGTCTCTCCGGACAGGATGGCTTCCACCAAGGCATCATGGATAAAAACATATTGTTCCTGTAGAGTGTTGAGAAATGTTGAGGTTAGACTCTGCTCAGTTAGTTAAACTGAAAAAGTCTAATTCTTGTTTCAATAGCAATCTATTATTTATGTTGTCCCTCATGAGTAATGCAGTGACCTGTTCAATAATGAGACAGTCTGCTAACCTTGTGTCATTCTTATAGCTGCACTGACTGAGAAGTAATATTTCAGAGAAAGACTGGAATTTGAAATGATTTGTGGGCAAATGGCAAATTAAATATTCCAAGGAAACAGTGCTACAAGAAAAATTTAGATTTCAAGTACCAATATTTACATTCACTCCATGTAGTCTTTAAAAAGGTTTCTGTGGTCAGAGGCTCTTCCCATTAACGTCTGTTTTGGTGATTTGCAGGTCAAAAGACATCCAGGGTTAAACTTTAAATTATTTTGAATTTTTTTTTTTTTCCAATTCCATGCCAGTCCATCAATTAGTTGTTGAAATGTTCAAAATGATTATATTTCCACATGTAGTCAAACTTTTGCTTGGCTGTTTGGCAATGGCTGTGGCCCAGCTTGGATTTAACCCTGCTTAAACGACTCAATAGGGACTCTGGCCAAACAATGGGAAATCAGAGACGGCTGTGCCCACATCTTTACAGAGACCTGCTCAATCAGCATCCCTGATCCTCGTCTGAGCTGATAGAGCGCAGGACGAGAGGAGGGGGACTTTACGTCGGTGATGCCTGGCGCTCATACACAGTCAAAGCTGATGGACACTGTTTCTTTAATGTCCAACTTTTTATGTGAAGATGAATGGACTGCAAACTTTGGTTTCGGTGTACAACCTTGTATAGTATAATGATAAATACATTTGATATATGTGAACTTTCACTTTTCAACTTTAATTAACACAGTTTTAAACTAGCTGTGTGTTGACCTGTAAACCCTTACTGGGTTCAAATTGCAGCCAGTGGAAATGTCACCCCTCAATAAGTGCATGAATGTGTGTGGACCTCTGACCTCTGTCTGAACCAGGTAGTTCCTTTGTGTGCGGATGTGTTTGAGGAAGCCTGTGATGTTGACAGCGTTTTCATTTCTTATTTGCTTAAGCATGCTGTCCAGGACGATGTACGTTCCCGTCCGGCCCACGCCAGCACTGCACAGCAACAAGACAGAAAAACGTGATGAATCCTGGATTTACTGACAGGAGGGTAAAAATGGAAAACAAAGCTTCTATCAGATCTTACCTGCAGTGCACCACCACCGGCCCCATGTCGTCGGCCCTGGCTCTGGAAGACTTGCGGACAAAGCTGAGGAGCGGCAGAGCGAACTCTGGGACGCCCATGTCGGGCCACTGGGTGTAATGGTACTGCATCACTGTCCGCTCGTTGCTCCGCCCCTTCTGGGAGCCCTGCAGGTCAAGCAGGAAGTGATTAATGACTTGCACCACAATGAACTCATAAACATAAAGGGTGCTGGTCCAGTCTTTACTGTATGTGGTGATTTTGGGACCAGCAGATATGTCACATAGACATAAATACATTTTAGAATCAGTCTAAGCTTTGTTAATTTTCCACTCCAGATATGATCTAAGACATATAAACAAGGGTCTGCTTGGAACAATAATATGTGTCTGATGTGTTTTTTTCAACAACAAAAGTATAACATCCACATCCATTTCATGAAATTACATAATCTATGAGTAAAGTATAAATGATAATATTTCTGAGAGCACATGAATGCAGCTACTATAGTTACTGTGATCTGATTTGCTGTATGTCAGACCTTTTTTGCGTTGGTGTTCCTGATAGTGAAGGTCCTCTGAGTATAGTAGGCGAGCACTCTGCTGCTCTTCACCGTCACCAGGTAGCTGCCGTACTCCTCCTGCCCCTCCGCCGGCCAGTACTGATCACACTTCCTCTGAGGAGCCATTCAACACATATTATGAATTATGATGAAAATGCAGATTAGACTTTTGTCTTTATTCCATGTGAACAAAAATGAAGACGTGATTTAGTTGTAAAAACATAGTTTTGTTTTCAGGATTAGGAAATCAAACTGTGTGCCAGCATTAAATGCAAATGCAAAAGTCAGTTCACTTAAATTACTTTTTTTTTTTTTTTTTTAAGAATGTGAAATGTTTGTTGATGTTTGAATGACTAAAATTAGTAAATATGTAAACCTTTTAAAGTATGGTAAAATATAGATTGGGAGTATGAGGGGAAAGTACTACAAAAACATTTCTCTACCTTTATTTGGAACCATCAGAATATAAATATGAACAATAATCAGCATAGTTCATAATAAACCCCCAGTGTCTCTCAATCCAGTCTCAGATTATTTGAGAAGAAAATGTGAATGGAAATCTGGTCACTCACTCTTCCTTTCTCCACCAGGTTAGTGATCATGACGATGACACAGACATTTTGCTCCCAAACCATCCTCCAGAAATCCTCGGTGCTCGACCTCAGAGGACCCTGGGCGGCGATATACAAGCGCGACTTCTTGAAACCCTGAGGAAACACATAGCGGCTGCATCAGCTGTAAAAATCTCCAAAAGACTTTAAATCTCAAGAAGAACTCAAAATACAAAAAAACATTTGCAAAGTCGTGGGGACAAGACTAAAGGTGCTTTCAGACAGCGCGGTTGCCATTGTTTTCAGTGTATACAATGCTTGGTGCTCTATTCAGAGTTTATGATAGGTCAGCTTTTTAAACTTGCAGCTTTCTGTGTGACCATGGCAACCACAGAACTACAGAGAAGTAAACAATACAGAAGCTGATTTTACTGGTATGTGTGTAGGATTTAGTGGCATCTAGGGTTCTAGTTGCAGATTGCAACTCCCTTGCTTCACCCTTCCTTTCCAAGTGTGAAGGAGAAACTACTGTGGCTGCGAAACGTGCACAAACAATGAACCGCTCTATCTAGAGTCAGTGTTTGCTTTGTCCCTTCTGGGCTAATGGAGAAACATGGTGGTTCAACATGGCCTCCGTGGAAGGCGACATATGGAGTATGTAGATAAAAACGTCTCATTCTAAGGTAACAATCCTCCTAAATGTTACACACTGGACCCTTTAAGTATAATTAGATTTTTTATCTAATCAGTTTATTCAGAAGTGGACATGAATGTTTATGGCAATCCACACAATAGTTGAAACATTTCACCAAAAAACACAAAACAAAGTTATTAGGATTCATGTATGGGTGTCCAGCATTGAGTGCCATCAACATAGCAGATGTTGAGATATTTCACTGTATAAGTTACAAACCTTGGCCTGATGTTGGCACAAGATGAAAAGTCAGGGGCTCGCCAAAGTCTATATGATTCATCCTCTGGGAACCATGAATGTCTGTTCAACAATTCATGGCCATTCACCCAATAAATTGCCAAATACAACATTTAATTTACCAGTTAGGAGAAGGCTGACGCAATACACAGTTCTACCAATCGTGTCACACTAATCCACTGATCTGCTGGTGGCAGTATCACAGAGAGAAGATATGCAGCAATGCGCCAATAAAGGCAGAGAGGAAGAAGACATGGAAGCAAGCAATGCTGGATTAAAAATACTTTAAAATTTGTCTCTGCAAATGTTTCACAAGGAAGGAAATGCATTCAACAGATTTGTTAGAGCTCAAGGATTCACACAATTCATTTTGGTGAGAAGCAGTGAATGTAAATATAACGTTTTGTTTAAAAGTAAACTCCACAGGGCTCCTTTAAGGCCAACACAGGAAAGAAAGTGTCACATGTTCTCAGCAGAGGGCAGCATTCAATCACTCACTTTAATAGTTTAATAACCTTCATATGACTGACAGCTTGAAGTTGCCTTCATACTGTGAGATGCAGACAAAAGTGTAAGCTTGAGAGATCCTCAATGTGCTTTTACCAACTTTGTAACCTGTACGCCAGCTCTCTAGAGAGGCCGTGACAGGCACATGGTTTTTTTGTGTTGCCTGTGCTTTTCACAAAACAACAAGATACTGGAAATTAGATTTTAATGGTGCGGTGTTAAGCATAATGGAGAGCCACGCAGGTCCCCGCTAACAACAGCAAGTCTAATGAATAGGAATAGAAGTATGCACGGGGGCGTACTGACTTTGGTTTAGGAAGACAGAGGGAAAAGTGAAGTGGCTCTGAGAATAAAATAAAATAAAAATAAGTTTTGCTGTGTGTTTGACTGTTTCAATACACAGACAAAAGACTGGGGATGAAGTCGAAGGCCTCACTTTGTATAGAGCTTGGAAAGGTAACTGAGAATCTGGTTAAAACAGGTTCCTTACGTCCACGTAGTTTGCGTTGATGTAATCCCTCGTTTTTCCATCTTTGTCAGCCTGTGGCGAGAGTCGCACCCGGCTGTGATCATCTGAGGTTTAAAGACAAAAAAAATAGAGCAACATGTGATCAGATCAATATGGAAAACATCTTCTTTTCTTTTTAAATGAAGTATAGCTCTGGGGTTATTTTATATTTTTCTTATTGTCAACAAATTCCATGAAAAGGCCAAAAACTGTGTGTGTTAGTCTCTTACTGCTTTCTGATATTACTACCCTGTCTGTGGCTCTCGGTTCCCTCTGAATAGCTTGAAAAGCTCAGTTTACTAAAACAGCTGCTCACTGTAGTTTTTTATCAAATGTTACTCAAACAGAAGCAAATTGTTAGGGACTATTTACAGTGGCGGATTAATTCATATTTGGTATTTGGAGCAGCAGGTTAGTGTATCAAAATGTGTCAAAATAAACTGTGTTCAGGATAATGAAGGAACATGTAACCCAGTGCAACAATGGAGTCTTACAATTTCAATACACAAAACATCTTTCAGAACACTGATTGCCTACTTGCCATTTCTAGTATAATATTCAAGATGATGAGTATTTTAATTTTATTATGTGTACCATGTGTACACCCACTAGCAGACCTGGTAGTCTCTGAAAGACAAATGGCAGTGTATTTGTTATAATGAGATTAAAAAAAAAATTTTCTTCACAAAGTTACAAAAACCAGAGCTGTCATTTTTTGTTGGAAACTTTCTGTAACATCACACAGTGTGGACGATGCTGAAATGTACTCACAGGCCAGGATGTTGCTGTATCTGTTTTTAGTCTTGTTGTCCGGATGGTTGGAGCTGTCGGTTGTCATCCCCATGTCCACTGTGCATACCTGAACCTCCTAAACACACACACACACACAAATAAAATAAAGCTTGAAAACCGCCAGGATGAGAGGTGGGAAGTAACTACATACCTCAGTACAGTTTAATGGTTGTGACTTTGGTTGTTCACATTATTTTTTATATGTGGCCTATGTCAGAGTCCAGTGAGAACACATCACAGTCTTGAAGTGACCTGGACTGACAGATGTTAAGTTAGCGTGACATGAAATTCACAGGAATTCTGATATGACTGTTTACTCTGAGGTTCACACAAGTGGCCCAAATGAGAACTGAAACCGATCTGATAACATGCGATTCATAATTGAGCCTAGAAACGCTCTTTTTATGTGCATGATTTTATCTCAGTGTAAATATTTTGGGAGAAAGAAGAACTTTTTTGGCTTATGTTGGAACTTTGCAAAGAATGTGGGAAAATTTGGAGTCCAGTCCTTGACTTCTTCCACTGGTGTCAAAGAGCAACCATGCAATCCACAGATCCACATTAACAAAAACACTCTGCATTAGAACACAAGACAAAAACCACAGCTACGAGTGCAGCAGCGTCCACCAATAATTAAAGATGTCAGGAGGAGAGCGTCTTACCTCATAACTCTCCTTCAGTATCTAACGATGAGGGTGAGGAAGCAGCAGGCAGCAAGGACGTTTCCGTGACAACACAGTCAACCAAAGAGGTGCAAAAATACAAATTACAAGACAACACAGAAAACAACTCCAGACTAATTCATCTCACAATACAGTTCATGCTATTGCAAACATGAAGGGAAGATCAACCCAAATAAAAACAAGGTTTAGTTAAATTAACGTTCAAATTCATCTTTAAAAAAAACTGTAAAAGGATTCTCTTATTAATGGGTTGGGCATGCCACACTACATTCTGGGAATTTTATGGAGTAATTTTGTCAATTGTGTTAATTACTAATATATTTTTAATTTGTATTAAATTTGAGTCCTCTGTATTTCAGTATAATTTTGGTGTTATATTTACATATTTGGGACCTTCCACTTATCCCCCACTATATTTCAGAGGGAAATATTAGACGCTACATTTAACTGGTTACTTTGGACATTCACATTTCACAGTCACTATAAACCAATACAGACTGTTAAAACTGATTAATTTGAGGATTTTTTTTTTTGGGGGGGGGGTCAAGAGAAAGCCAAAGACATGCATTCCTCTGTAGCCTTGTTGTCTTTGTGTTGATTTTTCCTTTAGTGGCACTTTCAGGACAAAACAATGACTGTTTGTTCTGCTGATAGTCCACATGTAAAAGACCCGACACACTACTCAAATGAATGAATGAATGAATGTATGCATGCAGTCTCTTCACAAAGGGACACAACCTGGGCTGCAACATTCACCCTCCAACTGATTATTGTGTCACTCTATTAGACAACTGTGAATACACTTTGTTATTATTGTTACTCTTATTATTCACAATGAATTTCTGATAGCTATGTACAGAGAACCAGAAATAGTCACATAATGTTGCATCCAAAGTGTATTCAGTAACTGTCACATCATCACAGCTCACCATGCACCATGCAGGCAACAACATGATGGCAATCAGCCACAACCCCGACAAACACACACACCACACACCACAGGCACATTTCAGACAGCAGATATATTATTTACAAACATATTATATATTTTAAGTTCAGTTGGAATTGAAAATGGAAAAGCAATCCAGTCTTTGTACCTCAAACTCTCGCTGAAAGCCATGGGTGTCGTGAAGCTCAGCAACGTGTTTGACAAACTCCTTCACTGGAAAAGCTGTTTCCTCGTCTAGAAAGAAAAAGTGGTACTAAATGGTACTAAAGTGGTTTAAAATGTGTGTACAGTAACTGTATTGTTTTGTCTGTGATTGAGTTGTAGTAAATATTAAAGTCTGAATATTGATGTATCCCCTTGTAGTGAGCACATTTATGAAATCGAAGAGTTTTTGTGAGAATGTGAGGAATATAGAGAATATTGTTCAAATTAAGCATGTATTTAGAACATGAGGATGTATTCAGAAATTAAGGGCATTTACAGATATTACAATCATTTTAGAAAGTGAGGATATTTTTAAATGAAAAGATATTTTTTGAAAAGGAAGACATTTTAGAAAATTCAATTCAATTCAATTCAATTTTATTTGTATAGCGCCAATTCATAACAGAAGTTATCTCAGGACACTTTTCAAATAGAGCAGGTCTAGACCGAACTCCTTATAACATTATTTACAGAGACCCAACAGTACCACTATGAGCAAGACCTTGGTGACAAGCGCAAGGAAAAACTGCCTGTTAAAAGGCAGAAACCTAGGAAAAGAGAAACATTTTGTAATTAGGGATGTATTTGTGTGTTACCGGATGTTAATGCAGCAGTGGACGGTGCAGCGATGACTCTAGGTGATGAGCTGTCATCGATGTAGAAGTGAGCTGTCTGAAAACAGGTCCTGTAGACAAAATACACACACACACCAGAGTGAACATCAGAATGTATTTTCATTTAAAAATAATCTTTAACCATGAAAAGTTCTGTTTGTGAAATAAATAAATAATTTCAAATTTTGGTTTGACAAAATATATTTTACATGTTTAGTGTTTTAGGTAAATATGGAGACATTAAATATTATCAGCACACACTGAAAATCAACAGAAAATCCATTAAAGTAATTCAAATAAAGGAAAATATTTTGTTTAGAAAGCGTTTGTGTTGTACTGTATATCTGTATTGATGCCCTGCTTCAGCATGTACTGTATCTGACCGAGACTGCAGAATCAAGAAGATGGTGACAGAAGATGCTTTTGTTTTCATGTGACTCTGCGTTGGCCCAGATTTTGGAGAATACATGGTAATCTTCCCAAAAACACAGGAAAAAAGATGTTCTTTTAATCCGTGACAAGTTTTTAAACGGATGAGATGAACCTGCGTTGTCTCAGCCAGAAATGGGCATCAGGGATTACCACCGACAAAAATAAAAAAAACAGTAAAAGGGCTGAGCTCTGAGATTAAAGACGTGTTTTGGAGGAAACACAAACTGTTATTCTCTCAGCCAGTGTGATGACTGTTTATTTAAAAGCTGAATTTCGATTTGTCAGGTTGCTCAGACATCTAGCTCCGCTCAATGCTGACTTCTTGCATCTTAAACATTCAGATTCTCAGTGTTTCACAACATTGTTATTGTTCTATCAAAAGATCAGAAACAGAGCTGCAAGCCTTTGTGTTAAGAACAGTGCCTGAACTGTTTCAGAAGACAGAGTTCAATCAATCTCACTGTTTATTAATGTGCACTGTCCCTGTAAAATAAATCAATAACTACATAAATAAATAAATAAATGGCACAAAAATGCAAAGATAAATAAACACTTATCACATCCAAGGTTTTTACATCTACCGTGACTCAAATGTAAGATAATTCCACTGTTATTATTCCAAAAAGGTTTGCTAACACAAAAAGAACAAGATGACTGCTTGCCGTTGTAAACATGTTTGGAAGATGTTCACTCTTGTGCACTGTGAGCATCTATTTAGAACGTACTCTGAGGCAAAGGGCGTTAAGGAATTAACAATGCACAATGGTTGGAAGTTTGAAAATGGAGCAGAAAACAACATGGATTCATAAATCTGTTGTTTCTATTAAACAAACCTATACAGTAGGTTTCATCCATAATTGCAACACAAAGTGTTTCACATAATACAATCAATTATCTAACATTTGTTTACGCAGCTACCTGGTAAAATATGAAAATGTGATTTTACTGATATTAAGAAAACGTTTTCTTTTTCCCATGTGATTGCATTCAGAGACTTCAGAAACCTAAACAGCTCATGCCTACCTAAAGGTCAGTGTTTTTGCTGTTAGGGGCACGAGCTAATGTTCTATAATGTCTGCTGCCTATTGACTCCAGTTAATGTTTGATTTTACCATTAAAACTTCCTCACTGCAACGCAAAGTTCATTTTCTGACAGATGGTATTTGGTGTTGTGCAACACATTGGTGCAGATTTTTTGTCAAAAGATGTGATTTTACTGCTGTTCATTGGCCAACTAAGTGTATTTTACTTGTTTATCTACTGAGACCGAAACGGCTTAATCTGATTATATTGATGTAGGATGTAAAAAGCTCAGCAAGGACCTAAAATAGAAAAACAGCTGCTGCTCATTAACAAACACAGTCAGTCATATTTTCAACCTTTTTTGGCTCTGAACACGTTCATCTGCGTCCTCTTGATGAAGTTTGTATGCAGGTGCAAAGAATTCAAATTAATCTGAAGTAACCTTTCTAGACATAAGTATGATAATAATATGTTACATCTAAACCCTTAGTGAGCATCTCTACTATCTCTGTTATTAATGCTTTTATTGATCTTTTTACTAATTTAGTTTTAAAAAAAGGCACGGGGTACTGGACTCCTGTTTGAAAAGCTGCTACATAAATGAAGTTGGAATTCATTAGACAGCTTTAAGAAATGCTATGCATACATCTCTCAGCTTGTTGTAAACTTGTAAAGTCTGCAAAAATCCCCTCAAACTGCTTGGCCTCAAATGCACAGCAGCAGTGTCCAAATGAGCACCGTCCTGTCAGGAGGGAGTGAAAAGGGACACAACACCAGCAGGATTAGTGCAGTTTGGCCACCTGCCGGTCGCCCTACAAGACGCTGACACGATTCCCTCTGTCCGACATAATCAGGCGGATGTCCTTTTCTATCCCCCGACCCTCTCTGGATGCTCTCAGCTGAGTGGACGCTCGCAGTGCTGTAGCCAAGGTACAACCTTCACTGAGGATTAATCCCCCTGCTCCTCAGATTATTACCAGCTTAGCACTGCTCAATCTTGGAGATACAACAACAAGCAGAGCGCAAAACAAGAACAATATGTTGAGTCTCCGGCACGGCAGATACAGTCTGTGAAATAACCGACTTCAGAAATCCGAGGACATTTGGTTTTCAGAGTGGGAGTGGGCAGCAGGGTTTTTTCCTACTGCATAAAGATGTTTTCAGCACAGGAAGAAAAGAAACTTTGTTTTATGCCCTAAATAGGTGTGGGATGTTCACCAGGTAGAGCTGGCGCCCCAATATACCAATGTGGAGTCCTTGCTGCAGCAGCCATGGGTTTGACTACGACCTGTGGCCCTTCGCTGTGTGTCATCCCCCCTCTCTCTCCCCCTTGCTGTCACTATTGATTAAAGGCAATAAAAGCCCAAAAACTAAAAAAATCTTTCAAAGTATTCTCAAATAAACTTTTGTTTGTTACAATAAAAAACAAAAAACAGCATCTCTCAAGGTCAGGGAGAGGAATCAAAAACTACTGCTGTCAAAAGTGAGCTGCTGCGATGGCTGAAAGGCATCATTCAGTCCGCCAGCAGCTGCGTCAGCAACACAACACAGGAGGTATTGTTTGTAAAGGGGCTGCTGGTGAGCAAACAAATACACACATACACACCAATAAAAACACTTAGCACAATGCAAGATCAAGATTGGAGAGAGGAGATTCAGCTTCCCAGACAAAAATGAGAATCTTCTGGCTAAAGTCACTTCTCTCCCACTCCACATTTTATATGACATATGATGGGGTTGAAGGGCAGGGGTGGAGGTGGGTGTTTGAGCTGGCCAGTTGGAGGGGCTCAGTGTGTGTGTGTGTGTGTGTGTGTGTGTGTGTGTGTGTGTGTGTGTGTGTGTGTGTGTGTGTGTGTGTGTGTGTTTTGAGAAATACTAGACTAGATTTTAAAGGTCCAGTGTGCGTAGGCGCACATTACACCTCCCTTGTATCATTCTCCCCTTCCAAACGCGAGGGAGAAACTATAGCGGCCGCAAAACATGAAAAAAATGCTAGCACCCATATCTACAGCCAGAGTCTGGTTTGTTCCTTCTAAACTACTGTTGAGAAACGGCAGTTCAACATGGCAGACTCAGTGTAAGTAAGTAAGTAAGTAAGTAAGTAAGTAAGTAAGTAAGTAAGTAAGTAAAGCTTTATTTATATAGCACCTTTTTGACACGGAGATCCAAAATGCTTTACAAACAACAAATACACACAAGGGTATAACCATACCCAATCAAACAAACATAGGAGCATGTATATACAAAGGAAGATAAAACAAGAGGGAAGGATAAATTAAGAGAGAGACGACAGATGATGAAACAAACAAGGAGATCTATAAAAAGGCTTGCTTGTAGAGGTGGGTTTTGAGCAGCCGCTTAAAACAGTCCACAGATTCAGTGAATCTGAGTGAATGGGGAAGACTATTCTACAATGTTGGGGCTAAAACAGCAAAGGCACGGTCACCTTTAGATTTACAGTCAGAGTGGGGAACAAGGAGATCTGAAATGTAACTAGTGGCAAGGTCATGAATTGCCTGATATGTTATAGGGAAGATCTTACAATTGATTCAGAATTTTACCAGAAGCCAATGAAGGGATGTGAAAACAGGAGTAATGTGGGACCGTCGGCTGGTTCTGGTTAAAAGTCTGGCGGCTGCATTTTGTACTAACTGTAAACGATTTAAGGAAGCTTGACTGAGGCACATGTAGAGGGAGTTATAGTAATCTAGAGGGGAGAAAATGAAGCAGCAAATTAATGGTTCAAGATCACTGTAGGACAGGAAACCTTTGATTTTTGCTATATTTTGTAGCTGCAGGAAACTGGACTGGGCAATAAACTGATCAACTGCAGTGAGTTTTCAGGGCCAAATAAAATAATTTTGTCAGGATTTAAGTGGAGAATTAAGAGACATCCAGTCTTTGGTGGCAGCTAAGCACTCATGGAGAAAGTTGATTCAAGTTATTGGGTTTTGCAGAGAACAAATGACCCAGAGGTAGCATGTAAGGGGGAGAACAGAATTGGACCAAGAACCGACCCCTGAGGGACACCACATAGCAGGGGGGCGGAAGAGGAAACATAATTATTTATGCAGACATTAAAGACTCTATTAGTCAAATAGGAATGAAACCAGTTTAAGGCTGTACCAGAAATGCCAACCCAGTTCTGTAATCTATCCAGTAAAATGGCATGATCGATGGTATCAAAGGCTGAAGTCAGATCGAGAAGAATAAGGATGGAGCTTTCACCTTTGTCAGCATGCATAAGGATGCCATTAGACACTCACAGTAATGCTGTCTCGGTGCTATGCTTTTGATGAAAAACCAGATTGGAATTTGTCTAAGATTCTATGACCCTCTACTAGCTTCAGAAGCTAGTCCGCAACAATCTTTTCAAGGATTTTAGATAGAAAGGGAAGTTTGGAGATAGGTCTGGATTGAGAGAAGGTTTTTGAGGAAGTGGATGGAAGGTGAACTGTAGCATCTGTATATATATATAAACGCCTCATTCTAAGGTAAGAAATACATATGGATTCCTTTATTCAGGTGAATATACACTAATGAATACATGCCTATGATCGTCATATTCCATTTAATAGATCCTCCTAAATGTTACACTGGACCTTTAAGGATTTGATTGAGACTTCATTGAGGAGGTGGTGGCTAAATGCATTACCATTTTTGCTAATGTCGAACTGATTGTTATATACAAATGCAAGATTAATCTGCAAAAAAGACATGGTCAAAATGGTGGGCTCTAGATCCATACTGTAAGTATGCAAAAAGGCCTTTTTTTTTTTTTACATAAATTTGGCCTGGAGACACTTAATGTCACAGTATATGTAGTATTTCTAGATTTATGTTTACAGTCCCCCTCCCTCTAAACCCTGCTGCTCTGCTTTGTTCAGCTCTATGATCAACTTGTGTATTTTCCTTTTCATTAACCAATATCGACTGTTTCTGGGAAAAAAAGACAGGTACCTAATTAGCTGTGTGCAGGAAAAGTGTTAGGTATAGTTCATTAAAACACACAAGTAAAGTTTTTAGTCCATTTTGGGGATTTTTTAAGTCTTTAGAAAGCCGACAGGAGAGAGATGACAGGAAATGATTTGAAAGGGATGGGAAATGGAAGAGAGACACTGCTGTTCATGGTTGGCAGCTTAATTCCCAGACCACAAGAGCTCCCCAATTATTTAAATAAGCACAAAGAACATAGGCTGACCTATGTGCTGTAAAAATTTCCAAGGTGCTCATATTACCCAAATTTCTGATGTACCTCTGTTAGAAATGTTGTACTGACCTCCAGTAGATGAGGATACTGATGAGAACAATCAGGCCAACGACGGTGAGGGTGGAGATGACGGCCAGAGGAACCACAGCCTTCCTCTCTCTTTCCCTGATGGAACCAACCCTTGACTCATGGCTGCTGTTACTGGCATCTGATGAGAAAGAACATAAGAGGACAAAAATCTAAGCTACTGCAGGGTGAGTCAGCGCAATCGCCTGTTGCATACTGGAAATTTCCTGCTTTTCTCAGGGGATACGCTCCCCTGTTTGTAGAAGTGTAATTCATCACACCTTAGTCAGCAGAGCCAAAGGCACATAAAGTACTCCAGTGGCTCCTAACCTTTTTGCTCTCTACTAGGAGGGATTATGTAAATTACACAGTAGTAAGCAGTTCTATGTATGTGGATTCTTTAGAGTAGGAAATTGTGGGAATGTGGGAATATTGCAAGTTAGAAATTATATAAAGCTAGATTTCACTACTTTACAAACAGACAGGCAATGTACAAGGAAAAACTGTCCTCCCCTCAAAAAATGTGGTAACTTTTTAAAATGTGATATCTTTATGACTACAATAGACTACACTTCAGGATATTTCTCGTCTCATAATGCTTATATTATTATTATGCAGGCTACAGGTTGTCTATCAACACAGGTCAACCGGATAGTAAATGTTAATATTTGTCATAGATGCTATATCTCCTCAGAAATCATTAAACTGGCTGGCAGACTAACTGTTTAATGGTGAATAAAAGTCAGAAATCCACAACTCTGCTAAAGAGAAGTTAGACTTGTTTTTGTAGACTTTCTAGGCTATTTTATTTGATTAGCCACTTCAACATGAAAAGAGGAAAGCACACAGTTATTTCCCCTTTTTGATGGCCACAAAAAACAAAAGAAATAGAAATTGAATTGACTAGCCAAACTGAATGATCAGATGATACATGGACCACGCACAACAGTTCATAATGAAAAGTCCTTCACAGATCAAACGAGAGCGCATTCATCAAACAGGAGACAATCAAGCAGCGCAATTGTAACTTTGAAAAACAGGAAAAGAGAACCTGACCTGACTGAGCTATTGATGAATCCTCCCTTTATCGTCTGATAACCAGTAAGGAGTATGGATTAACCTTGACTGGGAGGCAGAACTTACCTCTTCTGCACAAACTGACTCAGTTAAGCTGTGAATGGTTGGGTCAGCCCTGATGACTACAGCCTAGTTCATGAGCCTGTGGAGCGCTTGTGCACCCTCAGAGGAAAACCCATTCATTCAACCATACATCCAAGAGAACTTTGTCTGGCTGTCAAAAACCCTGCACATGTGGGCGATGATAATGGGCAAAGAAAAGAAAAGGCCCGGACAGAAGATGGAAAAGGTTATTCATTTAAGTGCAGCGACTGAAGTAACAAAGCGACTCAAAGAAGAGCTGATGAGAATGAGAAAGGACACAAAACTTCCACTCAAATAAAAATATTTCAGATTCAAAGCAAAACTAAATGATGGCGTTCTGTTACTGTACATCTGGATGTCAGAATGTCAAGGGCAGATAATGTATATACAAATACACTTGGAAAAGTAGGATTGTATTTTAAAGAACCAAATCTGTGTTTTATCCTGTTATAGCCCAGCACAATACCATCAGATTTTAGACTGATGTCCTACCTTCCAGACAGCCATTGGTTTCAGTTTATTTCTAAAAGAAGTCAAAAGAATCTAGCGAAATTGCAAAACTACAACCATCTGAATACAGCTCAGCCTTCCAAGCACATAGGAGTGACTACGGTGGCCACGAAACTCACAAAACAGCCTATCTAGAGCCAGTGTTTGGTTTGTCCGTTCTGGGCTTCTGTAGAAACATGGCAGCTTCCTTGAAAAAGGAACATGAGTGTCACACTCACATGATGACTGGAATCACTCAATTCACAACCTGAAAACATCATGCCTCCGTCTATGGCTATTGCCAGCACAGAGGCATAAATACAATACAACGATTTTTATTTTCAGGTGATTATACACTAACGAAAACATACCTATGAATATTATTTTGCATTTGTGCACGTAGAATCTCTGAAATGTTAGACACTGGACCTTTAAAGTTCAGTTCAGTAATGCAGTTGCACACTGAGACCATTTAAAAAAAGCGTATTATGCTTGCCCAAAAGCATGCTCTGTTGCTGAAAAATCTAAATGTTAAGACCCCAAAACAAGCAAATACAATCCATAAATTCATAAAAAAAACTTGTAATAATAAAAATTAAAAGGATGAATTTAGAGGTTTCTTGCATGCAAAAGAAACACGTAAAACTCAGAGCATCCTTGAATACACTGAGAAAGAGTCTTAAAACTAGTTTTACAATGTAACTTTGAAGTTACTACAAAGAAACAAAGGTTGACTGAGATTAACTGGTCGATATTATCTGTCTGCAGCAGGTTTTGAGTCTTTGAAACTTGATTTTTATAGAAATTAACTAAAAATAATAGCTGCCAGGAAGGAAGAAAATCAGTCAACAAACAGATGGGATGCTTTGTAGTTAATGATGCAAGGTAGAACTGATTCTAATGTAAAAATCAATCAGGCAGCAGTACTGTTAAGTATACATGATCTGTTATTAAACCACCTGTATGGTTCTTCAGGACCAGTGCTCCCACTAAACCTATTGCAGGAGGTACATCTTTAATCAAACATTGTCGAAATGAATTATTCTATTTATTTATATTTGAAATTTGAGAAAGTCTTTTGAGACTATATACAGTGCAGTGTAGTCAGAGACTGTGCAGGTGTGGGGATGGTGTTTGAACCAGTTGAAGCTTGGAAGGTCTCCACTGCACTCTGGTGGCCATGACAGGTAACATTCGGGAAGAGAAGAGGATTTTGGACATAATTCTACTTACTGTAATATAACAGAGAGCTCTAACGATATTAAATGTGCAGCCACAATGGTCTAATAATTTAGGAACACATTAACCATGTGTCATCTGGACAGATAATCTACAGTACAGCATATAATAATAGTAGATATGGTATACTTACAGCATATATTTAAAAACATAAGAGAATTAATAGTAGTGTAATAATGTAATAATGTACTGTTGGTAAATGTAGGTACTGAAGTGGCTAAAGGTTTTTAAGAGGGATGGATTTAGTTCATAAGAGGAAACAAGCATGCTTCTTCTGCATTCTCAGTTGGATGCTCTACCTCAAAAAAGTTTTAGTTAAAAACCAAAACAGATTTAAGGAAAAAGGCAGCACTCCAATGGTAATAAAAACTAAGAGTCACTACTTCTTGATCATTTTTGGTGATGTTATTTTTAACAAATGGTCCGACAAATTTCACATGTTTTGGTGTGAAGCCTTCCTCAGAACATATATGCTCGAACTTGTACACTTTAAAGGTGATCTTTAAACCAAAACCTAAAAAAAACTAAAAATAATAAATTAATTAATTAAAATAATAAACACACCACACAGTGAGTAATAAAGCAATCAAATCACTCAAAATGGTTAAGACTTATGGATTAATTTTGTGTAATGGTATTGCACTGAGCTCTGTGATAGACTGGCTTCTTGAGTGTCCCTACCAGACTCTCCAAATGCATGCTGGGTTAGGTTTCAGCCCTTCATAACACTAAACAGAATATATGGTTTGGAAGATGGATGGATGACTAAAATGAGTCTGAAATGATGATGAAGATAGTGATGGTACGTTCATCGAAGTTACTGGATCCTGTTTGGTGATTGTAACGGATTATGTTTTACCTCGCATGCATGAGTTTTCACTTTCACAGACAAAAATTAAAAAATGAAATGTAGATTGGTTGTTGATAGATGATGGATTAGTCCAGAACTCTTCCCGATCCCTTGGTATTTTGCATATTTTTTCCCACATGGACGGCTTTTTTACCTGCGACTGGCTCCTCTTCCTCTGACTCTCTTTCTGTGCGCTCGGAGATACTGAAGTCAGAGGACGTCTCGTTGTCATACAGGCCTTCACCCTGCCCTGAGCCACTCTCCTCCTCCCCGCCCAGCGACCAGGGTGAAGCCGAGGTTACCGCAGGGAGGGTTGGCGTCACTGTGCCTCCCACCTCCGAGGTGATGGCACTACCACTCTCACTTTCAAAATAGAACGCTGAGGAGCGTTCCTCCAAATCATCAGGGGTTTGTCCGGACTCAGAAGTCTTAGACGGGGGAATGGTGTTAGTGACTTTGGTTGAATAAGGGAACACGCTCTCTCCAGAGGCCGAGGTTTGAACCCTGTCCCACTCCTGATCTATGCCCTCCTGGGAGTCTGGGAACAGGGCCGAGCCGGAGGCACTGCTGCTAGTGTCTAACGCCTGTCCTTCTAGGGTGGGGGTGAACGGGGAGACTGTGGGTGAGGGAGGGAGGGCAGAGGTTTGTAGGGCGGAGTTCCCGTCTGATGTCGAGAACCAGGGATTCCTGACGCCAGACGCTGTGGGTGCAACAGAAACGGGCAGGTCACTATAGGTGACTTGGAGAAGGTGGGAGTGTGAAGAGGACAATGAGGGAGAGACAGCTCTATGGGAGTGCAGAGGCTGGTCTAAGGACAGACCATCCGAACCTGCCACAGACAAAGAGTTTAAAAGATCATCTATACCAACACCAGAGGCCGAAGGGAAGCCCACACTAGAGTAAAGCTCTAAGCTAGCAGAGTCCCAGGCTGAGGAAGGCAGGGATACATGAGGAGAGGCATGCAACCAGGATGAGGACGCCGACGGCTCCAGAGAACAGCCGCACATGGAGTCCATGTCGCTAGTTAATGGTAACCCATCACCGCTGACCTCGGGGAGAAAAGACTCTATTATGCTCCCCGTGGCGTACCTTGAGTCCTCAAACCCAACAGAGAAAGAACGGGATAAACCTGGAGTTGTGCCCGAAAAGGTGAAGTCACTAGAGAGGAGAACTGAGGGCTGGAGGGTGGGGCTAAGAGACAGGGACACTGCTGAGAGTGACGGATCCCAAGAGGATTCAGAAAGCTCGGCGGTGAAGGTGGTGCTAGACGGCTCAGGCACCATTTTGAGAGGAGGGGTATCGCTAAATACTGAGGGGTCACCTGAAGAGGCTGACGAAGATGAAGACCCAGATAACAAATCACCATCGCTATCATTATCATCAAACCCGACACCGGGGGAGACAGGGTTAGTCTCCCAACCAGAAAGGGGCTGCGAGGGGTGAGGGAGGTGAGGCAGGGTTGAGGCAGGGAGTGAGGGGGTTGAAGGAGAAGCCGGGTCTTTGCTAGACAGCGGTGCAGTAGCAGCATGCTGGGAGTCCGATGCAGAGGCAGACAACATAGGCCAAGACGAGGAGGGAGGGTCATGCAAGCAGGTGGAGGGGGCAGCATCGGGGTCCGCAGTGTCACACAGAGGGGAGGAGGAGGCGGAGGAGGAGGAGGAGGAGGAGGAGGAGGGGAGGACAGAGGAGCGCTCACCATTGGATAGTGGCTGTGTGGTCTGCAAGAGAACGCCACTCAACCGGACAGAGGTCGTGGTAGACGAAAAATGGGGCATGCTGGGACTTGTGGGCCTACGTGGAACAGCTTCACTCGGGGAGGTAGGCTGGTAGGTTGAACTTTCTGCGTGGATCTCTGGAAGACCTCCGGGTCCAGTGGACACACCTCCATCAGTGGTGGTGTCCATGTTTACCGGATGCGCCAGGTTATGGTCCGTCTCAGCCTGGATGAAGGACGATGATGTGGTGCTACTCATGTCGCTGATACGAGACCTCAATGTGCTGGTAGTGGTGCTGTATGAAGAAATACTCTCACCACCTTTTGTCTTTGCACTGGTAAATGTAGGACTAATGGTACTAACACCACCTTTTGTCCTTTCAGAGGCGTCTCTTGGACTGATGCCTTCGAGAACACCATCTGTCTTTGCATTGGAGTATAAAGGAGTAGTAGAAGTGGAAATGAAGACTTCCTTGGTTGTTGTTGTTGTTGTTGTGGAGAAGGAGGGATCGTTGCCACTGAAGTCAGCACTTCCTCTGGTCTCTGGTGGTTGTGAGGAGGTACTGTGGCGTACCGTCTCTACAGAATGGCTCTGGACTTGACCATACTGGGTGGATCTGACCCATGGAATCGGATCAGTGGTGGTTTTCCCATGACCAGATTCTGCTGTTGTGCTTCTGATGCCAGGTAAAGGCACAAGAAGTGATCCAGAAGTTGTGGTCCTTGGTGCTTTTGTAGGAATTAAGGCCAGATCATAATCCTCGGTTTTGACTGGTTCATTCCAAGACAGATCAGGTTCATAGTTGCTCTGTTAGAAAAGTTTAGAAAGGTTTATAGACAGCCATAAATGACAGTGATCTAAACATGTCATATGCAGTGTTTGAAGAAAAATAAAAGTTTTCCTTACCTCAATGTTAAATTCATCTGAATATGGATCCAGTGTGTTTTCTGAAAAAAAGGCACAGGTTGCATCATTAGTTACAAAAAATATGTCACAAAAAAAGAACCGAAATAACTGTTACAAGCTCGAGGAATCCTCAATTTCTCTCTTGACCTACTTTACTTTTAAAATTTCTCTGAGTTGTATTTATGTTGGTGCCAAAAAGCAGAGACATGAAGAAGAGTAAAACAATTTGAGTGTAGTGAGAAAATCACATAAAAGGAAAAAGGCACACCCTGAGACGCTGTGTTTCTGGATGTTTTGGAAAAATGAAGAGATAAACCTGTTCAGTTTTGTTTTATTAAACCTAAAAAACCTTGAACTTGTTGAAGGATGTAAATGTGTGGAAAATGGAAAAGAGGGAAAGGATGTACACACTACATCAAGCAGTATGTTGGCTTTATGATAAACACAAAACGAACACTTGCATGCAACATATCAGACACATTTGGACTTCCATGCATGGATTCCCCTAAAGACACAAGCACACAGAGAAAATCTTGAACAAAAAGCATTTGCAATTAATCATTTTTAGGTTTCATCCCTCTTTTAAAAACCCGACGAGCCAAGAGAAGGCATTTGAACTGACAACTTTCCACTACTTTCAAACTTCACCCGTCTGTCACCTAAGAGGGATATAACAAACTCACAAAAAGAGTTACTTGCAAATGCCACATATGTTGACCGAGCTCAGACACACAGCACACAGTGGGCATGTCAGGGAGCAGGTTGTGGTGTGTCTCTTACCTGTCTGAGGCTAAGTCATACATCATGGCGACCAGATCAAACTGGTTTGTGAAGCATGAGGTGAGGTTTTACAAGTTTAATGAACTGGGTTTAAGGGAGATCATTCAAGGTTTGGAGCAAAACTTTAATTTATCAATGGAATGTTTTTCCACTATATTTGAGATCATGAATAAAATCAAAATGACAGGAAAAACTCTTGTGTTAAAATCATTAGTTGATTAAATGATTAGTCAATCAACAGAAAGTGATAGATTATGTCTTTTATAATAAATAGTTTTTTTCAATTATCAAGTAAAACTACCAAATACCTACAGCTTAAAAACTGTTACAGCTTCAAAACTGCAAATGTTTTCTTTGAGGCAAAATTAAAATACTAAGTATTGATCTAATATTAAGTGACCTGCTGCTAGTCCCTGCAAAAAGTATGCTAATAACTGTAATCAGAAAGATTGATCTGATGAATGATTTTAAATGTTATATTGCTAAAACAATGGCTTTGCTGCAATTCACGTATTAACTTTTTAGCTAATAAAATGTCAAATGATTACCAAAAACCAATTGAATATCTTTATAGTGATTATTTTGTCTAAGCAACAGTCAAAGATAAGATAAGATATGACAAAAGTTTGCATATTTCTAACAAACAAAGTCATCTTTCCACATGTATTAACCAATCAATGATATGATAGATTTAATTTTCTGTTGATCAACTAAAAGTTTAATTGGCTAATAATTACAGCTATAGACCTAGCTAGCTATTAATATTGAGCTAGCTGAGTTGTTGTAGCACTAAACTGACATTATAATCTTTATGACCACCACAACAGCAACTTTTAGCTACCATGCAATAATAGATTTGTTATTACAAACTTTTACTACTACTTGGGAGCATAATGTTAGCAATGGTAGACGATGGTGTCACTAGAAAAGCAGTGACGTAAACTTAGCAGATGTTGCAGAATATAACTCATTCATGCAAGCTGACACTGAAATAGGATGCATAGGTTTTCTTTTCTTTGTAACAAGACATATTAGTTTATTTAATATAAAGTCCAGTTGAAACACAAAGTTACTTTGATTCCAATCCATGTTACACAAAATACTGCTGCACACATGCAAACATTTCTCTTACTGTGACAGGCAAGCGGAACGGATGCCACATAATGAAAACAAAACAAAGATGGCGACTTTGTCTTTCCATGTGACACGAAGGGAGACAAGAAATGACCCCTTGACCCCACACCAAGAATATTCTTTCATCTTAGAAACATATAAAGAGAAAGCAGATTTGAAGACTACACAGAGAAACTTAAGACACAGTTAAAAACAGAAAAAGACTAGCTGCACGTGTGTGTGTTTAAATCCTCACAAAATATATACCCCAGAGCGAGGGGTCGGGTGGGTGAGAGTGAGAGAAAGAGGAAGAAAAACAAAACAATGTCTGGCGTCTCATTCAGGGTTCAGAGGGAGGATGGAAATGCTTTTAAAAGACCACAAATGTGGCTGGTGATAAAACATATGACCAGAAAAGGAAAACAAGTTGAAGAAGTGAATTTTACTCTAACACAAACCCTAACCCATACATGAAATCTCTCCTTCAACATTAGCCGGTAAATTGGTTCCCCTCGTAATTGGTAAATGGTGTCATTTTAACTTTAGATATTAGCTAGGATAGCAGTTTCCTCTTTGCTTCAAGTCTTTGTGCTAAGCTAGGTTAAACACGCCCTGGACCTATCAACCGAGATTAAACTGTCATCAATCATCAGACCATCCTTTTAAATTCAAATCTTTTATTTCCCACTGACGGCATAAAGATTGTCGGTCTAGGTGTTAAGTTAAAAGCTTTTCTTCAGATCAGGTATTACTGTGTTTTAATATGTCCATCTCTGACTGGAAGTTATTTACAGTTTTCAGATATTAAATCAAAATGATGATAAAGTAAGTCAACTTAAACTGTCATCATTCTGATTAATAATTTTGACTTTAAAAAGTCACAAGTTTGCAAAATCATAGGTCTGAGAATCTCATAATTTCTACCCTCGAAAAATCACTTTGACTTAATTTTTTTTGTCTTTGCTAATGTTTTATGTTTTCGTCGGTAATAGGCTTCCATAGAATTTAGTCTTCCTTTACAATTTATCATTTATAAAAGTCTTAGAAACTGGACAAACTTGAGAACTTGCTCTCCTTATTTCAACCTTACTTCAAAAAAAGAAAAAAGAGGGAAGGATTGCAGCTGAACGAAAAATATATCTGTACAGTTCATCTGCCGAACTCTACACTCAGTCTCGGGCACGGTCGCTCTTACCGGGGTCGTCGATGGGCATGACGACCGTCAGCAGGTCGCTCACACGTCCGTACAGACCGTTGGTGCAGACTGCCACCACCTGGACCACGTAGCTGGTGTTGGCTAATAGGTCATCGAGTATCGCCCCCTGGTGGAGGGAGAAGGCATAACATCAGCTTTGAAGAATCATGAAGAATCATTTTCTGGGGTGACACAAGTGGGCTACTGACTTATTAGTTTGAGTTTTCTTTTACGAACATCAACTTGTATGAACTTGGAGGTACGGTTTACAAAAACTGTCAAAGTTTTCTTAAATGGGTGAGAGGTGGGGTGAGGCCTGGGTCTGATAACAAACTAGAATAACTGTGAGCTTATGGGAAGAACAACATGAGTTGTTGTTTTTGGGCAACTAACAGCAAAAGTTGCCATCATCATGATAATGATGATGATGAATGGAAAATGTTCAATACCCCAAGAAGAAAACATTGTCTACAACACAGAGTTTATAATGAGATATTTGCATATAGTGATTGATTGGAGCTCTGGGTTTTAATTAAGTAGTGAATGGTTTTCCATAGAAATATCAGGCCTAATGTCATCTCAGTGTGTTATTGTGTGTCTATGCTGTTTTAATACTTGAGTACTACTACTCTATGATCGATGTTTAGCTGACACGTGTTTAGATTTTCAGTGTGCAACTTGATGACAAAACCCTGATAAAGGAGGTAGACTGATGGCTTTGGATGGAAAATGCATTACTGACACCTTTAATGAAATCATTACTGATATTATGGATTTGTTCCTCTCACTCACCACATCCTGGTCTCCGTCGGTCAGGTATACAGAGGGGGCGGAGTTTTCTACATTGGCCAGTTGGTAGCTGACAGAGTATTTCTCGATGCTGGCGTCGTACACAGCCCGTGGTCGTTCCCATGTCACTAGCAGGCTGCTGAGGTTGTGGGGTGATGCCTGGATGTTCTCCGGCTCCGAACTGCACACTGATAGAAGGAGACAGTTGAGAATTTATTTAATGAGTAGCTGCCTGCTGTTTTACATAGAAACCTGGGTATAAAAAAATGTGCTATACTGATAAGAACCTCCCATAGCTGGAGGAAATGGAACTGGTTGTAATTTGTGAAATATGCCTATTTTAACAGATTCTTATTCATTAAGCAAATATTTACATACCCACCACGACCTCATAGTGAAAAATGTTGCAGAATATAAAAGCATTATCCAATAAAACAAAGCTGGGTTTTCCTGAGCCTAATGAAACACTGTACCTATTGTCACAGCCAATGGGACCCATGGGTGCAGATATCAGCCTCTTGTCGTTACAACTGGTATTCTTTATAGTGTGAGGTGACTTTTATAGTGAAAGCCAACTGACTGTCAAATAGTAATAAATAACAATAATAGCCACTAATTGTCCTATTCTGCCTCTTCTGTGTTTAATTTATACCGTAGCACTTTTCAATTGCTTTTTATTTGTATCTTTATTATTATAGAAATTATCATTTTATCTGGACCCAAAAAAGAGTGGCACCTACTTTGTGATATTTAAAAAGAACAAAAAAAAAAAGGAATAAAAATAAATATTGATTTATAAAGCTATAAATAACGGTTAGAAATCAGATCAAGCTCTTTAAGTTGTTCCTTCCTGTGTTTTGAAGAGTATTCTCCTGCACCCGGAGAATGATTCTGGGTCAGTGTTGAGATTAGAGGAGCAGAGATAATGCAGATGACAGACACTGGATTAACACAGATTTACTGAGGTTGAGGATCGATGACAATAGACAGGAGCCTCTTCCTTTATCCAAACACATTTCCTCCTGTGCTGGATCTGAGCTGAACCTAAAGCCCTGCTCTCACTGGCTTTAACCTCTGACCTTTATCCCCCTTAAGGGATAAAAGGGAAAATGTCACATTATGTGTCAGAGCTGCTGTACAGGCAATAAAATCTGACGTATATATATAAGTGCAAATCAATTTTTCCACCAATCAGAGATGTATGTTTCCCACCCTGGAAAATACTAATAGTGACAAAGACTGTGACTGAATCTAGAGGAGGAAGCAGACATCTGTGGCTGTTCAGCTTCAACCACTAGAGGGCAGAGTGAACCAGGAGAACACATGTATGACCATCATAGGAGCATTTATTCACCTGTTTACAGTCTACACAAAGATCCACTAAACCACACTAAACTGAACACCCAGACCTTATTTTATATGTGAATTGACTTTAGTTTTAGTTATGTTGGCAATATTATCTTCTTGATGGCTCTTTTCTGTGATTTTTTTTTTAAATTGATGCTGTAAATGGTGCAGGCAAAGATAATTTTCCACATTGCTTACAACAAAGTTTCTGACTATAACTAAGTCAGTACTAAATCAATACTACTCTCATCCTATACTACTGCTGCTACTTCCACTACCATTACTATTATTCTTACTTCTATCAGTGCTACTAAAGCAATTACACAACTACCAGTGCTAGGAAAACAGAAATATTGTTGTTAAAAAGAAGAATAAAAATAGAGAACTCATTAAGTTATAAATTAAGAAAAAGTACAAAACAGAAAAAAAAAAAAAAAAAAGACTTAAAATACCTTAATGATCCCCTGGTCATTAATTCCAGAACAAACCCTCCCAAAAACCACAGATCAATACTGCTTCATTACTAATTATCGAATACAACCACTGAGTGTGCGTGAAAATTGATTGTTAACCCAGCTGACCTCCCCGCGCTGTCACTGGGATTTCATTTGGGTCACTGGAGTTCTATTCTTATCCCTCTGTCATTTTCCCCCATCACTTGTGATCCACTTGTCTCTGATCCATTTAGATCTGACTTAATTAGCATTAACCAGGGATTCTTGATACTTGGGATCACACTGAGGTCGAGAGCAGCCAGGTGAGATGTTGTTTTAATAAGGAATATTAATGGGTCAACACAGCATTATACTGAATACTTTAGTGCTGCAGAGATTTATCATCCCTCAAAATAATCGCAATATATATTTTTTTAACATATCATGCAGCCGTAGTACTCCACAGATTTAGATTTGCACTTCTGTAAAACTGTCGGAAAAGTAAAAAAGTAAAAATAATAAATAGGGATGTCCTGTCTGTCTGTCTGTCTGTCTGTCTCTCTCTCTCTCTCTCTCACCCCAACTAGTCGAGAGAGACGACCACCCACCTAGAGCCGGAGGATCTGTCCTAGGTTTCTTCCTTTTAACAGGCAGTTTTTCCTTGCCCTTGTCGCCAAGGTCTTGCTCATGGTGGTACTGTTGGGTCTCTGTAATTAATGTTATAAAGAGTTCGGTCTAGACCTGCTCTATTTGAAAAGTGTCCTGAGATAACTTCTGTTATGAATTGGCGCAATACAAATAAAATGTAATTGAATTGAATTGAATAGAAATATCATTTTATTTTATGGCACACATTTAAATACCTGGTGCAACTTGACCACTGACAGTTCAGCTGAAGGCTGGGGTGTGTTACGCTAGCAGAGGTGAGCCTCTAGCCTCAAGTAGAGATAAGAAGCGAGCTATAGAGCTCACATTTTTCAAGCTCCTCACCTCCTTATTTTTTCATGACATCACTTGAGGACATTTATCAGATTTCATAAGCTACCTCTGAAGACAAGGCTTTATCCAACTTTTTTTTTTTTCCATACAGAGTAGTACTCCCCAACAACTGGAAACACACTTTGATTTACAAAATAGTTCTGATTTAATATACAGTATTGTGGGCCTATATTGTATAGTGGTGAGCAGGGACTGTTTTCCAACCATTAGTTATTATCTTGGCAACAACTTCTCTTCCTGGGGTGCATATTAAAATATACAGTACAATTAACTGATGTTTGAACTATATACAGTATGTCGTATAGTTACAATATCATTACACCCAACACGATACAATCCCACAATAAAATAAATAATGTTAGTATGAGCAAAGTGAAGTGGAACATTATCTGCAGTTATGTTTTTGGTGTGTGATGTCATGTGGCTGCAGACTGTGATATTATAAATAACAGTCACACAAAAAAAGTAAAGGATTTTGGATATGTACCTGGTGTGAGGACCTCCTCGGTGCCCGTGTAGGAGGAGAACACCTGGCCCATGAACTGCTGCTGCTGTTCCCTGTAGTTGTTCTGCAGGTAGTCCATCAGCATCACGTATCCCGCCTGCTGCATCGTCATCACCTCGCAGAACATCTCCAGCTGCAACACAGGAGCAACAGCAACACAATAACACGACAATGTCAGTACCATCAGCTCCTGCTGCTGAACAACAGCAACATGACGCTACAGTGGTGAGTCAGGCTGAGGGCCCTAGAGCCAACAAGAAAGTAAAAATAAATGTAGCTCACAGTCCGATATGACCACATTGGCTATTTGACTTTTCCAGCAGTAATAGCATTTTTAAGGAGGTGGGTGTGTTTGTACTTTCAGCGGTTTGTTTCCAAAGGAAAGATATCAGGAAAACAGTAAATGTTTACAGATATCTTTACGAAACTGTAAGCAGTGTTGGAAGGGCTACAAGCATTTTTAATGAAGCCATCTGCTTCTCAGAGAGTTTCATCACTGTAAATAGCTGTTAAATAATTCCTCTCTTTGTCAGTGTAATTTTAAAAATGATGGCCAACACTTTTAAGACACAGTAAAGAGAGAAAAATAGTAAAATAGAGGAACTTGAAAAATCTGGAACGTTATATTAAAAGGTACATGTGTAACATTTAGGAGGCTCTATTGGCAGAAATGCAATTTAATATTCATAACTATGTTTTCATTCGTGTATAATCACCAAATACAAACAAATAATGTATTGTAATGTTTTTGTTACAATGAGACATTTTTTATCTACAGACGTCGTGGGTTAAACCCCCATGTTTCTGCGTGTACTAGTAATTTCGAATACAACTTGGAAGTCTGAGCTGTAATCAAAAGGTTGCAATCTTCAACTTCACTGCTAGATGTCACTAAATCCTACACACTGGTCCCTAAAATTACTTTATAAAAAATGTAAAATAACAAATTTTGTTTGATTCAGAACGTAGTGAAAAAAGTTAATGTCTTGTTTTTTCCAAAGGTAGTTTAGAGCCTATGGGAAATCCTCACATTGGAGAAGCTTCTGAGTATTTTCGAGTTAAAGCAATTCATTGTGTATCAGAATTTTTTTCACATATTTTCTGTAAATTGACTAATGGATTAATAAACTATTGATTTTCAGCACTAAATGAAATAGTTGTTTAATCGTCTACTGAAATGGTACAATGCTATCCAAACTGAATATTATTTAAAACACATAATAAGTCTGTTAATCCACAAAAAAACACTCATAAGACCAACTCTACATGTCTGCAGCACTACAATTTGAGTGTAAATCATCCACAATACACAGCGTCAGTTCTGTGAGCAGTTTTGAAGTGAATGGGCATGAAGGATCCATGAATCATACCAGAGCGGTCCTTTAACCTGCAGGCTGCCTCCGTACCTGTCCAGGTGAGTCACTTCCCTCTGGTTACACAACACTCATTATCTGACTCACACAGACTCAACAGTGCAGCAAAGCCAAGCCTAGAGCCCATAAACGCCATTTGGGGTTGTTAAAGTCGTGAGTGTAAAATATTAAGTCCTGGCAGTACGACCTGAGCTGGAATGTAGACCAGCTGAGACACGTCACAGAGGTTTTGGGAAACCTGAAAACCCTGGAGGACCTCCAACAGCCACAATACAAGGTGCAACAGGGTCGGGGTTCAGTGTGGCCATCCCTGTCACGACTAAGTGATCAAATTGTATAGTGGAAACATGGAAGTTGTATGTTTTGGCCGTGTAGTGTGGGTTAGTAAAATGCACAAAAACGAATAGCCTAAACTGCATAGCTCCAGGTCTTCAGTATGGAAGCACAAATGTGTGAGTGTTTGTGTGTGTGTGTGTGTGTGTACGAGAGGCCTCCTGCCTTAGAAAGATGACGTCTGAGCCTCAGTAGGCGTCACACTAGTAGATTTCTATTGAAAACCTTTTGTGTCTTCACGTTTGTGCAAGTATGTGTGTGTGTGAGTGAATGCGTTTCAACTTAAATACCATAAAGATCTTTTGAGCCAATATTTGTTGAATGTAATGGCTGCATTTGTATGGCTGTCAATCACTAGCAGCCTGAGGGCAGTCACACACACACACACACACACACACAAACAGCGTGTCTGTTGACAGCCTGCTGTCTCTCTGCCTCACCCATCGCTTATGCCTTTCCTGAGCTCTGGTATGATAATTCCTCCTTTCAGCTCCTTGAGCACGTTTCTGAAATGTTGTTTACAGGCATCTCTGTAATTGTGTCACTTGTCTTTTCACTTTGAACAAACACCCCAAAGTTGACGTCTGGTTCTTAAAGGCCCACACTGGTGGTTAGGCATGGTTATACTTCACTTAACTGCTGATTGTTTTTCTTTTCCTCCCATCAGCTTTTAGATTTGCTTGCTTCCTTTCAGACAGCCATCAATTAATTTCTATGATCAACTTGGAGACACTTACTCTCTGGTGCCAGTTCATAGGGAGACATATCTAAAACCAAGGCAGTCTAATACAACAACCCTGCAATAAATTCTACCTTCATGCAGGTTATATATTTGTTAAAACTGTTTTTAGAGAGGGATAGAGATACCTTGCACAGGATTTCTTTAGGAGGTTGTAGGGACACCAGATGACACATTTCAGGTATAATATGTGCACCACCTCATCTGAAATACGCTACTAATATCAGCAATTATTACACTTATATTATTGAGATTCAAGGGGAACAACCACACCAATTCACAAAAGTACTTTTCAGTAATTATTTCAAGTTAAGTTGCCGTAGTAATCAAGAGTAAAAGAGGAATACAGAATGAAAACCAAGTAATACTTGCAAAAGAAAAATATAACCTTAAAGTCCCACAAAATATGATTTTCTTTTTGTTCCTACAGCTGGATGTTTGAGCTTCACTGTGCAGATTGCTGTCTGTGCAGAGTTTGACACTAGAAGCATGTTTTTACATTCATTTGCTGAAAATGGAAAGTTTCTCTGTGCTCACTGAAAATCTGATTTTAAGGGGCGGGGCCTACAAGCATGATTTGTGACATCACAAAGAGTTTGGAAGTCAGTCCTGGTAAGTGTGCGTAAAGTGTGTGCAGTGTGATGTAGAAACTTGAAACCAGCAGTGCGCACCCACTGAGAATGGAGTTAACAGTGAAGTAGGAGACATCTTTAGAACTTTAGAAATGAACCAAATTAGCATGTTCATAGATTCTGGAATTTTTTATGAGGTAGAAGGTGTAGATGTTTTTTTAAGGATTTTAAATGTTGTAATACATCTCTGAAGGAGATATTTACATTACTAAGACATTTTCAGGGAATCATTGTTGACCACCATTTTCAGTGACAGTTCATTTTTACTTCACAATTAGAGAAAGTGAATATTTACACAGCATTTGACTGCTTCAGATTAAACTTGGTACCAATATCCTCACCTGTTCGTCAGAGATGGCCACTGTGTTCCTGAAGACGATCCACTCGACAGTCTCTCTGCAGGGCGGTGTGGTCAGAGAGCCGTTGTAAATGAAGTATTTCTCTGTGGAGTTCGGCAGGAGACCTTGCGGGGCGAAGGGTAAAATCTCGGCGCTCTTACCTGGACAGCAGATGAGACAGCTTAAATTAGCAGAAGAAAAGGCAAGAGAAGAGACACTAGAAGAGGGGGACATACCAAATCTGCTCACGCTGTTGATGCCGTCTATGATGGCAGCGTAGTTCAGATTCTCTTCAACGCTCGTCTGTGAAGAGAAAACCAACATAATTATCTCATATGGAGTTTCATTTTTTACTGATGAATGGAAACTGTTCACAATTAAACATCCTGCAGAGTTTAACACAGGCCAGGTTTAACATTAGAAGGCCAGAAATCACCTTCAAATAGACCATAAAACATGGGACAAAATCACATAAAAAAGGAAGAGAAATATTTTGGTGGAAATTTTGGCTTTAAATAAAATCCTGAATCAACCTTACTGGAGTCTAGTCTGATGTCACGTACCCTCAAAGCATTATCAGATGTTATCATGTCATCATGTTCCAAATGTGTTCATTTGAATTGATGTTAAACTGAATACTATTTAGCACTATCATTAATGACATAATAATATTATAATGTTTTCATATAATCAAACTGTCAATGTTTGCATTTGCAGCACTACCAATTCAACCATTTAGCCTCTTCATCCACATAACTCTGTTTGTCCTTTACTTTATCTCAACATTAAGCTATCTATTCATCCATTACTTTTATCTAGTACATTTAGCTAATTATAAAACTGCCATTACTTCTAATTAACTGTTTAGCCCTCAGTTCGCTTGTTAACTAGTTTTTATACACTCTCAATTAGAGTTGTATGTTACAGCTGATTCAAAATGTGGACTTTTTTTCTTGATCCAAACATCATTTACAATTTTATTTGGCAAAGTGGTCAGGCCTGGTGAAAAATTTTATATTCTATGCGTCACTTTCAGGTCGGCCACTAGGTGGCGCTATTATCATAAAAAGTGCATTTAGGCTAATAACTTCTGCATAGTTTGTCGCACATTCAAAAACCTAGTATCCACGCGTTCGGTGAATGGAGCTGAATCTCCCCATATAGGCCCTGCCCACTTCCGCCTATAATTTCTTTTCGTTAGAGCGCGAAATGTCCTTAAACTACTTTTTTGTGGTCCTCCTACATGCTATGTCCGATTCTTACGAAATTCTTCACCTAGACTGGTGCCTGAAGCTCACATACCAAAAATAGTGTTTGTAGCACCCCCTACAGGATAAAAAAACAGCAGCCCCGGCGCCACGTTTCACCGATATGTACGAAACTCGGTAGGCACGTGTAACATGCCGGGACGTACAAAAAAGCCTCTTGGACCCATACCCCAAATCCCACAGGAAGTCAGCCATTTTGATTTTCATTTTCACTTTCTGCGAACTTTTCGCGTTGTATTTGAACGAACTCCTCCTAGGGAATTTATCTGATCTTCTTCAAAATTGGTCAATACAGTCAAAAAATTGTGCTGATTTAAAGTTGTGCTATTTGAGACTGTACGTTGAACGGCGTGTCTGTGGCGTGAGGTCAAAGTTGGCAACTTTGAATTCTGTGGTCATACAAACTGAAAAGTTGTGAGCTATTTGTGACTGTACATCAAACTGCGTGCCAGTGACATCTTGTCAATTTCAGCAGATTCGCCATAAAATAGTGCTCATAACTTCAGTGTGCAATGTCCAATCTCCAATAAACTTCATATATTCTGAAACAGTTTTGCCCTGAACACGTCCTCATAACTTCAGTGTACGTGGTCCAATCTCAATGAAACTTCACGTGTTTGATAACACTCTCGCCTTGAACATGTCTACATGACAACATTCAGGCATAGTGATAGCGCCACCTACTGGCAACAGGAAGTAAGCGCTGCATGGTGATTTTGAGCTGAGTTACGTGAAATTTCATGTTTTGGTCCGCACGTGTAACGATGGCACGTGACGCGGCCACAGCACGCCCCGAGTTGCGTGGAGTGCGTTACTTTACCATTTTTTTCCACATAACCCCTGACAAATGCAACTATAGAAGTACCCTGGTTATGGGAATCTGCAGTAGGAACCTATTTAGTAAAAATGCTGTGGGTTCATGTAGATTCCTTGATGTCTCTAATGACACAATGACTGGGGGGTGGGGGTAAAGCTTCATGGGAACAGTAACAGACTTTGATGTCAGATCCAAAACACCCAAACCAGTTTGACAGGAGATCAGCAGAGAAATCCATCAGCGCTTGCCACCTTCAGGCTACACACAAATATTATTGAGAGGAGTGCTTTAAGGGCTGCAAATTTCAGTGAGTGCTAAACAAGTGAAATACTGAGACAACTTTTTTATGGTTTGCATTATCATTATTATTTCACAATGGAGAGAGAAAGAACAGTAGGAAAAGAAGGGGAATGACATACGATAATTCTGCATTCAAATGGAATCAGGCAAGCGGTAGACGGAAAACCAGATGTCATGTTAGTGGATGAGAGCAGGACGGTAAACTTAGGTGAACTTGCAGAGAAAACTGGCAACAGTAGCGGTAGACGGCATTGCAGTCCAAAGTTAAAATATTGTAACTTTTTGCTGCTCTCTACAACAGTATTTAAATCCAGATGTTACGTAGCTCCCTCACACAAGCAGAAAACATGGGCAATCTGGCCAACAAGACAGCAACGTATCGTCATGCGTGTTTTGTTTTGCCGTCCAGCCATTCCGTCGGACTGTTTGTTTAATCTTCCTGTGCTGTGAGGAAGGAATCCATGTCAATGCAGCATTCAGACCTGGTCAGATTCAAACCAAGGACTTTAGTTTAACATAACATTCGCCTTCACAAACAAAACCACCAGACTACCCTCAACATGAATTTTGCAAAGTTAAAAAAGTCCAAACGATAGTCCAGTTGTGGCTGGCAAAACATGAATACAAAAATTGCTAGTTTTTTGTTTTGGTTTTGTTTGGTTGGTAGTTTTCCCATTCTGCTCTCCACCAAACCTCCAGCCAAAAACACACACAGAGCCTGCAGCTTCACATCAGACGTTTTTCTGATTTCTGTTCCAACATGGCCTCTGTTGGTTCAAACATGCCAAACCGGCCGGAGGCAAAATGGCCGCATGAAGCAAAGTATGTACGACGCTCGGTACGAACCCTGGCACTGAACATGAACAGAGACAAGAGCTCGGCAATGATCCTAAGCCAAAATATGAATCAATTCAAACACAGTGCACTCGCTGAGGTGTTACTGGTGATACCACTGCAAGACTTTGATTCATTCCCTCAGTCCAACTGTTCTCATCTTCAAAGTCACCCGTGAAGTCATTCTGTGTTTTAAACCTGCCAACTTTTAGAATTTCAGACAGGGTTTTCAATTCAGACATTTTGTGAAATGAGCACCAACTCAAAATTAAGTCTGTTATGGCTTTTCAGATAATGTTTAGTCAAAGAACCCCGTTAGCAATCTGCTGTTCAACAGCAGGGTTAATCTAGACTTTTCAGGACATACGCAAATTCAAAAACGTTGGGAAAAAAGCTGCAGCTGCCAAGTCAAATCTCATTAAATGATATGCTATTAATCCCAGCTTCAGGCGTTATAAACCCAGAGTTAACAGCTAATAGTTCAACCTGACAGCAAAAGCAGTCCGGTTGAGTTTTGCTTGCAGCTCAAATAAACAGATGTGAATTTAGCGTCAACTTAGCAAACAGTTTAAAATTAAAATTGTTGGGGTCAGTTAGCTAAAAGTTTGGTGTCGCTGTTTAGCACTTTTAGCTAATGATGCAATTTAGCTGGAAAAACTAGCGCAGTCTGGTTCAGGTTAGCTGACAGTTACGCTGTTTAAACTGTTTGGGTTAGTTCTGAATCAAATTAGCAGAGTGTTGGTCTAGTTACTTGTTATTTAATTGTTGTGTGCAAAAGTAATATTATTACTTTAAAACTCGCGCCAACAGAAGTAGTATTAGTTACACTTCTATATGACTTTTCTGCTACTTCCCACAAAATTGTTAGCTACTTATTTCCACCGCAAACTAGTTCCTTCTCTAGTTGTTTCATTCCATAATTAATGATGTTTGCATTTTTATGCTCTTTACAGTTTTGGGAGACAACTGGCAGACAAGCCTGTAAACTGATCTCAGTGTTATCAAGGTACATGATAAACTGCCTTGTAAAGCATGCACACCTCAAACAGCACGGCGAGTGCTGTGATTCTGCCTCCGGCCTTGATGGTTTCATCTAAAGAGTCAAAGCGATGCGCCTCATAACAGTAGATCTGCATCTGTGGGAGAAAAGAGCATGTTATGTTAACTATGGTGAGCTGCTGTAGACAAAGAGCAAGTCCAGTCAAGTGTCAGAGCTACACTGTGGTTTCAACTTGGTGTCTCTTTTCCCTTTGCAACTTGTCTCTAAGAAGCACCAGTTCTTTTAGTAACACATTGGGGTAAATAGCAAACACTGTTGTCCATGTTAAAGTTAATGACTGCATAAAATGGTAGGCCTAGCTACAGTATGTATAAAGTGTATTTCCCCTCCTCTCCACAGAGACACCAACAAGTGGTTTAGTATACTTGTGAGTGCCTCCAACTTAATAAACAGAGGCCTGGACTTGACCTCCTCCTCTTTGTCTCCAAACATTTTTCACTTTGCTGTTTTAAAGAACCATCTGTAACATTTTCTATGATGCCCATGTTTATAATGCATTATAAACATACTTATCAGTTGTACTGTGTTCAGCAATGTATAGTTATAAGAACCCATAAATATTCATAATACTTTATAACAATAATCATAACACAAGCCAAGCCAAGCCAAAGACCATAGTGTATTATAATTCTCATAGTTGTAATACATTATAATAACTTTATAATGCATTAGAATCACTCTAATTTGTTTACTTGTTTAGAATCACAGCAATAAAAATGGCAAGAACAGTCATGTCATTCTTTGGATAAATAATCTTTGGATAACTGATGGAAACCCTTGTTTATAGTGGTTTGTAGCTCCAGTTAGAAGCATATATCCATAACATAAACAATGTCAAAAAACTAGACCTTTTTATGGTATTTTATGGATATATTAATATAACATTTAGTTTCAGTTGATGTGTATATTACCTTTCTTAACATACCTACAGATCAATCATTTGTTTTTCCAGTTGGAAAAATGAATGAAAAGTGCCTCTTCTTAGTTCTTTTTTATCAGCTGTTATTTGAGAGAGCCAGCACCCAATATGTTAAACAAAGCACACTGAATGTACTTGTTCTGTAAATAACGTTAACCATACTGAACTTTCCTGAGCTCAACATCTGTCGTAAATTATATAATTTTTGGTTATAGATATTAGTTATCTCACCTCTAGAGGGTACTTGACTCCATCCAGACTGTGTTCGGAGCCCTCTGAAGAGGCATTGCAGCGCCCCCAGTGGAAGGTGATGCGCCCGACCTTGAACTTTGACCTGAGACCCCCTCCACTGACATAAAACTCTCCATCCACATCAACCGCCACTGAAAACAGGAAAGACACAGACATGAGCAAATACATGTATGACACCAAATGTGCTGTATATAATTTGTTTTGGACCTTTAAAGATATATATTTTGGGCTTTATTTTTTATAGGACAACTATACATAGAGAGGAATGGAGGGAGATAGAAAGGGGGGACAACATGCAGCAAACGGCCGCAGCTTGGAATCTAACCCGAACTGCTGCGTTAAAGACCCTACATGGGCTGTGCACTCTACCAGGTGAGCTACCAGGTGCCGCAACACACTGGATCTTTAATTAAATCATTTGCAAATGAACGTTACCACAGATCTAATCTACTGCTTTTAAAGCTTTGAAGACTCTCACTGAAATGATGGATTATAAATGTACACAAGATCAAAAGATGTGAACTTAACATACATATAACACATAATACTCCACTAACACCTCTATTGGACCGTCAAACAATGATTCAATTAACCAGGGGATCTTCTTCAGGTCGGTCTTTGTGTGACCTGACAAAAGGTCCCCTTGAGGATCGAAATGTTCTTTGATGGTAATGAAGGTGGAGCATTATACAGTCCTTTCATCTTCTGTGCTGTACTGTACTTCTCAGTCCACCACTTTGAAAATAGGAGTTGACCATTGTTTTGTATAGATAACAAATATTTTTCATGTGAATTTACTGACTGAATTCGGTCTTTGCAAAACATCGATCTGCTGAACATTCAAGCTCTCAACACATAAGGACTCTGTTTGCGTTTGATTTATTTGTTCCACCACCTTTATCTGAATGTGGTTGGCCTCATCCGTGTCCTCCCTGTTGTCTGGTCTGTGTGTGTGTCTTATGTTCCATTACGTTTAACCCTGTCTAAAATCTAATTTCACCTTGAGGGAGGACAAATATTGACTCAACATGTCGCTGATTCCTTCCTGCTGAAAAGTTTGTTTGGCCTTTGTTAAGGCACGATCCATAAGCTCCATCCATCACCTCTTTTTCTAGTACTGAACTCTTCTATTTGCGGCTGAGTATACTCCTGACAGCCCAGAGCTTTGAAAGAGAGTGTATGGATGGCAGTCTGCGCCTTGAACCTACACTGGGCCCATTTGTCGACTGATAAAAACAGGTTTAAGTACTGTCGGCCTGAATCGTGCTCAGATTGTCCACCAAACATCTCCATTTATAAAAGCCTTTGGTGCAGCTGGCGGACGAACAACAACTACAACAGACTGCTTCTTATTTTGCTGAGAGCCCCGTTGCTAAGAAGCACTGGACTCATCTGTTTAGAGCTTTCCGAAAGGCGAGGCGGGACCCCTCTTGTCTACAATTTCACTTAACAATTACCTTGAATGCACACTGTAGGTTATTGTGTTTCACACCACTTAGAGAGAGGAAATATATAAAAGGCCCTCGATCCTCACAAATGAGAAACTAGTAACAGTATCCTTTACAATAGGACACCACTGTATGAGAAAAGGCCCTATCGGTCAGTATCTATCTGGGAGAAAATGTCATTAGAAAAAGAGGAGGTGGACACTTCAGGACGGTGAGGAAGGAGGGACAGTGTGGGGGAGAAAGCAACTAAGAAAAGCGATTAGACAGATGGAAGCCTGGACTTTTTCTCACTGAACATTTTTAAGCTGACACAGTCCCTGTGTGTCCCTTATTTTTGGCCACATGAGGGCACAGCAGAGAAAGCTGGAAACAAAACACTAACATATTATCACCTTATAAAGTAGCTGTGGCTAACATAGCAACAAGTTGCCTACTTCCACATCCAGCAGACACACAGCAACATGATCATCCCAGTGGAGTCATGTTTGTGTCCACCAATATTCACCCTTTTTCAGCTCTGTTTTTGGTCTCTACCAACCCCTAAGGGAAATATCTTTCGCTGATAAACTTTCTTCACCAGCTGGTCACTAGCTGTGTCTTTCTGGTGTTTAGTTCTGAGCAGATATTGTACAGTGGGTTTTAGAGCTTTTTCCCTGAAAACAGCTGCCTGCTGCAACAGAAAAAAACGCTCTTATAACAGGGAGAACAAACCTGAACAGTGAAGTTGTGGGCCAGGTGGCTACACAATGAGCTGAAACTCACTATGAAGTTTATCACTACGATTGATACTTTTCACCTTGTCACGTTGTTTACGAATTTGATTGATTATCATAAATACAAATAGTGATTGTAGCTGCTTTAAGAATAGTCCACATGCCCTTAGCTGCTGAAATTACAGTTATGTCTTCACACTAACAGATGATGGTTCTTACCAGTCTTGCCATCATTTTTGATGGTCGTCCTGTCAGTTGTCAGGCTCTCCCAGCCGTCAAACCTCAGTTTCTGGTACTGCAGCTTCACCTGAGACAGGTTCTCCTCGATGTTGATGGGAGACTGCTTGGCGTTGCTGCAGGATGGAAACTTCTTAGCCCAGTTGTTTTGGTTTAACGTTCCTGTAGGGCAGACAGAAATAAGTGCTCAGATAAAGCTATTACTGTACCTTCAAGGAGCTGGTGGGAAGATCCAACAAAGCAGGCACTTCTATACAGGACACAAAGCTCACAGAATGGTTGGAATAAGATTATGTGTCATATGCTTTCACAGTCACCAGATCACGACCCAACTGAAAACCTATAGGGGATGTTTTTGGTGGGGAATGACTCACTCTAGTTTCACAGAAGATGCCCCACTCACTCTTTGTGCTATGTGAATGTGCTTTTGGATACAAACAGGAGTCTGACTGACCTCGAGGCAGTTGTGATGGTGTTTTTCTGGAGTGTCTGAGGTGTGTTCTGAGGTGTTTCTAATGTTGCTAATAATGCAATTACTGAATAACATCCTGCTAATGCTTCTATTTTCACAACACGCTACACTTAATCCACCGCCCAATTTTATTCATGCAAATGCTAATGTTGATATTTTTAATTATTTGCTCCAACTTCATTATCTTATTGCTTAATTGCAAAGTCAAAGTCAGCTTTATTGTCAATTACTTCACATGCACCAGACATACAAAGGAATTGAGAGGACGTTTCTCACTCTCCCACAATAATTTGCAATTATTTATGTCTCACAATCCATTTTATATTGGACCTTTATTTTTATTGTTTTTTAATTTGCTGCTGCTTGTAAAGCTTATTCCTGAGGTCATGTGTGTATTTGGTTTTGGCAGCTGAACAGTCAGATGAGTGTTAAGAGAGTTTAAAGTGAGTAAATGAAATTGAAACTGGAAGAAGATGATGGCCAATTAAATGTATTATATGTGCATTAACAGGTGTTGAGGATATTGTCCCTTCATTAGTTGGACGAGCTGATGAAGTACAGACTCTCTCTCTAACTAATTATGCAATGACCACTTACAGGTGTGCTGCTCTGGGAGAGCTAGCTATGAGCTTTGAGCTAATAATGTCCAGCTGTTTTGCTGCAGTCTGGCTTTAAATGTAATATCAGCTCACATTTTTCACTCTTACAGCTTTCAAAAAGGTCAAAGTCCAATATTTTTCAGACTTATCTCAAATACAGCCTGCAGCATTCTGCTAACAACTGCTGCTCAATAGACAGAGTTCAGCATCAGGTTTCCTCCTTACTTTCAAACACAAAGAACAGGCTGACATGACGGATGGCATACATACAGCATGGAAAGTGTTACAGGCAGGAGTACAAATTATCCCTTACAGAGCAATTCATTCAGTGTGTTTCAGCTGCACCCCAAAAAGAAACAAACAGATTTAATCCAGCAGCTAATGTTCATGTAAAGCTGATCTACAGCCCCAGGCTTTTTGTTTTACTGTTATTGCAAAAATAATCTGAGCCGCATGTGAGGTTTGACCAAAAACACTTGCTGTTCTGCTCATATATCCTGCTGCTGTGACTGATGGAAGTGTGACTAGATTTGTTCACATCTGCTCAGAGTTACTGTCTTTACTCAGTGGATGACAGCATCTCTGAGACTGACAGGGAATCAAATTTAGGAGACGAGGCACAGACTGAAAAGCCACGCCCTTCTGTTTGATTCACTTTAAGTGTCTCTGTTAACAGCAGCAGCTGGACATCTACAGTCTAAATAAATACACTGTGTCTTCAGTGATGGGACTATATCATTTTAGGCAATTCCAGCTCCAATAAAGTATGTTTATATTGTTCAGCCAAATTGCTGCCTGGATCATATCCAGTATAAGAACCTTTCTTTCCAAGTGTGAAGCTGTTTTACTGCACAGAAGTTGTGGGCAGGTGATTGAAGTGGATAGGTGGACAAAGATCAAGTCTGGCCCCGCTTGTCACTTGTCAAATGTCTTGAATGTGGTTGAAATCTAATGAGATTTAAGACACTTTCATTTACACATTTCTCATCAGTCAGTGGTTGAGATTTTCAAAAACCAGAATCAAACGCTCATCGAGCCTTCTGTGTGATGGTATGAAAAAGCTGGAGTCACTTTAATGACACAGGGAGAACAACAGCTGAATCAGTCAGTGTGACCTCAGCTGCTGTTATTACAGGGGACAGAACCAGTGAGTGACCTTACTCATATAATTACACTTCGAATGCATTTAGACCTTTTCAACATTTGACTATGCTCCTGTATCCTTATAGATCCCCTCCAGATATGATATAGCACATACATACAAACAGTCAGCTTGGAACAATAATGTATGTCTGATATGTTAACTGAAAAGTATCATTTCCACATTAAAATCCTTCCTAAACACCTCCGCAATCCATGAATATGCAAATACATTCTCAGTGTATGTGCACTGGTGGCTTCAGGTTTCTACACCACACTTGTATAAGTTGCACACTGGAGCAGAAATCATTGGAAAATTACATTTCTGTCTGTTTAGATTGTAATATTGAATTTTCACTATTCGTGGTTCAGTTTTCATTGGACTCCATGTTTTCTGGCACTGAATCCATCATTCACCCTTGTGAATGAGTCGTGGGTGAATGTCAGATTTACTGTTCAGGTCTGATGGGTAAAAAGGCAGACTTTACAACACAACCGCTACAACCTGTTAATCAAATGAGTGTCCAGGAAGGTGCAGTGCAGCTCCACCCGGGTGCCCTGGCTCCATCATCACGATTATAATAATTTTCTTATTGAAACCAGTTCCGAGCCAGACATCAACGAATACAAACAGCTTTACAATAAAGGGTATGATGTCTAACTGATGGCTTATGATTACAGTCATTGAATCTTGGAATAGATAATAACAGTAGATTCAACTTTTTTCAAGACCAATAATCATCCTCAAACTGCCTGTAACTGCTGTAATACCTGTACCTGGATTTATTGTTCTCTTTATGACTGTTCAGGTAATGTGTTTTCTCCAAAACACACAAACAACATAACCGGCATAAAAGTTCAAATTTATCAGTAATGAAATGCACCAGCAGCAAGCTTGCTTCATCCAAATTAAACAGTTCTAGTTAGTTATAAATTACTTAAAAATATTTTTTTTCTCAGATTCTTCTCTTCTGAAACTCAACAGAAAACAGCCCAGATGGTCAGTATAATGATCTGTCTTAGTTATCTTGCAGATGTTTGCAGCTATTTCACTCTTTTCTGCTAATTATGTGTTGTAGTGTTGTTTCAGCCAGCTGGTATCGTGTTTATTAGCATGTACGCTGGCGGTCACATGACCCTCTGTCCTTGCTCCAATTGGCTGCTTGAGCTTCTTCCTCCAGCGGACAAAGAGCCCAACCAGGTCAGACAAGCTTCTGGGTCAGAGTGGATATTAGCATGTCAATGGAGAACACACACACTCACACTCACACATGCACACACACACACACACACACACACACACACACACACACACACACACACACACACACACACACACACACACACACACACACACACACACACACACACACACACACACACACACACTTTTTCATTTCAAAATGTGAAACCTCAACTAACTCATGTAGCAGGGAAATTAAAAGAGAAGAAAATTAGACAATAAAACAATAAAAAGTTGTTTTTGATTGAAAATGTAGGCTATATCCACTCACAACTATTAGGAGGAACGAAAAAGCAATTAACTTTTCTAATATTAAATTGTCTTTGAGGCCAATCTACACCACCAGGGAGGTGACTGGGACTAATAAACCTCCGGTAAATAAAACTATACTTGTTTTCTTCCTGTGGTCGTCTACTTTAAAACTATTTTGACTAGTGGGCAGATCAGTAGTTGTGATGGTATTTCTGACGATACTGCAGCTGGCAGGACTGCTGGTTCTGAGGACAGTTATATTTATAACAGAGGTCAGTGTCAGTCCAGATTGAATGGAAATGCTTACACAACACTGACACTGGATTTATGTGGGAGATAATAAATATATTGTAGATGAAACCACCCAACATGGAGATTTCCACTGTAAACAGATCAAACTGAGTGAGACTTAAAAGGCAAAAAAAAGAGATTTAAAGCATGATTTGTCTTCAATAAATCTTAAATATGAACCCTCTCTCATAGTTTAATTGACTTTCTTGTTTTATTATATTTTTAAAAATGGATAATAAATAAAAATTCTCCACTTGAACCTTAAATATTTATCTTTACTTTCCTCTTAAGTAGCTATAAAGTCAGTGTCCACATTATGTTTCTCTAATACAAACAGCATACGTTATTCTGTATCATGTTGTTACAGCTCCTCTTTGAAGCTACAGCTGCAAAGATCTAACTCTGTTCTGGATGATAACAAAATGTTTGAAAACATCAAAGGCGGCGTCCTGATCAGACATCTGAACTCTTCCAACTAAATCTTAAAATGTAAAACACACTACAAGGCCAAAAGTATGTGGACACTTAAATATTCCAGCTGTACTGTATGCCAAAGGTGATTCCAAAACCATGGATGTTGATTTGCTGCTATAACAGCATTCACTGTTCTGGTTTCAGGCTTTCCACTATATGTTTAGCCTGCTGCAATTTGCTCCCATTCAGCCTCATTAGCATTACTGAGGTCCAACACTGATGCTGGGCGATCAGGTCTGGCTCTCAATGATGAATGTTTAAGTTCATCAAAGGTGTTGGAGGTGGTGTTGTGCAGGCTTCTCAAGTTCTTCTACACTGAACTGGGAAAACCATATCTTTACAGACGTGACTTTGTGCTGTGATGTTAAACAGGGGAAATGGCCTAAAACTGTTGCCACAAAGTTGGCTATCGATGATGTTCCTTCATTGGGACTGAGGGAGCTAAACCAGGAAAAACAAACTCAAGTACACTAAAGGTTGTCCATACTCTTGGCTTTATAGTGCAGCTCCTCACTGATAACATCTGAAGAAGAACACACAGAGAACCTGCCTCAACAAATCACAAATCAACATCATTGCGGCCTGTCTCCTCTGGGATGTTTGTGGTTATTTCACCGTGTGATGGCCGCCCTAGCAGCCACACACTGAGGCAAAAGCCTGTGGTGGTAACTCTTTCATTTGTTTGATTATCTTTAGGTTTAGAACATTAGACACTATTCACAATAAATAACTGGACACAGATTTTGGATTCATAATACAGTTTTATTATTCATTTTTGACAGCTGTTATCTTTTTGGGTGCACACAATTAGTTAACCTTCTTTGTCAATTTGGGGTAGTATTATTAGGTTAATTCATTTAGGTTCTTTTCATTGCATTAATTCAGTTTTCTTTGAGTTACCCATTCCTGGGTGCTGCTGCTGCCAAAGGAAGTGCCGACTGAATCAGAGACACTTAAAAGGGGTTGGGCGATAATTGGACTACACCATGTTGGATGGAATCATTGGGAGAGGCAGTGGTTTCTCCTTGTTTGAGTTTAGTTATTTCTGATTATTATGCTTTTTGATGTTTAGTATTTCAGTATTTTCCTTAGTTAATATTTGGCTGCATTATCTGGATATTATTTGAGGTTATTATGGTTTGTTTAAATGTTATGTTTTAGTCTATTCCCCCTGTGTGTCAGAGTGTCCTGATCAGCCACTATTTAACTTCAGTTTAGTTAGGTCGGTTTGGTTGGTTGGCTTAGTATGTTCAGTCTGTTCAGTTAATGTAGCCTGAGTTAAGTTCTGTTTAGTTGACCTCTTTTATGGGCCCAGAACATTTTGTATATTTTGTAAATTGATTATTTTCACATTTTTTTGTGAATAAAATTACTTTTTGTGAAAATGTATCCTTGACTCCTCATGCCTGCCAGCTCGGTCCCTGACACACAGTAAAGGCAACATTGTGGTGCAAAGCTTAAAGCAAACATTTGTATAAGCCCCTAGCCATTCAGATCAAAGGGTGGAGAGAGTCTATTCATGCTGCTATATGGGCAGATACCAGATTCAGACTGTAGGATATGGAAGCTATGGAGGCTGTAGGTGGGACAAAAAATCTCAGTAACATGGAAAGGGACAAAAATGATAAAGCTAAAGCGTATACACACCAAAGAGAGGACATGACTGCAAACAACTATGCTTTCAACAACTGGTACTCTAGTGCCATTTTGTGATTTTGAGTGCAATGTCTTAACTATTGAATACATTGTCCTGAAATTTGGTTCACTCAGGAAGAATTGTGAAAACTTTGGCGATCCTAGTACTTAAGTTTATGACCAAATACCTCCAAAGCTAATAACATTTCCATCAGTGTCAGCTGTACCTTTTGTTTAATGCTAATTAGCAAATGTTAGCGTTCCAAACTAATAGGGTGATCAGCACGTTATTGCAGAGTTGTCATTGAGAACATGTTAGCATGCTGATAATAGCTTTTTGCACAACGCACAACAGTGTATAGCCTCACAGAGCCACTAGCATAGCTGTAGTGTATCAGGGACAGTATCTACAGTAAGGAGTACATAATCACCCTCATTTACATCTGAAATCGCTCCAATCTGCATCCTTCCTGTGAAGCAGTTTAACTAAATGTTTAAATAACATGAAAACAAACTAAATATATGCAGTTGGGAAATCATGAACTATTCATGTTGGAAATACAGCTGTCATAATCATATCAGTGAAAGTCCCAGTTTGCATTAATAATTGATTAAGTTTTATGGAGCAAACTCTCTTACAAAGAACCAAATGATGTTCCTTCACATTTAACATTAATTTACATTTTAAAAAGATTCAACAGGAGAGGAAATGTCAACTTGGATGAAGGTAAATTCTACAACCCAGGGTTTCTGTAGGGTATGATAATCCTCACAAAAGAATTTGGGCCACAAACTAAACAGCAGACTACAGTGGAGTGACACTGATTAAAATGTTTATGTATAACAGTTTCTTTTATCTGAGTGTGGAAAAGTCACTTATAGTGAAAGGTCTAAGGCCACAAACCACCAACGAGTGAATGAGAAAATGAAGAAGAGAATGATCAGAGGATAAATTACAGAAGAGCTTTTTTATTTAATCTGTAGTGTTTACTATGTCAAGCTCTCTTCAATGTCAAAAGCTTCTTCTGATCCAGAAAGATCAAATAAACTGTGTGTGTGTGTTTATATTCACATGCAAATTCTAAAATGAGACTAAAGCAGCTAAAATTGGATTCATGTAATTTGGCAGAGAAGACGGTATCATTTTCCCGAATTATATTTTCAAATGAGATAGAGTCTGAACTGCTCTGTAGAAGCTGAAGTAACACTGAACTGTACTGGAGGGATCAGTGGTTCCCTGCAGACTCAAGGTGCACTTAAACAGAATTTTAAAGAGTTTGTTGCTGGCGGAGAGCAGCAACTGCCTCATTTTTGATCCATTATCAGAGGATGCTAAAACGAATTTGTTTTACAAAACATTAAATTAGAGAGAATTCAGAAAAGGTCTTGATACCAATATTAGTATTCATAACAGTCACAGTAGTAAACAAACCAACAGAAAAGAACAAACAATGATGATGTATGTATTCTTACAGCCACACAAGCAGTAAAGCTAAAATGTAAAGTTTAGTCTGAGGGATTTGGGGTCATTAGTTTATCGTCTAGGATTTGGCAATGACAGATTTGGATTTGGCTAGATTGGCATCTAGATAGATCTAAATCTAGATTGCAACAATTTGAATTGCGCCTAGTGTATGAGAAACTATGGCAACTGTGAAACTCACAAAAAACACAAAAGGCCCTATCTAAAGCCAGTGTTTGGTTTGTCCATTCTGGGCTACTGTAGAAACATGGTGGCTCAACATGGCAGCCTCTGTGGAAGAAGACATGCTCCCCATGTAGATAGAAAAGGCTCAATCTAAGGTAACAAAAACATATTATATTATAGACAAATGAAAACATACCTATGAATATTATATTCCATTGCTGCCAATAGATCCTCCTAAATGTTACACACTGTACCTTTAAGTATTTAACATCAGCAGTTTTACTTGAAGTTTTTTTTTGTGATGTAACAGTACTTCTACTTGAATACAGATTTTCTGTACCTTTTCCACCGCTGTACTGTACATACCATGAAAGTACATTCTACCTTCACTTCACAGCAACATTTCCTTCCATTCAACACCAGATATGCATCCATGTTGCCACAAAATAAGCGTAAAAGTGTCCCTCAGAACAGCATGAAAATAAACCTTTAAGTCACTGAAATTACTCAGCACCAAGACTTGATAGTCCCGATGACTGATAGGATATTATCCCAGTCTTGTAAACATGCCCGTGAACTGCATGCAGAGAAAGTAATCTGTTGCTGGCAGGGATGCTGCCTGTAGAGCATTCAGTAGTGTTTGGAGTGAATTGGCTTTCAACATTTTAATTTTATCACCTGTGATTGTTACACAAACAGCTCCTGTGTGACTCACCTGCATACGACCAGTCAATTTCTTCTGAGAACTTGCGTTGATTTCTGTATGCATATCCTTCAGCTGCAAAAGAGAGAGAAAGAGAGATGGTCATTTAAAAGTATTAATAACCTATTTTCTCTTCTACTTAATGTTGTCTGTAAATTTAAACTAATTTCTCTGTTGAGTGATATGAATCTTTTCTTAGCATCTTAGAATCTTTTTCTTCTTTTTGAATTTTTTCCTTTTAAAACTATTAATGTCTACTTCCACAGTCCATAAAAGCTAATAATACAGATATCATTCAAACTAGATCTATTTATCTAATTAAAGACCTATAACTTCAAAGTAGTTGCTCCACAGATTACAGGTTGTAAAAGGTTTTACAGAATAATGTAGCGAGAAATATGTCATTTTTAAATTCCTGAGCTGACAGATTCATTAGTGGATTAGACTTTAACGGATTTTAGGATGCGATCGTAGATGTGTTGTAACCGGTTTGATTTTATTTATTTGATTTGACACCAAGTCACTGCTAAGGTTGCACTGAACAGCTGCCAGACAAAACCACAAAGACCAACACATATTTTGAACTATCCAGCAGATAAAAACAGCCACAGGCTGTGTTCCACTGAAACAATACAACTCAAAGCTGCAGAGGATCAGTGAGTCACTTACAACTTTATAAAAGTGACCTTGTTTGTCATGTTGACTTTTTATTTGGTTTGCTTTCTATAAACCCCCTCCCTTGTTTCAAACAGACTTAATAAAAATGCTTCAACTCTGTTTTACTGCTCTAAAAACTAATACCTTCCAACCTCTTCACATTAGTCCCCAATTGTCATATCTATGCAGCCTACTTGGTTCCTGTGTTTTTGCCTAACCATCAAACCCTGCTATCAACATGCCCATGGGGATTAGAGATTACATGGCATTTGGGCAACAAGCCTGTAGCCATATTTGGGCCAAGGTGGACTGCAAGTGGAACCCATAAGGTTCAAATATTATGAACACCTTTCAGTGAAATGAAATTGAAATCCAGACAGCACTAACAAACTGGTAATAAAACAAAATTTGAAAAGAAGATGGATAGTGTAGCAACTATAGGCATTGTGGCACCATTGTATCAACCCACAGTTCCTCAAACATTCTTTCAAGCCCATGCCATTTTGAGCCCCATACTGGACCCACACAATTTCACAACTTCAAAGTATTACAGAATCAGACCAAGCAGCACCACAACTAGTGCTAAAGACAAAACTGACACCTCTTACACTGAGGTTCCTCTAATGGCCACTAGATGTTGGTCCAAGAAAACTTACTTTATTGAAGTCAATAGGGAAACCCCCCAACTTTGTTCTACAAATACAACGTCAATATAATATTTTCACAACAGATTCAGGTCTCAGGAGAATATTTTACTTCTTACGACAGTCAGATGGGCATTTTATGCCTTTATTAAAAATGTCACTAATAGAGAGATGAGAGGAAATGAAGAGAGAAAGATAGATGAGGAATGACAAACAACAAAAGATGAAGTGCATCTGGAACCAGAGATGTTGTGGTTCATGGTATGCACCTTAACCCATAATTCATCAGGGTGCTCCCACAGAGGAGCTATAATGTTTAATTGATTGGCAGGTGTGCCAACCTAACACACCACATAGGCTCCACCTTTTTGGCCACTATGGAAGTTTTTCAGCATACTCTACGAGACTGAAGCCTTATCCACATCAAACAGTTGAGAAACGTCCCTCCCTACCTTACTACTTTCCTCACGACCTTCCTGATTAACTTGATTCACTCGGACTCTCAGTCATGTATATAATGAGATCCTGCGTGGTGTGATGTCAGGAGGTGACATCATTAACCTGAGCGGCTGTCCAGGCATCTGCCACATTAATGAAGTATAGTCAACGCCCTGAGTGGCCATTAGTGAACAACACCTCATTACCATAACAGAGCACTGAAGGTCTGGCTGAGAAACAAAGAGCAGAGGTCTCATGACACAAAGAGGAAGTAAAGTGACATGATGAGGTGTGTGTTTACAAGCAGTCGCAATACTGAGAAAAATGTTCAAGTTCATTGATGGAATTTCCTGCAAGGAGACAAACATGCACTTATATTCACACTGGCATCAGAATATAGTGGCGGTGAACGCTGCCTATGTAAAGTTCAGTTTTGTTTTGTTTTTTCAAACCTACCATCACCTCTTCATTAAATGAGCCTGTTTTGTTGCTGTTGCTCTTTAAGGCATCGTGTTGTCTGTAAATTCTAATCATCACCTCATTGGTTTCAACACATCTAGTCAAGGGACTGCTGTTGAAAGCCAGCTAACACTGGCACATTTACAGAATTGTTGATTTATGTGCAGTGTCTGTATAGGCCTAAATAAATGAAATGAAATAAATCTTATGGAAAGCAGCCAAGAATCATAAAAGACAGCCGCCATCAGAAAAACAATCCGCCTCACGTCTTTTTTTTTTCTTGGCAGTGTAGAGTAAAAAGCTGCCAATCATGCTGAAGGGCAAATCAGGTTTCTCACAATAGCACTCGCATGGAGCAAGTGCTTTAAAGAACAACTACGACAGCAGTCAGTGAGTGTATTGCATTGTAATTACCCTTCTGTATCAGTGTGGTTTATTGACATTAAATTTGATTTGGTTCCCCTCAGGATGAATTGTAATAACTTTGATAATCGCTTTTCATCTAGCACTATCATCAGATGCAATTCATTCATCCAAAACTCTACAATTAAATACCTACATAACTAATGGTACTCCTGTCAGTCTCAGCTGTACTTTCAATTACCAAAATTAGTAAATTCAATATTGTTATGCCTGCTAAATATGAGCATATCAATAATGTGAACACTGTGCCGAACAGCCTCACAATCCAATTATATTTTAGACAATAGGGCTCTTCCAACTTTGTATGAAAAGTTTGAGTTTGTTCATTTTGCCATACAATGTCCCGGCTCCATAAAGAAATTGTTTTCCCAGTTTGTTGAGGAAGACTGTCCTGCACAGACCCCTTACCTCAACCCCATCAACACCTTTAGGATGAACTGAAACACCAAACAACAGTGCAAATTGCAGCAGGTTTAACATCAGGAGGAAAGACTGAAACCAGAAAAATAAAGGCTGTTACATCAGAATATTACAAAACAGTAAGAGTTAGATCTGTACAAATGTACAGTGAACCTCAGCTCTACAGTACCTTGGCTGTCTCCATATTTCCTAGTGTTCTTAATCCAAACATATTTCCAACGTACAGAATCTTATTTCAACATCTAGTGGAAATCCCAAAGTTTCCAAATATGCCAAACATGACTGAACTTTTGGCTTTATGCATGTAAAATGATGCACAACACTAGAATGCCAATACCAAGTGAGGTCTAATCATCCCTCATCAGTGTTAGCTCTTATGGCTTATGTCCGCAAATCTCTGCAGACAGGTTCAACATCTGGTGGAAAGACTGTCCACATTCATATGGAGTGGCAGCAAAAGCAGAAACAAGGAAACACTGTACGTGTGTGTTGGTTTTAATCCCATATGAAGAATCTTTCATGTCTACCTTATAACTGAAATATTATAAATCAGAAATTGAAAACTCATATTGTGTGTGAGTATTTGGAGCCTTCTCTTCAAATTAAACTTAATGGCCCGACCTGTTTATGGTTGGTTCACTATTAGTCTGCAGTAAATTAGAGGTCTCCTGCTGTGGCGTGTTTATTCCCTCTGAGCTCTGGATGATAGTGGTCTAATCTAGGATTACATGTTTGACAGTCTGCAGAGGGAAGATGTCGGCCACAGGGCAGCACCTTCAGTTCAACTCCTCCAGTATAAGTAAGAGCTTCATTTAGGAAATAAAGTTCTCATGTAAAGCAGGAGGTTTCCAGGCAGGCTGCAGTCATCCATTTCATTTTAGTTCAAGTGTAGAAAGTTTAATCCCTCAATCTAAATAAGGCTGAAATGTAGAAATGAAATACAGCAGAGACAACTCCAAACTTCTGTTTCTGAGGTATAAAAGACTGACAGAGCGCCAAAGTGGAACTAAATCTCCTGATGAGGCAGAAACTTGCTCCCTGCCACTTTCCCATGAATCATTGCATGACCATACATAGAGAATGAATGTGATTTACTGCAACACATTCCAGCTGTGTTACAGCTCCTGCTTGTATCCTTCAGAAAGCAGCAATAAAGAAACAATCAGGCCGGCAGGAGGAAGTGACATCGTTTTTCTTGTCTTCTTTGCGGTTGCCTCGCTCTGGTGGTATTATTATTCAACTCCACTGCTTTCACTAAATCACTGACTTCCAACACGCAGACTGTGGCAGGGCCACGACCTCTAGTTTAAATGTCGGAGGTGAGAAGTTCAAGAAGCAGCTTTCATTTCTACATTGTTATCGCCTCAGGATGGAGGTCAACTGTCTGTCTGTCCAACACTTTGGTACAGAGACAAAGACTGTAATAAAATTTATATTCTTTATCTTACAGTATAGTTTAATAGTTTTAGACACGCTTAATTAAGAAATAAAAATATCAAATGACAACTTCGTTATGGCATCAGAGGAAAAGTCAGATGATCACCAGAGTCAATGGGATTCATCCTCTGGGGACCATGAATGCCTGTAAAACATTTCATGGTAATCTATCAATTATAGTTAGAATATTTACAGATATACAGACTGACAGTCTGATATTGCCTAAAACCACACTGCTAACATGGCTAAACACTCAAAAAAGGTGAAAGCTTACAGACACAAAGACATGGACATAAAGAGAAAATTCAGCTACGACCCCCTCCTCCTCCTCCTCCTCCTCCTCCTCCTGTTTCTGCCTCTGTGACGTCGGAGGAGTCAGGGTCAGGACAGACAGGATGCTGTGAGTAGTCTCTTACCAGACAGTGTAAACAGTAGCTCTGACATGAAACACCTGTCTGCTCCCTGAACAATACATCAGCAGGGGTCCATTACAGTGTGTGTGTGTGTGTGTGTGTGTGTGTGTGTGTGTGTGTGTGTGTGTGTGTGTGTGTGTGTGAGTGTGAGAGTGTTTTTGCATGAATATGTATGTAGCAAGTA